AGGAAGGGAGTGGCAGTGAAGGAGAAGACCATGATGCTTCAGAAGTACCAAGGAAACAACAAAAGCGCAAACGTGCTAAACCTCAACTTAGCGATTCTCGGGAGGAAGTTGATATACAACATTCAATTGCTTCACCAGATGGATGCCTCACGTTTTTGAAGCAAGCACGAGCTAATGGTAAAGTGCTACATTGTGTTAACTCAGTCTCCTAAATTGTTTTTCTCGTCTGAAGAAGCTAAATCAAATGATTATTATATTATGATTTAAGCAGGTTAGGAAGTTGATTACTTGTTCTGCATTGTTATTGACTTTGTATAGTCCAGGAATTAATATCCATCCATCTATCTAGTACCTGTAAACCAATTCGTTCAAGAATGTGTAACTTTATTTCTTAGTTCATGTAGGAACTCAGCGACGTGCCACTGGAAAACGTACACCACGGGTTCCTGTGCAAACTTCATTTATGAGGGATGATAGAGAAGGATCTACTCCACCAAATAAAAGAGCCAGGAAGCAATTCGATGCCAATGATGATGTAGCACATTTTTTAGCGTTAGCATTAACAGATGCATCGAGAAGGGGAGGGTCTCCAAAAGTGTCTGAATCACCAAATAGAAGAACAGAACTTAGCGATAGCTCACCGATAAAGAGCTGGGGGAAAATGGTATCTCTCAGCTTTAGAAATTTTCAAGCGGTTATCTTTTTTATTTTTTTCTGTGTAAGCTTGCTTCATAACACTATTCAACTTTTTGACTAGTCGCGAACCAGAAAATCTCAATCCAAGCACTGTGAAAGCTCCATTTTTGAGGAGTGGATGGAAAGTAGCCGAGAAAGGAAGCTTGAATCTGATAAAGATACTGCCTTGTTGATGGATATCGAAGGGGCTGGTGAAATGGAGGCTCCGCGGAAGGGGAAAAGATTCTATAAGAAAAAAGTGAAAGTCGAAGAAGCAGAAGGTAATGATTCTGATGACAATGGAGAAGCATGCAGTACCGCACAGGGGCTCAGAATTAAATCACAGAGACGAAAGGCAGCTATTCAAGCCTCAAGAGGGAAATATTCACCGCGCAGCCCAAAAAAAAGAGATAACAAACTTACTTCCGGAGGTAAAAACCAATAATAATGTAACTTGAAGCCTGATTTCAATTTCAATGTTAGCCCTTTCTGTAAGGAAAGTTAGATAATATTTAACATATTTTCGTTTACAAGCTCTACTGTTGTGATATTTGATTATTTATCTATTCTACATTGTCCATTTAAACTAACTATCTTCATCTTCTGCTGAAAACATATGGGGATCTGAAACTTATTGCCAGTTTTTTCCTGTGTAGGTCAATTTGATGCTCTGCAAGCATTGGCCGAATTGTCAGCTTCAATGCTTCCAGCAAATTTGATGGAGTCAGGTGAACTTTGTGTGGTTTTGTAACTTCAGTATACCTGAAACTTATGATTTTTTCTACATTTTCTCATTATGTCGAGTGGGTCAATTCTGCAGCTTTCACTGTTCGCATTAGGGCCTTTACCTGTCTGTATTTGTTAAATTTAATTATATTGCATTAGGTCCAGAATCATCTGCTCAGTTGAAGGAAGAAAGGACAGAATACGACATGGACGAGAAATCTAGCACTCCAGAAGCTACTTCCACAAGCAGTCATGGGGAAAAAGCAAATGCAGAACCAGATGATAGTCTCCTTCATGCAATTTCTTCGGCTGAGAATGCTTACAAGAGAAAGCCAAAACCTTCAAGGCTGGCATCAACTGATTGTGATGCTGTTCCCACAGGGAAGCTACAACCGCAAACTAGTGGCAGTTTAAGGAGAAAACGTAAACCAAAGGTTAGCAAAATAGTTCTCTTAATCTGTGCATTTTCTTCTAGCCATCTTTTAGCTGTATATGTGAATAGTGTTCAATTTTCAGGTATTAGGGGATGAAGCTCCAGCAGATTTTAGTCAGAACAAATCCATAAACGAGAAGGTATTCTGTATGTATGTTGAATTAGTTGAAACTCGTTTTTAGTCCTATATTCCTTTTTTGTACATTAAAATTTTAACCTTAATTGAACTCTGTGATCTCTGTTTTCTATCCTTTGAAACAAGTTCGAGATCTTTATTAAAAATTGCATATCGAGTATTCAAGTTTGTGCTTCTGAAGAAAACATTACCTCATATGATTTGGTTTATTGTGTTGCAGGAATCGCCTCAAGATGAGAATAATATACAGTCTTTGGCTAGAACAAAACGCGCTGGTCAAGGTCCAGCTCAGTCAAAACAGTTGAAAACTGTTAAGGCGTTGGAGGAATCTACTACAACAAGTGATAAGAAAAGACCTGTGACGGAGATAGTAGCGTCACCTAAACAAGTTTCTGATTCAGGTCCAACCAATTTATCGCAGAAACCTCCAAGCAGGCGTAAGAAGAGTCTGAAGAAAAGCTTACAAGAAAGGGCTAAATCTTCTGAAACCATTCTTAAAGCTTCACGTAGTTCCAGATCTCTTACAGAACAGGAGTCGTTATTAAAGGTGGAGCCTCTAACTTCACTTCTCTTACACACATTCAGTATCTGGTACATCTATATATCTGTTTATTCCAATTTCAGGATAAGCTTTCTACTTCCCTGTCGTTTCCCTGGGCACGTCGAAGGTGCATATTTGAATGGTTTTATAGTGCTATCGACCACCCCTGGTTTTCAAAGATGGAGTTTGTCGATTATCTAAATCACGTGGGGCTTGGTCACATTCCAAGACTTACTCGTCTTGAATGGAGCGTGATTAAAAGGTTTGTTCAAGTTATGTTATTGGATGCTGCCAGAGAATGTAGATATATTATAAAAAAAAAAATTCGGTTTTTGCAGTTCTCTTGGTAGACCCCGAAGATTCTCTGAGAGATTTTTACAGGAAGAGCGGGAGAAACTTAAACAGTACCGCGAATCTGTACGAAAGCATTATACAGAGCTTCGAACGGGTGCTAGGGAAGGGCTTCCTACAGATTTGGCTCGGCCATTATCAGTTGGGAACAGAGTCATTGCCATCCATCCCAAAACACGGGAGATTCGTGATGGGAAAATTCTCACTGTTGACCATAACAAATGCAACGTTCTGTTCGATGACTTGGGCGTTGAGTTGGTTATGGTAATTCGAATACAATACCAGTTTCATTCACACAACCCAACTGTTATGATTTATAGATAAAATAAGGTCCCAGTCATTTGATCATCTCCTTTTATGACAGGACATTGATTGCATGCCTTCAAATCCAGTGGAATACATGCCAGAGGGTCTAAGGAGGCAAATTGATAGGTGCTTGTCTATGAAGAAAGAACCACAGCTAAGCGGGAATTCAAACCTTGGTGTGTCTGTGATATTCCCTCCTTGCGGACTTGAAAATGTCAGCTTTTCCATGAATCCTCCTCTGAATCAGGTAGGGAAATTTGGACGTTTAACTAGTTCTGTCAAAGCCTATAAACCTTCTTAGATCTTCCTGTACATGTTCATGTAAGTTTTATGCCTAACCCATACATTCTCTACAGGGTGATACGATTGCTCCCATTCTGCATGGTAAAGTATCAACAAACACTAGTAGTCCACAGCAGACTAATCATTCATATATCACAACTTATAACAAAGCAAGAGAAGCTGAGATTCAACGAGCACTTGCGCTACAGCATGCTTTAGATGAAAAGGTAATGGATTACTGATGTTCTATTTTTCATATCGGTAGATATTGTTAATATGTTTTAGAAATCGAATGGGATCATAATAAATGGACCTTTGAGGGCCCATGGAAATCCTGCCTTCTGATTAACTTAATAAACTTATTCTTGTGCTGTGTGACAGGAAATGGAGCCAGAGATGCTAGAAATTGTTAAGGGTTCAAAAACAAGAGCGCAAGCAATGGTGGATGCAGCTATAAAGGTATCGATTTATCCGCTTTCCTATATTCTCTAACATACATATGTTTTGCTAAGTTATGGTCACTCTACGGTTTCTAGGCTGCATCATCTGTGAAGGAAGGAGAAGATGTAAACAAAATGATCCAAGAAGCCTTAGAGTTGATTGGCAAAAATCAGCTATTACGCGGCTCCAGGGTCAAACATCACGAGCATGTAAATGGCAGCATAGAGCATCATCACAACCCATCTCCTTCAGAGGCATCAGAGCCTGTGGCTAACAATGATTTTAACTCACAAGATGGTTCGGAGAAAAACGAAGCTCAAATGCCTTCAGAGCTAATCACCTCCTGTGTTGCCACTTGGCTCATGATTCAGGTACTTAGGAAATTGCTTAGAAGGATTGCGTACCCAACGAGATAATCTGGAGGCCATTATGAATCTATAATACTAAGTTTAGAGTTGTGTTTGGTACTAAACCGAAGCTTTAGTAATCTTTTATCTTTTTCTGGTTATTGAAATTAGCTAGGGAAGTTTAACATCTTTGCGTAGATCCGCGTGTGCCAAATGCCACTTAACCTAGGACTTGGATTGATCATTTATCCTAAATCTTAAACAGATGTGCACGGAGAGACAGTACCCTCCAGCTGATGTCGCACAGCTTATAGACGTAGCAGTCACAAGCTTGCAGCCACGATGCCCCCAGAACCTACCGATCTACAGAGAAATCCAAACAAGCATGGGACGGATCAAGACTCAAATCATGTCCCTTGTACCAACTTGAAGAGGAGCCAACTCATTTGGGTTGGTTTTCTTTTGTTTTGAATCTTCTTTAGGTAAGTCTAGTCTCCTTTTAACTAGAGTAGATGATGACATCTTCACCTGAGAAAATGGTGTTAAAAGTTCACGGATTCAAGATAGCTTGACCAGAGGTATTTTAGTTGCTTAACAAGCTTTTGGCTTATTCAGGGGCTTTTGGTAGTGAACCATTGGCTCTGTAACTTAAACTGATGTTTATGCTCATATTATAATTCCCCATCAATGTCGTTCAGAAATCGCTAAAATGCCCATTTTTCCTACTTTTTGGCCACTACTTTCAAGTAAAGTGAAACAGAGCTGAAAATCTCTGTTGTATTCAAACTAAAACAAGGAATAGCCAATCAAATGAGTAAGAATGTCAATTACAAACATTGAAGCTTAAACTTAATAATGTAATCCTTAAATTGCACGAGGAGGTTTCTCGAGCAATGCAGAGAGATAAACCTCATCCTTTGATTTAGGTGAAATAGCCCACTTGTGTTTCTTGTACCGAAATTGCAGGAACATGTACATATAATCATCAAGATCCATCTTTTTACAGAAGAATCTATCAATCCACAGTAACCCACCCGGTCTCAGCACTCGGTCCCAATCATATAACACGAAATCCATCAGAAGAAGATCGATCCAACCATCCATTAACCCGGTAGTGTGAATCATATCCATTGTGTTGTCGAAGAACGGTAGCCTCTGGTTCAAAGATAAGTACAATGGGATCAAACCTCTCAAAGCAATCATCTCATTGAAAGGAGCTCCCAAATTCAAAGCAGTTGTGACAATAGTCACATTCTTCTCTCTCATTCTTGCTGCAAATGTCCCTGTCCCAACACCATAATCCAGTCCAATCCTTATTCCACCTGGCTTCACTCTCAGAACATCCTTAATCATGAAATCAACTAACAAAGTACTGTTCTTGACCCATTTATCACCCTCTTTCTCCATTTCAAAACATCCAGTGCATTTCGTGTAACCCCTTTTCGGGTTCTTGCTTGATAAACACGCGAAATTCCTGCATTGGTAATTTCCCCATCTTACATTTCTGTCATCAGGAAGCTTCCACAAAGACTCGTTGATTGAATAAGGTTTCTGGTAAGTCATTGATGCTCTTGTCAAGCATCGTCTTCTAGGTAATGGATCACACCCGTTAAGCATCAGCTTCTGTGCTAAGTTCCAATCATCATCGCAATACGCTCCAACGTCATAATCCATATACTTCTCTAGCTCTTTCTTCATCAACGCACAAGCATGACCAATAGTGTTGTAAACTCTCTCTGTTCCAAACATGTTTATCTTCCCAACTCGATTCTCCTTAGGTGTAATGTACTGCCTTATCTCCTCAATGAGAAACTTATTGATCAAAGGCTCTTCCTTTTCCGTCGAGTTTCTGATTCCTTCGGGTTTTGGTAACCGGATTTGCCGTAATCCGATATGAGCATAATAAAATGGCTTCATCACTTCATCTTCAAGAAACTTCTTCATCTCCTTTTTGCTTCCGTCTTTGCTCTTTTCCATCTCTTTTACTGTCTTCTCTAGCTTCTCGTACAAGTTGTCCATCTTTTCTAGTACTTCATCAACGCGATCATGCAGCGCCTTTATGTCGAAACCTTCGTTGCTGACTTCTTTGATTGTGTAGATATTGTTGCAAACGTCTTCGTTGTGCAAGAAGTAACCAGCGGAATGGAATCGGTAGAGACATGAGAGGCTCACAGTGATCACCAGTAACCCCAAGATGACTTGTAGTCCTGCCATTAGTCTTCCTAAACGCCATCTCGGCAAACATGCTCTTCCCATTTCCTCTTCTTGACCAAAAATAGATTAACTTTCAATTATTGGTTCTAATCTTGACATAAGAAAACAGAGGAAAGTGTGAATCTTTTGTCATGCTTCAGAGAACATGGAAAAACAGAGGAAAATGTGAATCTTAGCTCAAATTACATCGATTTTCCTTGTAACTAAACAGAGAAAAACAGTCCTAAGGAAAAATTTCTATCTAACAAAATGTTGAAAAATGTTGAAAAAGATTAGAATGTTGAATGTTGAAAAAGTGATTGGTGAAAGAAAAACATTAATACCAGATAAGAAGAGATGTTCCTTGATGTTTCGATGGAAACCTTTCGTCTCTGGTTTCTCGAGGAAAAGTCTAAGAGACTCATGAGATTGTTTTTCAACCTCAAAGTTAGAACGCTATTTGAATTAGAGATCCGAGAGCTGCGGAGAAAAAGTGTGTGTTTTGTGTCTGCTTGAAGAATTAAGGAGCTGGAGATACTTAAAGCTGAAGCCTAAAGCTGACTTATTGTGACTAGTTTTAGGACAAAATCCACTAACTCAGTCAGTCAGTCTCTTCTCTCTCTTTTCACCAACGTGCCTAATTCCTTAATTTTCGGTCATTGAATATAATTCAAAAGTCAACGGTAAGTGATAAGTATATAATATACCAACACATGCATATTTACATAGAGCACTTTTTATATTTGCGAGAGAAAGATTTAATTATATAAGAGCATAAAATATCTCGTAAAGTTATAAAGAAATTTGCTTTGCTATAGTGGTAAACAAACTAACATTATAGCCCACCAAAAAAAAAAAACAAACTAACAATATACATATTCATAATAATTTGCCCAAGCCTCTGTGGTCTAGTGGTAGAGGAAGCTTTGGTGAAGGGTGAAACTCCCAGACCCGAGTTCGATTCTCCCTGGAAACAAAAACACATTTGTTTGGGAAGTCTGTCAGTTGGGCTTTGGCCCAATTGGTTTACCTGGTAGTCAGAAATGCAGGCGGCCTGACTACCCCCTGGCATTAGTCGGAAGGCATTCCAAACTCGGATCAGGCAGTGTGGTGGCCCAATTCTACATGGATCGGGAGAAGTCCACTCTGTAGCACCTCGGTGCGTTCCTACCGAGGCCGACCGGATCAGTCGATAGGGTTTATCAAAAAAAAAAAAAAAAAAAAAAAAAAAAAAAAAAAATCATAATAATAATGCAACTGAAGAAGAGATTCAAGGATAACGCAAACATCGCTTAACCGTTGGGCCGGTTATGACCGGTTTACTTCCCCGAAGAAGTTTGGTCTGCGATACTTTTTCTGGTTGCTAACCATTGCGCCGGAATCTATTTTCTTGGTCAAACCGGACCAAAGTCTTGTACTTAACCTTATATACATACCACATCATGCGATGAAAAACAAAAAAAACAATCATGACGAATTGACGATGAGTGATTGCGTGATGCGATGATTAGGTGGGAGTTCAATACGTCTTTTCTTCCCTATCTTACCTATTGATTAGACCTTTTCTTTTTTGGGGGCGTCTTGGTTCAATGAATCAAATATCGTTTTGTGGGCTATATTTTATCTAACGTCGAAGTAACTACTACAATTGATTTTTTTTTTTTTTTGACGACAACAACAATTGATTAGCGACTCTAGTTTATATTGAACCTATCGACATCATAAACCATCAATTTAATTCAAGACAGTGATTACCAAGAGCCACACCCACATGTGTACCATGGTTTCGTGATCGTCTCGAACTAAGATGACGTGTCCGTTCTTCTCTCCTTTTATTTTTTTCTTCTTTTACGAAAATATGATTAAACCTTTTTATATATTCCACATCAACGGTTTTCTCATTGATGTTTCTGTCTTATAGTCCATAAATTCGAAACAGAAGAAAATGGCAACCGACGATTTTAGGCTAACGGCCTTATTGTTGAGGGAATCTTATTCAGATGAATGAATTAAATAGCATATAACCAACGCAAACCGGATTTTTAAACCAGAAAAATATATAACCAATATGTGATAAACCGTAAGCTGGTTGATACAAACAATGAACATGAACCTAGACTCGATAAAAACCAGATGCATCTACATCACACAACATAGCATGATATTTATTTCCATCTTTGTGGTTAACCAATCCTAGCTATTATACTAGCTATAGTCTTATATATCATAGGGAAGAGAAACAAAAGAAAAACATTCCACTTCACGCAAATATTGCTCTCTTTGTTCTTGTTCTTAATTAGGGTTTGATTGAAGAATATGGAAGGAGAGAAAAATATGGAGAAAGGATTATTATTGGCAAAAAAGGAAGAGACTGCAAATACAACTCCACTCCTTATCTTCTCCACCTTCATCATTGTCTCTGCCTCCTTCACCTTTGGCGCTGCCGTATGTACCCATCTCTCTCTATCGTCTGTCTATCTCTTTTATATGCACTCTCATATAGATGTTCTTATTAATTAGAACCAAAGTCAGATCTGGTCCAGAGCTAAGCAAAAGATTCAAGCCACCAACTTCTTTGCTTTAGCATTAATGTTATATACTAAACTTTGTTATCTTTTATTACAAGATTGTTGTTTAGTAATTATTTTAACGCAGATAAAGAAAACCATGATTTCGGGCCTCAGATTTGTAATACTTAATTTTCGAATTAAAAATTAAGTTTATATATATTAACAAATAAATGAAAAAGCTAAGGTAATAATATAGTATCTATAATATATATTATCTCTTCATATCTTCAATCTTGTGGACCTCGAAAATGTTGGATTGGTCGTGCTACCTATAACCATATCTTATCTCGACATCTCTTTTAAATTTCAAGTTTCTAACCTCAGTAAAGGTTAAAAAAAATTCAAGTAATTGTATTAAAATAAGAGTTTGTAAATTAATTATTTATATAGAGTTCAATAAAAGAGAAAAAAGAAAGAACAACTTAATTATTTCTATCATCTTATGGTTCACAGATAGGTTATACTGCAGATACAATGTCCTCCATTATGTCAGACTTGGATCTTTCTCTCGCACAAGTAAGTCCAACTTTCATTACATTTTATTTAGTTACAATTTTTTCAATTAATTCTTCCAATTTTACAAGTGGATGGATACACGCAAACGTATTTTGTTGAAACTACTAGTTACATCGATTTTTTTTTTGCTTTCTATCAAATGAAAAATTATTTAGTGGTAACAAAATATAAAAAGTTGACTACTGTACGAGCTCATATTTTTACAGAGATGACTATGTAATTTTAATTTTAATTTGTTTAAAACTATTTTTACAGTTTTCACTGTTTGGTTCGTTGTCGACGTTTGGAGGAATGATCGGTGCAATATTCAGCGCCAAAGCTGCAGCTGCCTTCGGTCATAAAATGGTAAGTATCCATTATTTCTAAAATCACCCCTATGTTTATTTTATTTTGTCATATGCCCCAAAATATTATAAAGTAAATTCCTACACCCTCATTTTTTCATTCTCTTACAATATTTCTTAGACGTTGTGGGTGGCTGATCTATTCTGCATAACTGGTTGGCTTGCAATTGCACTAGCCAAGGTTCCCTCCATAACTCATATTCTTCTTTCTTTTTGCAAGTTTAACAAAATTGTATATTTTATCACCGTTTTAGTAACTGAAATATAGATAAAACATGATTTTCTTATTTAAAATTTCTATTGGCACACACAGAATATTATTTGGCTTGACATGGGGAGATTTTTGGTGGGAATTGGAGTTGGTCTCATTAGCTACGTGGTAAAGCTTTTTCTTTGAAAGATGATTAAAAAAAAAACAATTATCGTCGTAACCATAAATACTCCTAATTTTCTTGAATTGAAATTGTATAGGTTCCTGTATATATTGCAGAAATAACACCCAAGCACGTAAGAGGGGCTTTTACATTTAGCAATCAGGTTACCTATTTAAACTCGAGGTTTAGACATATATTATCATTTATACATAAATTTGACTTATAATTCTAACATCAATACGTCACAGCTTTTGCAAAACTGTGGAGTTGCAGTCGTATATTACTTTGGAAATTTCTTGTCATGGAGAACTTTAGCCATAATCGGTGTGATTCATTCCCATCTACTATCCCGACTTTTTCAAGATTCATTTCTCCTGATTAATTATTTCATTTGCCTAATTAAACTAAATCCATTTCTAATTAACCAGGTAGTATTCCATGTTGGATACAAGTTATTGGTTTGTTCTTCATACCTGAGTCTCCAAGATGGCTGGTTAGTCATATAAATCAATCGTGAAAAACTTATATATATGAACATGATTGTTGTAAATAAATAATAACATATATGAACATACTAATATTTACAGGCGAAAAAAGGTCGTGATAAAGAATGTGAAGAAGTTCTTCAAAAGTTAAGAGGAAGAAGATATGATATTGTGCCTGAAGCTTGCGAAATCAAGGTACTCACACGTATAAATCATCTGTCCCATAACATAGATGTTTAGCATATTTTTAAATCACTTGTAGTATGTACTCTTGTAGATCATTCATTCACCAAAAAAGAAAGAAAGAAAGAAAAAAAAACTAGTCCTAAGCAAAAATTCTCACTTACATTTGTTTTAAATTTTGTAGATTTCAGTTGAAGTTTCGAAGCAAAATTCGAATATCAACATTCGAAGTCTTTTCAAAAAGAGATATGCTCATCAACTTACAGTAAGTAAAAAGAAGGGTTTATTCATTCATGAAATATATTCAAGTGATCTTGATTTAATTACTAAATAACAAATGATTTGATTTATTTGGATTCGGTTGAATATGTTTAGATCGGTATAGGTTTGATGCTTCTGCAACAGTTATGTGGAACTGCAGGAATAAGTTCTTACGGAAGCACTCTATTTAAACTTGCCGGTAATCAGATTTGTTTCCTATTTTCATTATCATGTAATTAAATTGTTTTAAATTTAGTTAGGAGAAAAAAAACTAACACTTTTATTTTCTAGGGTTTCCCGCTCGGATTGGGATGATGGTGTTGTCTCTAATCGTCGTACGTAAAAATTAGTATTAGATTTTTCTATATTAAATGCAATTTGACAAAAATAAAAACAAAAACAATGCTTGCATTTATTGTATTCTCACATCCTAACCCCAATTTCTTATTAATGATCATGCATAGGTACCAAAATCTTTAATGGGTCTAATCCTCGTGGATCGATGGGGGAGACGCCCACTTCTTATGGTTAGAATTTCTAAACTTTTTAGGTCGAGTCTTTTTCGTTGTATTAATTGCGAATTTTCCTGTATTTGATTTAGGTATTTATGAATCTATGATGGTTAAAGTGAATTATTCATGGCACCATTACAATTACAATTAAGTTTATAATTTATTTTTAGGGGTTAGATATAACATAAATTGAATATATCGAATTTGCAGACTTCAGCGTTTGGGTTATGTTTAAGCTGTATCACATTGGCAGTAGCGTTTGGAGTTAAAGATGTCCCGGGGATTGGAAAAATTACTCCAATTTCTGTTTCATTGGAATATTGGTAAGTTTTTCACTATTTCATTTTCAGTACTAGTTTATAATCTGTAAATTACTAAATTCTATCAAACCATATATATATTTACACAAATTTCAAATGTGTTATTCGGTCTCATTAATATCTCGTTTTTTATATATAGGCAACCATATATTTGATCAAATGTGAAAGTCAAACTCACAAAAATTCAGAGATATGCATATTGAATTATTGTTAATTTTTCAAAATGTGACAAGCTATTAACAATTTATAATTCGAACAGTCGTTTACGATGATGTTCGCTATTGGAATGGGAGCGTTACCATGGATTATAATGTCTGAGGTACGCATATATGAGCAAATATATTCTTTAACAATTTTATTTTTCGGAATATAATAATTTTATCCAAATGATCATTTGTTATTATTGTTTATGTTAATTACTTTATTGGCAGATATTTCCAATGGATATAAAGGTATTAGCTGGGAGTTTAGTGACCATAGCAAATTGGTTCACTGGTTGGATCGCCAACTACGGTTTCAATTTTATGTTGGTTTGGAGCCCAAGCGGTGAGTAACATCAAACATATTACACATATAATCTTGTTCGATTCAGTTCATTTAAAATCTAATCAAACAAATTAAAATTAAAAGTCCACTACTTAAAGAGATCTATATTATCTAAAGATTTTCAAATGCATCCAATACAAATCAATATTTTATATTAGTTTAACTTACTTGAATAAACCGAAACAAATATAAATACATATGCAAACATGATTTGCTCAATCCTAAATATCACTGCCTAGGCATGCATGCAAGTCTTTTGTTTAAATCTTTCATGCATGCAAGTACACGTCTAGAGTTTTTCTTTTATATGCTTTTTCTTTTTAAGGATGTTAATTTTTTCTTTTACATGTATTTTTTTTTGTATAGAATAAATAGACTTACATGTTAATCGTGTGCTTTAACAAAAAAATAAATGGCTAATCGTGTGCTTATAAAAATAACTTGCAGGGACTTTATAATATCCGCTATAATCTGTGGAGCAACAATTGTATTCACATGGTGCTTGGTGCCGGAGACTCGAAGATTAACGTTAGAAGAAATCCAGCTGTCTTTTGTCAATGTTTAGGGTTCATCGGAAGCATTCATACATCATTTGCTACAACATAATTCGGATTCGTATCCATAAATTATTTGATTAATTCAATATAATTAAAGAGTTTACATTGTTTGGTTGAACTCATTGAAGATTATTTATGTATACATATTATACTATGCAGTGACACATATAAAATACTATCAAACATCTGTATACTATTATTATTATTATTTTATTTTTATTTTGTTGAGTTCATAGCTCCATCATTATAATACACATGATCCTAAATATATATAGTGTGGTATATGTTAAAGAGAACAAACTACTTATATCACCATATTGAACTGTTTTTAGAAAATCCTTCTTAAAAATTTAATGCTTTTTTAAACTCAAGTTCATTTCACCTCTTAAAAAGAGAACAATTCCAATCCAATTGATCGGTCTCGATAAATTCACAACCATATTGGTACATAATAACTTTATCTAAATATAAAAAAATTGGGTTGAAGTGCACACATGTTAAGTTTAGTGAAGTACTGAAAAGTTTTAACCATTAAGGGTCTCTAAGTAAATTACATGATAGTGAAGTACTAAAAAATAATTCCTATATTTTAGGGAGAACCATTCTTTAAACGCCGTCGTTCGGCTGTTGTTCTAAACGTTACCGTTTTGCAGTTAAATCTAAAACGCTGTCGTATAGTCTCCACTCTCCAGGTGATAAGAGAGACTCGACGGCAACATTTAACGACCTCACTTAAGAACAGACGAGAAATGTCTCTGAAACCTTACTTCTCTCTACACTCATCACCCACTAGTGAAAAACTTTCCAACTTTTTGATCGCTCAACAACCCTCCGGTGACCGGAAAACTACCCCGGCCGAGGAGTTTTCTCCGCTGGTTGAGAAATTCAACCGGCGGCTTCTTCTGGGTGTAGGATCGTCCTCTGTTCTTGCGATTGGTGCGAATTTCGGAGGAATCACGAGTTTTCGTACTTGGTTATCGCCGGAAGTTGGCCGTAATCTGAAACTCGACGTCGTTTATCCGATTGGAGGATATAGCAGATGTATCGATACGGTTGAAGGATTCGGTTAGTAAGTCATCGAATTTCTCCGGTTTAAGATATTATTAATTCGAAGATAAATCAATGATTGTCAGTTTTGTAAATTTTTATTTATAATCACAGAATTTATATATCCGGCTACGTGGGTCGGAGACCAGACCACTTTGTATAGAGCGGCGGAGAAATCAGAACGGGAGAATTCGCTAGACCTTCCTCCGGCAAGAAAACAGTCATCGGAAAAAACGTTAATGAACCGGTTGTTGCATTTGGACCTCCCGGTTCGACCGGCGAGCTCAATGTCAGTGTTATCGTCTCCCCTGTCTCACCCAGTTTCTCGTAAGTAAAAACATCATTCTTATATATACTTATAGTAAAAACATGTTCATTGTTCTGTGGTAACGACTAGGTGATTGATATAGTTTACAAGATCTTGCCAACAAATCTAATTGATCATGAGATTGTTTTAGTTGTAATTTTCAAGATTGTTTATTACACTAGATCTAGTACATGTTTGAATTGAAACAATATACAATCTCAATGTGAATACATAATTCTCGTTACTAATTTGAATCTATCACATAAGTTCGCTAGGAGTGTTAAGATCTATATTAGAGTGTGCAGCACCTAGATCGATTTTCGAGCATCGATGTTATGTTTTCTTGTATCGATAAGACAATCTAAACGAGCAATTGTCATTTTTTTACAAGAAGCGAAATCTGTTTTATGAAAGTGTTTATTGTTTATGGTATAGAATCGAAGCGTTTGGAGGGCCAAAAGAAGTAGGAGAAGCAATAGTAAGAACAGTGACAGGATCTGGTCAACGAACAGATTTAAAAGGAACTTTGCTAGAATCAAATCTTAGACAAGATTCAGAGAGAAACTTCAAGTACTATGAGTTGGAGTTTAAAGTCGAATCACCTCTTTTCCGGCGGCATAATGTAGCTATTTGTTGCGCTCACGGTGGCCGGCTTTATACACTGAACGCTCAAGCTCCAGAGTCAGCTTGGTCAGAGGTGAGATCGGAAATTTACACAACTGCTAAATCGTTCAATATCATTTCTTGAATGTAAAGGAAAACAGATTGTAAAAACCCAAAAAGAAACAAGATACTACAAAGCAAGGCTTATTTGTTTCTGAACTCATTGGTTTTCTTAATTAATTATACTACTATTATGTTGATTTAACTGATATGACATTGTATGTCATGTAGATCCAAACCAACTACATGGTAAAAATTCAGATTTAAATTCAAAATGTTAACCAAGTCTAAAATTGTCATGTATGTGGAAGATTAAAGGTTAAAATACGAAAGTGACAATAAAAAGAGAAATGTTTCGAGCAAAATCATGTCTTATTTGATCGTGCCGCTATATATAAACACTGCACCAAGCGATTGATTAATTAAATATTTAAATGTTGAGAATAAATTTTTAATTAATTAATTAAAATATTTTAAAGTAAAAACTCATAAACTTGTATCTTTGAACAAACGAAACTAAAAAACGCCTATCTCTGCTTCTTGGCTTCTCCATCTCCGATCAAATCCGCGGTCGAAGTCAGAGAGAAAGACAAATGGCTATGCCTAGGGCAACCTCTGGTCCCGCATACCCGGAGAGGTTCTACGCCGCCGCATCTTACGTCGGTCTCGACGGATCTGATTCGTCGGCGAAAAACGTCAGCTCGAAATTCTCCGATGATACTGCACTACTTCTCTATGCGCTGTACCATCAGGTCAGCAACTTCCATTTCTGATCTCTTCCATTGCTGATCTCACGATTGTGTATTTTGGTTTTGAATTTCACGAGATCTGGTGGTTTGGGTGTTGATTTCTTTGTTTTATTCATCGATTCATATTCCTCTTGCCGAATTCTTATCGGATTTTTGAAATGACGCACTTTACTTGTCTGATTTAGCTATGCTTGATCGTTATTTTCGATCTTGGTTAGTATGCTCGAAATGCTCAGTAAAAATGTTGCCCGAGATCTCATCATCGATTTGATTGGAAACAGTTTTATTAATCAGATCTCAGGGATCGTCGGTCCTTCAATCGTAGTTTACTTGGATCTATATCGATTCTGTAACTTGACTTGTGACTATAATGTCAGAAAGTTAGCCTTTTCACAACACATGTATTTTTTTTTCTGTTCTGCATCTTTTGGCCATTAATTAACTTAGTCAAGATTAGTATAGTCGTATACTAATATTGTTACATGGGGCTGAAACTAGCTGTTCCTTAACACACAGAGAAAACTTTCTCTTGTACTAATTGAAATGTCGGGTCAACTAATTTTCATCCCTGGGATAGATAGGCTCAGTGCTGATGATCTCTTGGATTTAACATTGAAACAGGCTACTGTAGGACCATGCAACACTCCGAAACCTAGTGCATGGAGACCAGTGGAGCAAAGCAAATGGAGAAGGTTAGATTCGCTGCTGTGTCTGCCAATACTTATCTACAGTTAACATTTATGTGTTCATCACTGGTTCTTTTATTTCTATGCTTGCGTTTGTGAATCATACGTGTAGGAAGATGCTTTATGGTAGATATAATTAGGAGATGTCTTAGATTTCATCAATTACTAGAGTGGAAGAATCCAGATGCCTCACGAATTAGGGATACGGGAAAGGAGTATTCTAATTGTAAGCTACTAGAGGAAAATTAGAAATGCAGGATTTGTATGTGCATCCCTGGGGAAAAAAACTAAATGCTTACCTATATTTTGGTCTATATTACTGAGGTTGTTACTGCTTAGGATCCTTTTTAAGGAAAATAAGCCTTTAACGTTGTCCTAGTAAACTTTCCTCAACGAAACACATGCTACTTTTCTGAAGCATTTCCATATTACTTAGTTTGGCAGGGGCTCGGAACCATGCCCTCCATTGAAGCAATGCGTCTCTTTGTGAAAATTCTGGAGGTACCGACAGAGAGGTCTATGGTTTTTTTTTTTCAAAAGACTTAACTGGAGCATAACCTACCTTGCTTTCTTCTCTAATGCTCAATTTTACCAGGAAGATGATCCGGGTTGGTATTCGAGGGCATCTAATGATATTCCAGATCTGTTGTAGATATCCAAATTAATGTAAGTTTTTGTATCCCATGGGATTCGATACCCAAACCATGGGAAATATTACACATATCTTTTGCTTGGTTGAAGAAAAGTATTTGAGTCTTTTAGTGCATTCATTCTCTGTAGCAGAGAACGAAAGATGAGCCTGTTGTTGAGAATGGGAACTCATTTGGTGAGACAAAGACAATTTCTACTGAGAATGGACGTTTGGCTGAAACCCAGGATAAAGATGTAGTCTCAGAAGACTCAAATACTGTTTCTGTATATAACCAGTGGACTGCACCCCAAACATCAGGTCAGCGGCCAAAAGCCCGTTACGAGGTAATTCAATTTCTCTCTCTTTTTGCAAAATACGTAAAAGGTCATGTCATTCACGTATCTTCTGTATTTTTTTAAATCTTGGTTATTATATTTGTTCTAGCATGGAGCAGCAGTTATTCAAGATAAGATGTATATATATGGTGGAAATCACAATGGCCGTTACCTTGGTGATCTTCATGTAAGCAACTTATATGATTATTAAGCATAATCTGCTTATGTAATTGAGATATTCAGCTTCTAGCTTGGCAATACCAGTCCCGTTGACAGTACCTAAGCATGTCTTCTGTGTAATGCATACAGGTTCTAGATTTAAAAAATTGGACTTGGTCAAGAGTTGAAACCAAGGTTGCAACTGATGAACAGGAAACATCAACTCCAACATTATTAGCTCCTTGTGCTGGTCATTCTTTGGTAAGTTTATTAACTTTTGCGTTTTGTTTTGGTTATTCTCGTTTTGCTTTCCTGCCTAGACATATTCAGGAGTGGGGTTTCAGCTTAAGCAAAGTTGATGTCTATATCAAAAGTATTCTCTTCATGAAAGTCACTTGCTATATTAGTTTGTAACAAAGAAGACTCTAGCCTATACATATTCACTTACCTTCTTTGCTTGTTTTGTAGATAGCATGGGACAAACAAGCTGCTGTCAATCGGTGGTCATACAAAGGATCCCTCAGAATCTATGCAAGGTTAGCGTTTATATACCTTTGAAGACGATTATTTGCACATATCTTAGAAATTTTTTCTGGAATCTCAATGATTACATATCACTTTCTACTGTTTCCTGTCACAGTGAAGGTCTTTGATCCCATACCAGTACATGGTCAATGTTAAAGACATATGGAAAACCACCGTATATCTTCATTTCTCTCAATGTTGTCTCATTTGTTTTCCTGTCACCTTTGTATGGAAATATTCCAGTTTTATAAACAATTAATTTTTGGCCATCAAAAGACAAAAATAAAAGTTGTTTTCTTCCTTACCCTCTCATAATATCTTCACTGAAGATTCTTCAGGGTTAAGTTGCATGTAAATCCAGAATTTATCCTTGCTAATTTGGAAGTCAAATTTGCAGTTTGGTTACTTAAATTGAGACTTTCTTATCATTATCTCTTGCTTTCAGGTTTCACGGGAGGCCAGTCAGTTACAATGGTGGGTAAAACCTTGGTGATATTTGGCGGGCAAGATGCAAGAGATCACTTCTGAACGATTTGCATATACTTGACCTAGACACTATGACCTGGGATGAGATAGATGCCGTGTAAGATTTTATGATGTTTCTGCATTTTGTTCTCTTTCGAAGAAGTCAACCCCATTTAAGATTAGATATATAACCAGAATATGAATATTTTAGAAATCGACCACCTATCTCCTTTGTATCTTAGTCGTTATTGAAAGATTAGCAATTCAGGATTTAAACTGGTGTCAAATTGCAGGGGTGTATCTCCATCTCCGAGGTCTGATCATGCTGCTGCAGTGCATGCAGAACGTTTCCTTCTTATCTTTGGTGGGGGATCACATGCAACCTGTTTGATGACCTGCATGTCCTTGATTTGCAGACTGTAAGTTAAGCTAAGAGTCTATTCTTTCAGCTGCTCTCAAACATGCTTTGTCAGTGTCTGATATAATTGTCACATATAGATGGAGTGGTCAAGACCAGCACAACAAGGTGATGCACCAACTCCAAGAGCTGGACATGCTGGCGTGACAATTGGGGAGAACTGGTTTATTGTTGGTGGCGGTGATAACAAGAGTGGTATGTTAATGCACTTTCCCTTGGAAATTCTCTTCTCTTCCCAACCGTTCTGTTTATCACCCCCTGGAACCTTTCTGGAAAAAAAAAAAGATATTTGCTTTGCTTCTTTTTTTTGCGTGTGTGGTGACTGATTTTGTGACAAATTACTGCAGGGGCATCGGAGAGTGTTGTACTAAACATGTCAACTCTTTCATGGTCGGTAGTTGCTTCAGTTCAAGGACGTGTACCTCTTGCTAGTGAGGTACTTATTGATAACCATACAAATAGTAATTTCACCTTGAAATTCCTGAAACACTGTAGCAGCCTTTTCCAGAATTCGAGAAAAATCAGTCTGTATATTTCATTTCATCTCCCTTTCCTTTGCTACTGACAGGGATTAAGTTTAGTGGTGAGTTCATACAATGGTGAAGATGTACTAGTCGCTTTTGGTGGATACAATGGACGTTACAACAACGAAGTAGGGACTGTGATCTAAACCCATAAGTTCATTTCTCTTGCTTTTTTATTTAGTTCTGCTTCTAATTTTTATTTGGCATTAGATTAATCTTCTTAAACCAAGCCACAAATCAACATTGCAAACAAAGACTCTGGAAGCGCCTTTGCCAGGCAGTCTTTCTGCTGTTAATAACGCCACAACCAGAGACATTGAGTCTGAGGTTGAGGTGAGCCAAGAAGGCAGAGTACGTGAAATTGTCATGGACAATGTTAACCCTGGATCAAAGGTATCTTCTTGCCAAAATTTCCCTCCTTAAAGCATCTTATGCATATATGATGTGGTAGTGATTGTATCGACACAGAATATAGTTACCCCAGTCCGGATCATCACCTTCTCTTGCTCTTATTTTGTTTTGGGTGATGAATCCCCAGGTTGAAGGAAACAGCGAACGCATTATTGCGACTATTAAATCTGAGAAGGAAGAGCTGGAGGCATCACTGAACAAAGAGAGGATGCAGACTCTCCAACTAAGGCAAGAGTTAGGAGAAGCAGAATTACGAAACACAGATTTGTACAAGGTACTAATATTATCACCTTCTTAAACAGAAGCCGACATGAATAAATTGGTGAACGAATTGTTCATAAAGACTGGTTGCAGCAAAGTCTTCCAATTGCATTCACATTTAACATCTGGAAATCTCGGAATTTTTCCTCTGATACGATATACCTAACTTTGTACTGACATTTTGTAGGAACTTCAATCTGTTCGTGGTCAACTTGCAGCCGAACAATCAAGGTGTTTCAAACTGGAGGTACTAAACCGTAGCCACATCTCTTTTGTACCATAACCTACAGAACTTGGAGTCTCGTGAAACCCGTGATTTAATGACTACATATATTCCAGGATGAATAGAAATCTTGATTGGAACATTCATCCATTGTAACCACTGGATCTATCACATATCTCTCTGTCATTTATTGATAAGCTTCATCACGTCATAAAAAACAAAAACAGAGCAAATATAATTGGGTCACTTTCTTTGAATCTGCAGGTTGATGTTGCAGAGCTAAGACAAAAGCTTCAAACATTGGAAACACTACAAAAGGAACTCGAACTCCTGCAGCGTCAAAAGGCTGCCTCAGAACAAGCTGCAATGAACGCTAAACGACAGAGCTCGGGTGGCGTATGGGGCTGGCTCGCTGGGAGCCCTCAGGAAAAGGATGATGATTCGCCTGATCATTTTTGGCCCGGTATTGCCATTTTCCTCTGGTCGATATTTGCTGAAATATATATAGTTTTTTTTTGGTCCGAGTCCCTCGCATTTGAGCTTCGTCCAATAAGATATTTCAATACCAGTCTTTTCTGAGCTTTGATTACTATCGATGTTTAGCTTTTTCTCTGTTATACAAGTGATTCACCAGAATATATTCGTTTGACTTTTTTGAAATATTTGTTTGGGGAGTGACAGAGAGAAATTATTAAAAACTAAATCAGTTTACGATCAGCCATCATAATTTTCTTATGTTTACGAGTCTATATATACTTTTATGTATAAAAGATTCTCTAAACCAAAAACGAAATCATACTCTAATAAAATAAATAAACCTCATTTCGTATGAGGACGAAAAAACACGTTTTGGGCAACAAAATAAAATAAAATAAAAAGATCACGTTTTTTCGTCCCATGACGTGGCAACCTGGTACTGGATGGGAAGTTCGACCGTTCAGCATCATCATTTACGACGCTGGAAAGTTACCAAAATGTCCTTCTCAGCAAGTGAAGTTTTTTGTCATCTTCTCCAGCTTTACTCTCATGAAATTTCTTAAATTTCTCTTGCAGCAAAATTATCTCTGGATTTAATCAAAGTTATGCATCTTCTGGCTTCGAGTTGTTTTCTAGGGTTTGATGCCATTGTTATGAAAGCTCTTTAACACCGAGGGTTCAAGTGTTGTTAGAGAAATGAATTCTGCTGAGGTGAATCCTAGGGTTTTTTGGCGATAGTTTCGTTACTTTTTCTGGTAATGATGGCTCGAGGAAATTGGAAACGATTGATCAGGCCGAAGCTTTCCTTATGGAGCTTGATTCGGTTGCTACAGACATTGGAAGTGATGGTAATGGAAATGTTGATTTCGGTTCTCGAGTGTCTGACAGTGAAACAGAACCTAGGTTTTGTGAAATGAAAAGAGAGAATAGAGACTCTGATGACCGGTTTTATGAGTTCTGCATCGAAGTTGATGAGAAGAAAATGGAGAAAAAGCGAGTTCCGGACTACAAATCTTACTTATCCGAGTTTGATGATTATGTTGCAAGCGAGAAAATGGGTTCTGGAAATTCTAAGGCATTGAGCTATGGGTTTGAAGTGGGAGATATGGTATGGGGAAAGGTTAAGTCACATCCGTGGTGGCCAGGTCAGATATTCAATGAAGCGTTTGCGTCTCCCTCTGTTCGTTGTATGAAGAAGATGGGTTACGTTCTGGTTGCTTTCTTTGGAGATAATAGTTATGGGTGGTTTGATCCTGCTGAGCTTCTTCCTTTTGAACCTCATGTAGCAGAGAATTCGCAGCAAACTAATTCAGGTCACTTTGCAAAAGCTGTGGAAGAAGCTATGGATGAAGTAGGTAGAAGGTCAGCTCTTGGGTTGACTTGTAAATGTCGGAATCAGTATAACTTTAGGCCTACTAATGTTCAAGGTTACTTTGCTGTAGACGTGCCTGATTATGATCTCCAAGCTGTTTACTCTTTTAAGCAGATTCAGAAAGCTAGGGATAGTTTTTCATCTGTTCAAACTCTAGCTTTCGTGAAGCGGTGTGCATTAGCACCTCAAGAGTGTGATACAGACAGCTTAAAGTCTTTCCAGAAGAAAGTAGCTGTTTGTGCATTCCGTAGGGCAGTGTTTGAGGAGTTTGATGAAACATATGAACAAGCCTTCAGGGCAAGATCTGTATACTGTTTAGTGAAGACACATGAACCACTTAACAGAGCACCCCTTCGAGGTAGATTCACCTTTCAGAGATCCTGGCATTATTTTGAATACATTTGTAATATTTCTGCTTCCATAATCGGATTTTATGGAGTTATATTGGACCTTTATCCTATGTATCACAGATATGCGGTACTCTATAAATTGGTGATCTCGTTGAGTTTGTTTTTTCTGTTTCTCGAGCCATATAGGCTACAATCGAGAGTTTTGTGGTTTTCATATCCTTGAACATCCGAAAATCGTTGGGTTTCTTAAGGTTGTTATTGTAGGATTTATAGCTTTGAAGTTGTATTCTTAGAATGCCTCAAAAAGGCATGGCATATCTTTGATCTTAAATTCTGGATTGTGAAATCAACTTCACAATGTGGAGTGTCATTTAACCTTTATTGTTTGCTTTACTTTCATTGTTTTGGGTGGTTGGAATAGAATTCATATTTCCTCATGCATTGCTTATGTTTACAGTCCCCTTGAGTGGCTCATTGGTCAGTGCAGAAACTCTGGGCAACCCAAAGAGCTCTACAAAAGCTATGAATGTAAAGAATTCTACTAAACAAGAAAAATATCTTCCCAAAAGAAGAGAGGGAGCTGGTGATATGACAGTTCAATTTGGCCAGGTCCAAGAATCTTTTCAGATTCAGGGCAGCAACAGATCTTCAGCTGGGGATCATGTACTGCAGAGAAGGACTCCACATACCCAAACTCCCAGGAAACTGTTAGAATTGAGTCCATGATTAAATCTTCTAATATCATATGTGTTAGTTTGTATGTAAAGTCAACGAATGTAATGTGTTACATGTGACTTACCACGAACGGGTGTGAGTAAAAGACGTAACTTGTCGGAGAAGTTACAACTGTTACCAACGGTTACGTGGAGTAGTTATGTAAACATGTATATAAGTGTGTATGTCTTGTCTTAACAAAACAACAAGTTTCAGATTCAATTAAAGTTTTCTATTTTCGTTCTTTGGCTTCTTTAAAGGAGAAGAGATAATTGTTTATCTCTTACTCTGTTTCTTCATTCTCTCTCAATATTCCAACATGGTATCAGAGCCCTACTGATTCAAGGGCCTATTCAAGTAAAAAAGAATTCCGCTGCGAGAAGAAGAGAAAGATGGAGCCAACATTTCTTACGGTTAGAAACCGAAAAAAAAAAAAAAAAAGAAGAAAAAAGAAGAAGAAGAAGAAACAGAAAAGGAAGAAAATGAAGAGGTGGTGACAAGAGAGATCCCATCAACCTTCACAATCACAAACACATGACGTACCTTTAAGAAGAAGGCTCCAAAGGGATGAAGGAGATAGGAAATCTTCTCAAATGGCAATGGAGACAATGGATGTGGATTTGGAGTTGTGGAAGGAGAATTCTGAAACTTTGTTCAAAAAGGTCTTGGTCAAACAAGACGGGGAAGCCGCCTGTGTAAGAAACAGAGCAAGGCTTACTATCAAAAGGTGTTGTTGAGTTGTGAAGAAGACTACAACACGGAGTAAGTCGCTGTTAGAAGAACATGGTAAGGCTACTCAGCAAAAAAGGTTCAAGGGAACCGATGTCGTCAGCGAGACGTGGAGAAAAAGTTTGTTCAAAAGGAAGAAACAAACATAGCGACAAAAGTCAAAATAGGCCGAGAAATGGTGTGACTTTTGTACGTGTGACAATCACAATGGGAGTGATTGTTGGAGAAAGCACACAAGGATGTTAGCTTGCCTACGGGTGTGAAGATGCTTACCTAAGAGTGAAAGGAAGCATTGGTTGGTCGTAGAGACAACCGAAGAAGACGTGTAGATGTTCACGCACAAGACGTCATTGCGACGTGATGGTGATCAAAAGAGGACACCATAAGAGGATGCTTACCTCGGAGAAAAATGGAGCACAAGAGGATGCTTACCTCGGAGAAAAATGGAGCATAAGTCGGTTGAAGAGTAAACCGAAGACGACGTGAAGAAGATTCACGCACAAGTTGTCACAGAGATGTGATGGTGATCAAAGGATCACAAATTTGGTGATCAAGAGGACACCAAAAGGGAATAAGAAGAAAACTCACCTAAGAGAAAGGGAGTGAAAGAAGGTTGCAAGGACAGCCGACGAAAACGTGACAAAGGATCACGGAAAAAACGTGAGGAAAGCTCATGGAGACGTCAAGAAGAACGTGAGAGAGATCACGGGTAAAACTTGAAGGTTGGAGACGACTTTTGGGTAAAACTGTAAGAGAAAACCCACAAGTTCCAATGTCTGAAGAAGAAATAATAGACAAGAAGTTACCAAAGGTTAAGTTGATTCAACTCCACGGCACCTGCAGAAAAGAAAGAGCTGTGTTCGATTAAGGAGAATCGAAACATGGTAAGGTGGAGAAGAAGTGTTCACGAAAGAGGAAAATCGATGAGTGAAGCATCCAATCAAGAGGGAGACACAGAAGGAATGCTTACTAGTAAACTATGGCATCGTCGTGAAAGGGATTTGACCAGAGAAGTGGCAAAGCACCAGAGGCGAAGAAGAAACTATGGGATTGAAATCCCTAGATTGAAATTAGGGATTTAATCAAAGGACTCAAGAGGGAGTGTTAGAATTGAGTCCATGATTAAATCTTCTAATATCATATGTGTTAGTTTGTATGTAAAGTCAACGAATGTAATGTGTTACATGTGACTTACCACGAACGGGTGTGAGTAAAAGACGTAACTTGTCGGAGAAGTTACAACTGTTACCAACGGTTACGTGGAGTAGTTATGTAAACATGTATATAAGTGTGTATGTCTTGTCTTAACAAAACAACAAGTTTCAGATTCAATTAAAGTTTTCTATTTTCGTTCTTTGGCTTCTTTAAAGGAGAAGAGATAATTGTTTATCTCTTACTCTGTTTCTTCATTCTCTCTCAATATTCCAACATGGTATCAGAGCCCTACTGATTCAAGGGCCTATTCAAGTAAAAAAGAATTCCGCTGCGAGAAGAAGAGAAAGATGGAGCCAACATTTCTTACGGTTAGAAACCGAAAAAAAAAAAAAAAAAAAGAAGAAAAAAGAAGAAGAAGAAGAAACAGAAAAGGAAGAAAATGAAGAGGTGGTGACAAGAGAGATCCCATCAACCTTCACAATCACAAACACATGACGTACCTTTAAGAAGAAGGCTCCAAAGGGATGAAGGAGATAGGAAATCTTCTCAAATGGCAATGGAGACAATGGATGTGGATTTGGAGTTGTGGAAGGAGAATTCTGAAACTTTGTTCAAAAAGGTCTTGGTCAAACAAGACGGGGAAGCCGCCTGTGTAAGAAACAGAGCAAGGCTTACTATCAAAAGGTGTTGTTGAGTTGTGAAGAAGACTACAACACGGAGTAAGTCGCTGTTAGAAGAACATGGTAAGGCTACTCAGCAAAAAAGGTTCAAGGGAACCGATGTCGTCAGCGAGACGTGGAGAAAAAGTTTGTTCAAAAGGAAGAAACAAACATAGCGACAAAAGTCAAAATAGGCCGAGAAATGGTGTGACTTTTGTACGTGTGACAATCACAATGGGAGTGATTGTTGGAGAAAGCAACACAAGGATGTTAGCTTGCCTACGGGTGTGAAGATGCTTACCTAAGAGTGAAAGGAAGCATTGGTTGGTCGTAGAGACAACCGAAGAAGACGTGTAGATGTTCACGCACAAGACGTCATTGCGACGTGATGGTGATCAAAAGAGGACACCATAAGAGGATGCTTACCTCGGAGAAAAATGGAGCACAAGAGGATGCTTACCTCGGAGAAAAATGGAGCATAAGTCGGTTGAAGAGTAAACCGAAGACGACGTGAAGAAGATTCACGCACAAGTTGTCACAGAGATGTGATGGTGATCAAAGGATCACAAATTTGGTGATCAAGAGGACACCAAAAGGGAATAAGAAGAAAACTCACCTAAGAGAAAGGGAGTGAAAGAAGGTTGCAAGGACAGCCGACGAAAACGTGACAAAGGATCACGGAAAAAACGTGAGGAAAGCTCATGGAGACGTCAAGAAGAACGTGAGAGAGATCACGGGTAAAACTTGAAGGTTGGAGACGACTTTTGGGTAAAACTGTAAGAGAAAACCCACAAGTTCCAATGTCTGAAGAAGAAATAATAGACAAGAAGTTACCAAAGGTTAAGTTGATTCAACTCCACGGCACCTGCAGAAAAGAAAGAGCTGTGTTCGATTAAGGAGAATCGAAACATGGTAAGGTGGAGAAGAAGTGTTCACGAAAGAGGAAAATCGATGAGTGAAGCATCCAATCAAGAGGGAGACACAGAAGGAATGCTTACTAGTAAACTATGGCATCGTCGTGAAAGGGATTTGACCAGAGAAGTGGCAAAGCACCAGAGGCGAAGAAGAAACTATGGGATTGAAATCCCTAGATTGAAATTAGGGATTTAATCAAAGGACTCAAGAGGGAGTGTTAGAATTGAGTCCATGATTAAATCTTCTAATATCATATGTGTTAGTTTGTATGTAAAGTCAACGAATGTAATGTGTTACATGTGACTTACCACGAACGGGTGTGAGTAAAAGACGTAACTTGTCGGAGAAGTTACAACTGTTACCAACGGTTACGTGGAGTAGTTATGTAAACATGTATATAAGTGTGTATGTCTTGTCTTAACAAAACAACAAGTTTCAGATTCAATTAAAGTTTTCTATTTTCGTTCTTTGGCTTCTTTAAAGGAGAAGAGATAATTGTTTATCTCTTACTCTGTTTCTTCATTCTCTCTCAATATTCCAACAGAAACATGAGCAGACCGGGCTTGTCAGCATGAACTTCACCTCTTCAAGTGGTAATATTCCTGGAAAGAAATCCTCTGTTTCAAAGCTCTCTCGTGATGATGACAAGGGTTTCGCTCATGAGAAATTTGAAGCAATGAAAAGCCTTAAACAAGAAGAGACTGGCACGAACTCTAGATCTAACGAAGGCTCTCTCCAGCCTTTTATTGGTGGGAAATTTTCTGCAGGAGTTGGGATCAAGAAAGGCAATGTCGTGAAACGGTCTTCTGGCGAAATGGAATCTGAGAATGGTCCTCCAGAGCCGAAGAAGAAGAAGAAAGAGTCTGTGTCAGAGCTGAACCGTGACACTCCAGATAAGAGGAAAACTTTATCTTCTGGGGAAGCTTGGGCCAAGAAATCATCACAAGTGGATTCAGCAAAGAGACACTCCAATATGTTGATTGTGAGAAACTCTAAACTTGATGGTCTGCAGCTGTTGAGTAATTTGCAAGCTCTCTCGCTTGACTATTTCTTTGGATCCTCAGATAGAAGTTCTTTTAGAGCTGTAAGGCAGTTCTTTCTTCATTTCCGATCACATGTTTACCAGAGAAGCTTGGCCACATCTCCGTCCACTACAAAACTGTCAAAATCTGCGAAGACTTTGTGCAGAACTAATGAACCATCAAAGGCTGGGAGAAACCGCATATCGTCTGACAATCAACAAGATGTCCCATCAACTAAGAAGCTAAAGAAAACCATTCAGTTCAAACCAATGGCTTCTGACAAGAAAACAAAGCAAGAAGCAACAAAGAGATCAACTCTTGCCACTTTTAGTCCAGTGAGAGACCAAGGTGGTCCAGTCCCCATCAATGCCAAACCAGCTATAGTTCAATCAGAAAAGAAGAAGGCCCCATCTGCAATGGTAGTTGAGCCAACAATGCTGGTCATGATGTTTCCTCCTGGTACAACTCTCCCTTCCACCGCTCTGCTTAAGGCGAGGTTTGGACGCTTTGGACAGTTGGATCAATCAGCCATCAGAGTTTCCTGGAAATCCTCGATATGCCGTGTTGTCTTCAAGTATAAGCTCGATGCGCAGACTGCCTTAAGATATGCATCAGGAAGCAACTCTATCTTTGGCAACGTGAATGTGACATACTTTCTCCGCGACATGAAAGCTTCTTCTGCATCCGGAGATCATGAACTGAAGAAAGCCAAGATAGACGAACCAATCATTGAACCATTGAACCAGTGGCTAGAGAAAGCACCGCCAGTTCACCAACCAAACATCCAGCTCAAGTCGTGTTTGAAAAAACCAGGCAATAACGATAATGGTAACCACAGAACAGTACGAGTGAAATTCATGTTGGGTGAAGAAACAGAGACGCCATTTTCAGTTTCGGGTAGAAACAATGGAAATTACGCTTCTTCTTCATCATCATCTGTTGCAATGGAATATGTTAGTGAGAACACTCAAAACATGGTTCCCTCAACATTACCTCCGATTCTTCCTCTCTCTTCACAAGACTCAGAACCAAAGCCTGTTAATAATCAAGTGAACCACGTAGAGCCACCAATAAACCCGTCGCAGTTTACCGTGGACATTTCCCTGCAGATGATGGAGCTGTTAACAAGGTGTAACGATGTTGTGTCTAACGTCACGTGTTTGTTAGGTTACGTCCCTTATCATTCCTTATGAAAGAGTACATTATTAAAAAAACAGAAGTATGTCCTTAGGTATTAGTATGGTTATACACTCTGGAGAAGGAACATCTCTCTTTCTCTAAATATCCAGAGTTGGCATATAAACCGAATTTAAACCAGCATGTGTTTATAGCTTTATTGGTTTTCTTATTTTAAATCCAAAATCAAACTGCAAACAAAAAAAAAAGCAAAAGATAATTGAAACGAGACGCGTTTTTATTCTGCGTTTGAATCTAATTTAATACTCCATGAAATCTGCATAAATTAGATCTAACAGTTTAGAGCATAATAATATCTTATTTTTATTTAAAATCAGATATTATCGGATCCTGGCAAATATATTTTCTTTTGCACAAGTTATATTTTTCCAACAAGATAGCCAGTTTTCGATATTGTTGAGGATTTTTCAGTCATGATCATACTAATAATCGTTAAAGTTCTTTAAGGAGAATTTTTACTTTTAGTTTCGATTGAGCGTGATTGTACTATATATCAGCTCATTTTCGGTTTTGTTTCAGTTTGGCTTGGCAAAAGCACTTATATAAAAAAAAAATATAGGTTAGATTTGATTTGTTTTAAAATCATTTTAATTTCGATTACGGGACGGTGTTTGAGACTTATCAGCCTCTCTACAAAATATTTCAGATTGATTGATATCTAAACTAATGTTTTAACTTTTATTATCTTTTGAGACTCCTTAATAATTTTTTTTTTAAAAGTACTATGTATAATTTAAACAATAAATAATACCAAAGATTTTGACCCAACAAAATAATATACCAAAAGCTTTTGGATTTGGATGCAAAAATCCTTAAAACGATATATATATAAAAGATTCGTAGTTATACTAGGAACCTTAATCAAACAACCTTTATAATCCCGAAATCTCCTCTTTCTAAGTTACTCATCTCTTTTCTCTTCTTCTTCTACTGATTCTCCACACTCCTTAATGGAGTATTATCAACCGGTGGAGATTAACGTTCTCTCAGCTCAAGATCTCGGCTCCGTCAATCTTTTGTTCAGACCAACAGTCTATGTTTCCGTCTCGGTCACACGTGGTTCACGTGACAAGCAAGTCACTCCAGCTGCAGCATGCGGTAAGAAACTCTTACGGTGGAATTACCGTATGAAATTCTATATAGAAGATGACAAGGTTCGAAGGAATGAGTCAGTGTTTGTGTTTCAAATCAAGTGTAAGAGATTTTTCGGGTCTGACCAAGTCATTGGGAAACTTTTTGTACCGGTAAAGCAATTGCGTCACTTGAATGAAGAGAAGACGATAACCGAGCATATCAATATAAATTATCAGGTCATAACCGAGACCGGAAAACCAAAGGGTAGTATATGTTTAGGGTTTAGATTTGGATGTATTTTTAGGGGACAAATCAGAGGTTATGATTCGGATACTGCTAGGGTTTATGATGGTTGTAGATTAGGAGTTTGGGGAAATCTTAGACATGAACCATCAGCTCCTTGTGAAGACGATATCTATGCTTAGAAATTGATTAATTCGATTACTTTCGAATAATTTTCATATCTTCTTATTGTTATACTGTATTATTTTATATGTATAATAAAGGATAGATTTCTCGTTACCCTTTGCGTATGGTGTCATTGGTACGTTGACTTATATTATCTTTTGTATTATAGTACTGTTGGATTTTGTAGGTTAATTAATAGACTGAAACGTTTCTTTGTATATATATTATGTTTCAATTATAAGTGAAACTATATAAATGTATAATGGTATTATCAGTTATGATTTATATGATATCAGGAGTTCTAGTTATCTGATTAGAAACAACAAGAAAAAATGGGTAATTAACATTTGTACTTAATTCTAGTTCAAATTATACGCCTTTGTTTCTCTATAACTAAATATAATTGTTTTTTGAAAATATAGAAAATGAGATTAACCTAAAAATGTGTTTCTTAAATAGCTTCGAATTAAGAAATTAAAAATCGACATTTAAACCAAAACCTAAGCAGAAAATAAAGAAGACTCTTTGGTTCTTATTGAAGAGTTGGATAGAAATTTGGCATTTTCCAAATCCAGACTAGTAAAAGCAAGGTTACTTGATATAGTAGGCAGTTACACAACTTATGGTGTAACCCATGATATAAACCCAAAGCTAGACCAACGTGGTTAATTACTTTACAACCAAACAGGTTCAAATAGGTTTCTCTTTTATGATCCTTTAAAATTTTAGAGTGAATGAAAACATGTTGAAGTCCTTAATGTCTAAATAGTTTTAACACTTAATTGGAAATCACAACTTAATTACTTTAACTCCAAGTTTCCTTATGAAACTCTTCATCTGGTCTTTTCCATCACCTTGGCTGCCTCTTTCAATTGGTCTCCTCCATCACCTTCAACTAGCACATTGACAAGGTAAAAAAAAACAGAGCAAAATCAGATGCGAATTGTTATTTTTCTTGTTAGGCCAATAAGTTGAACAGAACAAGCAGACTGCAACATCTATATTAAGTTATTAACCATGGCCACTATATACGAAAGAACAATCAGAGTGGTCTAATAATCTTCTAACTAAGTCTTTTACCAAATCATTTTTAATACTCTTTAAACCAACTAACACACTGATAAGGGAGAAAAAAACAGAGCAAAACCAGAGATTTGTATCTTCTTGGGAGGCCAACAAGTTGAACAGAACCAGCATACTTGACCATCTATTAACATTGCCATAGACGTTGAGATACGAATAGGTGAGAAGAAAAAGAGTATTACGTACCCAATTTAGGTGGAGAAGTGGGTCTGCAAAGGATGGGATAAGTCTGGCCTGCAGACCAAACCACCTTAGCTTGATACTCCACTAGAGGTGCATCATCAGGAGAATCAGACTGATCTCTTGCAGCAAATGTGATGTAGTACTTGGTCCTGCCCCCTGGGTTAAAATTAGCCCTCAAGATACGTTCGAATTTCACATTCTTTTTCTTTCTGGAACTCACGACCAGAAACGCCTTTCCAAACATCTTTGTCCAGATCCCGGACTGTACTAATTCCAGCCCAAAGGTAAATTGGGAAATCTTCCGATGGCTCAAAGAAACCCTAATTAATTAAAACCCTACTCAAAAACTTTGTTGAATCCCCAAGTTTAGCAAAGGTGATAGATAGAGAGATATAACTACGTACGTACGTACCTTGGTCTCGATGACCTTGCGATTGTAAAAACGGGCTCTTCTCTGTAAATCCTCGTCCGAATAGTCACTATGATCAGATGTATGATACTCCCGCCCATCGAAACTATCCTTATCCCAATTTGAATCACTATCACTATCGTTATCCTCCTTATCATCGTCGACACCTTCTCTTTCACTGGGGTTGGAGATTTTCATGGGATCCGTCTCGATCAAAGATCCATCCTTGGTCTCTTCGTCTCTTGCTTTGGGAGCCATGTCAAAAACCCTAAATGCCCCCTTTTCAAACCCAATTTGTTTTTCCACTCTCAGTGATGCTTGTTTACGAACAATGTTGGTAGGTGTAAGTAAAAAAGTTCTTTAACATCTCATAATCATTATGACTAAGAAGATCATATAGAGAAGTAAATACATTATCTAAAAAAAAAGAACATTATAAATTTGGCTTGGTATCATTTTGATTTAAATGACTCAAATAACAACAAATCAACGGAACTAGACAAAATTGATAAAAAAAATTCAAACCGGACAGATTTATACTAAATTAAGAAGAAGTAAATAAATAAATAAAACAAATTTGAAAGCGAACATAGAAGCAAAGAGATTAGTTGAATTCTTGATTCTTTTGGTTGAGATTTAAATTTTTATCTAAAACAAAATATAAACTAAACTTGATCAGCAAACTGAACGGAAACAGCTAGATTATTGTAATGGGTTTTACTTTAATCAGTTTTAGTAGGGTAAAAAAAATCTAGGTTACGTACATTAAACCCATCCGAACCATAGGATTATTGTACCGCGTACCATATATAGTAAGTGTGGTCAAACTCAAGTCCATTAGTATTAACTCTTAAGATTTTCTGGTCAAACCCAAAACGTACGTTCCTTTTTTGGTTAAAATCCCATAACGTACATTGCATTATAAAAAAGCAATGAATAGACTTGATAAGAAAAAAAAACAAGCTAACTAGTTTGATTATGTGCAGACAGAGCTGGCCATAAGGTCAAGCAAGCAAAGCATATGCTTGCGGCCGCTAAATAATATCATTAAATTTCGGTTCATTTTATGAAAATGTTTTTGTGGTCTAGTGGTTATAACTTGGTGGAGCAATCAACAGATCACGAGTTCGATTCGAATCGTGAGTGTAGTTTAAACAAATTTTTTTATATCAAAATATTTATATAAATAAAAATAATGTGGCCTTTTTTTTCTTCGCTTGTAGTCTCGTGAAACTCCGGGACGGCTCTGTGTGCATATTATTGTTTGCCAATTGTTTTTGCCTGACTTATGCAAGCTATATACAATCAAGGACTCACGACCACTCAACAACATGAGTTTTCTTTTCTTGAACTTGTGGATCATATCAAGCCTAGCTAGAGATAATGAAGAAGCCAATTAAAATAGATGACAAAAGGGTAAGCAATTATGTATTTGTGTGTGTGTGTATATATATATATATATATATATTATGTCTGAATTGATATTTGTGTAAATTTTGGTCAAAGCTAATTTATTTATCTAGGTTTTTTAGTTTGTTAATTAGATACATGTATATGTGTATAATTAATTAGGCAAGCTCAAAAAAAATGAGGATCAAAAAAACATTTCATCTTTGTGAAGTCACTCTGAAGCCGACATTAGACATAGTTGAAACCATAGTAAAAGACTGGAGTGCTGAGGGTGTGGAGATAATTAGTTACATAATAAATCAATATAAAAGAGGTGAATTCATTTATGTACTATATTTATAATTAAAATAGATTTTTATATAAAAAATTAATTAACTAGTTATTAATCTAATGCAGATATATGCTCGACAATTTGTTTTGTCCGTCCTATACAAGTTCTTTACAACATTGGACGTCCAATCAACCAACATGTGAAGTTCTCTATTGCTGAATTGATCGATCACATCATGTCTGGTGAATCAGAAAACTTCGAACTTGCTAATCTTAAAATTGCTTTTAATCACATTGCCGATAAAGAATCTTGAAGGAGCCTCCAACATAAAACAAATCTTAAAGGTAAAAAACTAAAGATTATGTGTTTATGATGTGAATGACATGTCTTATCTGTTTTAATCCAACTGAATTATAAATATATAAATTTATTAGGCCAATACTTAGGGGATGAGATTTAAAGAAAATTTTCATTATTACGAAAATGTGGACGCTGACTTCATCCAAGCAAGACTGAATATATATCTACTTGCGTTGATAGCGCAAGTGGACGTTGACTTTTTATCTGTTCGCAAGGTTAGTAAAGTTTTACAAGTGATACATCTTTATTATTATGAATTTTATGGTGAAATAAAACAGAGATTGTAACAAGACTTATCCCATGATTCAGCTTCCTTTGGATTATTGAACTATTTTTTGTTTTTTAACAGACCATTTATTAAAATGGGCCTCCCAAATTTGGGCTTGGGCTACAAATAGTAAGTACAATAAGCAAATTGAAAAAAACAATTGTAGCCACTACTGAATTATTGTAGCGATGATAAACAAATTAACAAAGAGAAATTATGTAAAAGTACCTTCGCTTTATATGTCAATATGATAATTGTATCACTTTGAACTTTATATACGTAAATAAAACTAAGCACTTTCTATATATGTATTTCTTATTAGTGATATTTTGGTTAACCATGATAGTTTGGAAAATATACATGAGCAAGGATTGGGGAAAATAAACAATACATGTGAAACCTTATAACACACAATGAATTGGGCTTGGTCTACAAAACATGGGATAAGTCTTGTTGGTTACAGATCATGCGGCCTTAGCTTGATACTCCACTAAAGGTGCATCTGGAAACTCAAACTCTCTTGCAGCAAACGTGATGTAAAACTTGGACATCAAACCAGGGTTGGGAGTTTCGGCCTGCGCTTCCCAGTAACGATGATGAGGCAACGCCGGTAGAAGTTTCAATGGGTCCGTCAGTTCTGGATCTCTCGAAGATCCATCATTCACCTCGCCATCGCTTGATTTTGGAGCCATGTCGATTACCGAACAAACCCTAAATTTCCCCTTCAAGCCAATTTGATACTTTCTAAGAAGACGACACAACTTTTATGTCCGCATAATTAATAAAGATTAAAGTATACATGGTTAATTTGTAGTATAATTGTGCAATTGCAATTGATCCAACCAAAGACCCTAGGTCAAGCCAGTTTTTTGGCCTTTTGGAATGGTTTGATTTACTGCTTTTCTTCTTCCTTTTTTCGTCGTGATTTACTCCTTTTCTTATTAATGATTTTTTTGGTTCACTCAATGTGTGTTTGGAAATTTGTGTATTTATTTTTCTTTCTCGTGCCTATTCAATATAAAATCAATTATCCAAAAGTTTCATCTAAGTTCAGAAGTTTTTCATCAATTCAACGTTTTTTCCTCCACCAGTCTTATATGTACACGTGGCTTGCTTTATTGGCTAATTATTTTTCTGAGGCCTTCAGAAAACTCATGTTAATAGAAAAGAATCGTGTATTAAATTTGAGATATCGGTGAATACATGTTAACATATCTTAAATTTGATTTTATTCCATAAACATTTTTGGGAAATACAGTACCGCGTACCATATATAGTTAGTGTGGTCAAACTCAAATGTATTAGTATTAACTCTTAAGATTTTCTGGTCAAACCCAAAACGTACATTACTTTTTTTGGTTAAAATCCCATAACGTACATTGCATTATAAAAAAAAGCGATGAATATTACTTTAGCTTCATCATTAAAAGCAAAATACACTGTAACAGTATCAATCAACTATATATATATATATATACATGATGTACAAGTATCAAGTCAACTATATATATATATATATATACATAATCAGAAATAGTCTTGAATTTTATTGTAATCTTTATAGCAGAAGATAAGAAATGGAGTAGAGTATCAATCAACGAGATCAACTTTGTGGAGCCTCAAATCTTTAACAACCTTTAAGAGATTGTCATTTTCTTCTAATCCTTGAATCTGTTAGTGTCATTACTCTTATAAATGAACATATAATTGGAAATGAAACAAGCTGGCCAAATTAAAAAAAATAAACATATGTGAGGACTAACACAATCAAACGTTAACTGGAGATATTAACTAAATACATTTAAATCCAGGTAAGAATAACCAATCTGTCTTTTAACGTAGATAAATAGTGCAAGTTCCTTAATAACTTAGTCTACTAAATTCGTTAAAGCAGGCTAAACAACAATCCTTATGAAATTCTTCAAACTACTCTATTCCATCACCTTGTCTACCTCTTTCAATTGATCTCTTCGGCTACCTTTTTCAATTGAGCTCCTCCATCACCTTCAACTAGCACACTGACAGAAAGAAAAAAACAGCAAAATCAGATGTTAGTTGTAACTTCTTAGGCTTATCAAGCGAACCAGAACCAGTATACTTCACCATCTATATGCACCATTTACGAGATAACAATCAGAGTGATCAATCTAACAATTCTAGAAACCACACTTATACTCCACAAAATGAAGCTAATTAAGCAGAACAGTCTCACAAATAAGATTCCATGTGGAGAAGACAAAACCAGAAGATGTGTCAGCCAAACCCTAGAAGAAGATATAGTCAAGTAACGTGATTTTCTTCACTGAATGGTGTCTCTGTTCCAGTGATTTAATATACAAGAGTGAAGCACGAAGAAAAAAGCTAGAAAATTCAAGAAAAAAAATGTTGAAATCTGAATAGGAGAGGTGAAAAAGATTATATAATCAAGTAAAGTGTGGTTTCTCACTGAAGGGTGTCTCTGTTGTTCTAGTCATTAAATTTGCACGGAGAATTGACAAAAATAAACATAAAATACGAAACTACATATGTTGAAATCTGAATAGAGGTGATAAATACCAATTTTAGGTGGAGAAGTGGGTCTGCAAAGGATGGGATAAGTCTTGCCGCCTGCAGCCCAATCCACCTTAGCTTGATACTCCACTAGAGGTGCATCAGGAGAATCATACTCTCTTGCAGCAAAAGTGATGTAGTACGTTGTGATGCCCCCTGGGTTGAAATTTGCCCTCAAAACATGCTCCAACTTCACATTAAATCCCTGGAAACAACAGACAAGAATGGCTCATCTCATATTACCTATATAGGACTCTGAAAGTCAAACTAGAGATTGTTACCTTATGTTTGTTATATTTGTCAAGACAAAGAGATGCCATGTTTGCTAGAAACTGACGAACTGTCACACCTGTACTACGCATCTTTTTATCCAGACCAGGGACTGTAGCAATTCCACCCCAGAGGTAAGGTGGGAATTCCTTAGTTGCCAGAAAAAAACCCTAAAGCCGAAAAAACTACTATGTTGCTTCATTTTATAATGACTCAATATGTATAGAGATGAAGAAAAGGATGATAGATACCTTGGTTTCGATGACCGTGCGCCTGTAAAAACGGGCCTTCTTCTCAAGGTCCTTGTCGATATACTCTCTCTCATCATCAGAAGAATGATACTCCCGGCCATCGAAGCTATCCTTATCCCATTCGGGATCACTATCACTATCCTTATCCTCCTCATCTATGAGATCCTCGTCGTCCACACCTTCTTCGTTTTCACCGGGATCCTCCAGGTTGGTGGCTTCGACCTTACGTTTCCCCAGCAAAGAAGAGTCATCGCCCGTGGATATTTCCATGGCCTCCGCCGATTGGGTTTCGCTTGAAGATCCATTCTTGGTCTCGCTCTCGCTTGGTTTGGGAGCCATCTCGAACCCTAGATTCTCCTAAAATATTGGGAAACAGCTCAGCAATTTTTGTAAGCACAAAGGTGACCACTCATATAGACTACACGATAGGGTTTTTGGCTATTAATTTTGTTTTAAAGGCTCAGTATTGTCACATGATATGAGGTCTTATATGTACACGTGGCTTGCTTTATTGGCTAATTATTTTTCTCAGGCCTTCAGAAAACTCATTTAATAGAAAAGAATCCTGTATTAAATTTGAGATATAATCTTATCATTGTGAGTTTTTGTAGTATCGGACTATCGGTGAATACATGTTAACATATCTTAAAATTTGATTTTATTCCATAAACATTTTTGGGAAATACAGTACCGCGTACCATATATAGTTAGTGTGGTCAAACTCAAATGTATTAGTATTAACTCTTAAGATTTTCTGGTCAAACCCAAAACGTACATTCCTTTGGTTTGTTAAAATCCCATAACGTACATTGCATTATATAAAAAAGCGATGAATATTACTTTAGCTTCATCATTAAAAGCAAAATACACTGTAACAGTTTTCTCTGGAGGATGAAGAACGTTTCCTTTCAACTTTTGTTATTGGTTTCTCTTCTTGTTCTTATCTTTCGTAAGTAAATTTACTTTCCAGTCTGTAGTTTTTAATACACTTTTCATTTTTTAGTTTAATACCTGAATGATGGAAAATCATATCTGTATGCAATTTGAAAATAAGAAAATGAAAGTTGATGCAATTTTGAACATATAAATCGGAAGGATATTTTTATAGAGAGGAGGATGAGCATGGAAAATTAATATGTGAAACCAATCGATAGAAATTAATTTTATGCAGTATATTTTATGACAAATTATGTTGGACTAACATATGTTATGATCACATTTGAAGGACATGATCTTGTGGAAGGTAGGACAATGCATACAAATAGAGGCAGTGGGGATTATCACGATCATCCTTGCAATCCAAGCGATCCAAAGTGCGACAAACCTTGTAATCCAGAGAATCCAAATTGCAGAATGAAACAAGGTGTCATTGAGCCAAATAGAGGCAATGGGTATCTGCACGATGATCCTCCTTGCAATCCAAATGATCCAAAGTGCGACAAACCTTGTGATCCAGAGAATCCAAATTGCTGAAAGAAATAAGGCGTTGATGGGACAAGAAGCAGAAATGGTAGCTATGGGAATTTAAATGATAAGATATGTGAATGCCTTATAAAACGTATTTAATGAATAAAACGTGTTTTCTCCAAATATCTTGATCAATATGATCTATATATATAGCCAGAAAATTCTGGTGTATATGCAATGCCCCAGAAAAGCATAACTATTAATGAATAAAACGTGTTTGTTATATTGTTCAAGACAAAGAGATGTCATGTTTGCTAGGAACTGACCAACTGTCAAAAGTTTTGTCAATCAACGTAACCAGATTATAAACTTAACAAGTTTATTTGTGAAGCCTTAAAGATGTTTTCATTTTCTAACCCATAAAATCTATTGGATTGGTAGACATTATAATTATATACATGAACGAATATGAAATGGACATGGAAACATGCTATATAGTGAAATTCAGAAAAATAAACATATGTTTAGACATAGACAATCTACAGTTGATTGGAGATACTAACTAAATAGTTTTAAATCCGGGTAATACACAATCATCTTTTAAAGTCTATTACATTCGTTAGAGCAGACTAAACAACAATCCTTATGAAATTCTTCAACTGCTCTCTTCCATCACCTTGGCTACCTCTTTCAATTGATCTCCTCCATCACCTTCAACTAGCACATTGACAAGGGAATAACAAAAACAGAGCAAAATCAGATGGTAATTGTATCTTTTTAGGCTTATTTATAAAGCTAACCATAGCCAGCATACTTCACCATCTCTATGTACCATTGCCACTATCTACGAGATAGCAAACAGAGTGGTTAAGTTCTCATCTAACCAAGTCTAGAAATCACTTTTTCTTCAGACCCCACTTTAATGCTAAGAATGTCATTCGAGAAGACAAAACAAGAAGATGTGTCAACATTGCAGCCAAACCATACAATTAGCATGCATACAATCAAGTACAATCAAGTAAAGTGTGGTTTCTTCAGTGAATAGTGTCTCTGTTCTAGTCATTTAATTTACAAAAGTGAAGCACGAAGAAAAAGCTAGAGAATTCTAGAAAAAATAACAAAACATGTTGAGAGGTGACAAATATACCCATTTTAGGTGGAGAAGTGGGTCTGCAAAGGATGGGGTAAGTCTTGCCTGCAGACCAAACCACCTTAGCTTGATACTCCACTAGAGGTGCATCAGGAGAATCAGACTCTCTTGCAGCAAAAGTGATGTAGTACGTTGTCCTGCCCCCTGGGTCAAAATTAGCCCTCAAAACATGCTCCAACTTCACATTAAATCCCTGGAAACAAGAGACAAGAATGGCTCATCTCATATTACATAGGATTCTGAAAAGCCAAACTACAGATGCATGTTACTACCTTATGTTTGTTATATTTTTCAAGACATAGAGATGTCATGTTTGCTAGAAACTGACGAACGGTCAAACCTTCCTCAAGGTCATCGTCCAGACCAGGGACTGTAGCAATTCCAGCCCAGAGGTAAGGTGGGAATTCGTCAGTTGCCTCAAAAAAACCCTAAACCAAACAGAAAAACTACAATGTTACTTGATTACTTATATATGACCCTAATAAAGACTCACGATTGGGAGATTTACTAAGATGAAAAAAGGATCATACTTTTGTTTCGATGACTGTGCGACGGTAAAAACGGGCCCTCCTCTCAAAGTCCTTGTCCTCATACTCTCTCTGATCATCAGAGGAATGATACTCCCGGCCATCGAAGCTATCCTTGTCCCATTCAGGCTCATCAGTAACTTCTTGATATTCATGGACCTCCTCATCACCACTTGTGTAACTCTCTTCGCTATCTCCATCGACTTCGACACTGTCATCATCTCCTTCCTTGTCTTCTCTTTCATCCTTAACGTGGCTGTCGATTATTTTGGGAACCATGTCGATTTGTCGAGAAAACCCTAAATTCTATAGAGAAACATATAACATAAAAATTTATATATAATGAAACATAACAATATTTATTGCACCGAATCACTTATATATAACAATATTATTGAATAGATTAAAGGGCATGGTTTATGGATTTTTTTTGAAAAAAAAAAGAAGGTACGTAAAAACTCAAAAGCTAAAATACAGATGGAAAGATAAATATATGTCACATTACTTATTATTGGATAAATACAAGTAGCCATATGATCACTAATCTTCTGAGTACAATGTGTATACATTTAAGGTCGAACATGGATATGCCAAGATCGGAGGCAAAAAGAAACAGAACAAGCAAGCTCAGTCTAAGAAGGACGTCCAAGCTATAGAGAAAGCTCAAGCTCAACAACAATCTCAAAGTAGTGAAGAAGAAGAGAGCGTTCATGATGTAAAATAATTTGTCTTTTTTCAAACGTTTGAGAGAATGTGGGGGAGAATTGCTGTGATCGATGAATGTAATTAATTCTTAAAAAAAAAAGACGATTTGTATTTTTTTCCCTTAAAACCATATGTATATGTTATGACTTTTACATATGTTTCATATTATGCTAGATATTCAGCCGTGATGGTAAAATTACTAGAGATTGGACTTTGATAAAGGGGTTCATTATTGGCCTCGTTCTAGACCAAAAGAAAGGTAGTTTAATATCTGAAATATTTAACATAGTTGAAATTTAAATAATATGATAAGATAATGATTATGTGCCGATGATATATGTTGGGCGATTGTATTGGTACACCTTGTGCAAGCTATCTACAACATAGGTCGTCCTATATATAGCTCAACAATGTGATTTTGATATGAGCTAGTAGATCAAATCAAACTAGATGAAGATAAAAGTTTAAAACTTTCAAAGTTAAATTTGGCACTCAACCACATAAAAACAGAAGGGGTAATGAAGAAACCTAGCACTAGTAGTGAAAGTTGAAAGGTAACAAGTTCATTTGTTAGATATGTATATATTGAAAACACTTCATCTATTAAACTTTTACTATTGGTGGACAGAATTGTTTCATTTAATCAGGCTGGAACATTGAAACTTAGAGTTAAAAAAGACTTGAAGCTCTACAAAGATGTTGATGCATCATTTGTACTAGCAAAGGTGGATAGGTTCCCAGTCGGCCTAAGTCTTGAGATCACTAAGGATTTTGTGTATTTTCCAAAGGTTAGTGAGATTCGTATTAATAAGTCATATAACTAGTATTAACTCTTAAGATTCGTATTAATAAGTCATTTGCTTGCACATGTAGTGCACTTTAAAATTTTGATTGTATAGAAAACTACTAACATTTTCAATCTAATTTTCAGGACAAAATCTACATCTGCATCTTGCCAAAGAAAAAAAAGAAAAAAAATAATTAGGCCTGAAACTCGTCTACCTATGGTTTTGTTAGTGAGATATGGATTCACAGAGGAGAGGATGGATGGACAACTCTTTTTCATCATTCAAAATTCCTGGGGAACTAAATGGGGCTTAAGAGGTTTCGCTCAGATCATCATCCAACTCAATTGCAATGTCATCGGCCTTGATGAATAGGTAACTGGATATAACAATATTTTGATAAGATGGCACAAACTTTGGAAACTTTTGAAGGGTCTAATCTAGACGAGATTTAACTTTCATTAAATCGATTGCTAAAACTAATTAGAAGTGATCATGACGTTTAAATAAGAATAAAGATTAGAAAACTCATGCTTATTTTACAACGTGAAAATCCACAAGATCCATTAAAAAACATGATATAGAGGCTACTTTAATCTTTATTTAACTCATCAGCCTCGTTTCTCTCTACCTTGGTAAGCTCCTTCAAATTCAACTTCTCTATCACTCTTGAACCAAAACATTGCAAAAGAAAATAAAACCGAAAATCAGTTGCTCTGTCTTTACGTAACACATCTCACCGAATAAAATGCAGCTCTCCAAACTATACAAGTCTACCAAAACATCCATATACAATAAGAGAGTCCTTACTTAACAAGACTTGATTAAGACTATACCACAAGACATCTCAAGACTGAAGACTGTAAAGTGGTAGTAACAGCTACATAATCAGTTTTAAAAAGTCTCTCTTAAGGAGTGTATTTTATAAGTCCGTAGAAATATGTCTATGAATGAGCTAATCAAGAATATCTCAACAATGATATATATATATATATATATATATATATGCATATCTCGACATTCCATTCACAGCATTTCACCCTTCAACCTCACCAAGGCAAAAATCAACAAAATTAGCTGTGAGAATAGACGACAATCCATAGGAAAGGCTTCATATATACAAGTATGAGGGGTTCACGATGACTTTTGGGCTAAACAAACATCGAAGCACTCGAGTTCATCAATCACACTGCTGTAAAGCATTGTTGTTCTGTTCAATGAAGTTGTTGTGATCAGTATCATGATATTATAACTGGAACCTAGTTATCAACCTCATTGATGTGTATATGATGTATATAGTTCTTTGAAACAGGAAACAGGAATATAAGTACCAAACTCTGGATTATCCGTAGAAATATTGTCGTCTCTCATGATTTTAGGATATGATACATATACAAATCCATACATATGTCCATCTTCACTTAACTTTCCATAGGCTCAAAGTCTGAATCTTTGCCCACCTCTAATCCACAGTAAACCCCAAAACCACACTTTTTATCATAAACAACTCAGAAATTTCATATAAAAAAATTCCTACAGAAACCAAACAATCACACCTCTCTGTTCATAGTCAACATTGCTCACCGAAACGGAGCCAAAGGGCTAGGGCTATTAGGAACCCTAACACACCTCAATTCTCTACAAACATGATCCAACATCCCCAGAAAATCCCTTACAATCACAAAGATCCTCAATGGGTTCTTCTCATCTCCTCTCACATCTCCATGAAAATACTCTGCAATCTCTCCAACCCTCTCCATTATCCTCTTCTCGTCTTCCCTTAACTCCTCCAAGCTCTTCTCTCCGTATCTCAAGAACGAGCTCATCGAACTAACAAATGCTCTGTTTTCCTCGTCCCCTTTCAGCTTCTCACTCACTAGACACCTCAATTGCCCCAACCCGTCTCTCAGGTTAGACACCGAGCTAACAAGACCTTCCAGATCAATAGTTGCCGTCTTCTTCACGTTTCTTAGCTCTGTGTTTAGACCCGAAACGAGATCGAGCCCCATCCTTCTGTAATCTTCCTCTTTCTCCTCAGGTGTTCTGTTCTTGTTTGATCTCTGGTTCATGATCCGTCCCATGATGCTGTCTGAAACCCTGATTCCTTCAGACCTAGAGATCTCTTGCACAACAAAATGAAGCAGAGTGGTCTTTCCATCTGTGCCCTTTACATCAGAGAGCTTGAGCAGAGCATCGAGCTTGAAGGCTTTTGCACCACCACGTATGGTTCCTACATTCATCCTGTTTCCAGTCTTAAGAACAGCTTCTAAAAGCTTCAAAAATAACCTGCTTGACTTAAGCTCCTTGCAAGCTTCCTAGTAAAGTACTTTGTGTTAATCACGGTACCTTGTATTGCAAGTAATCAACAAATGAACAGAACCAAACACTGTAATACCTCAAGCATGGAGAAGGAGTTTCTGAGATGAACCACTTCATCTTCAAACGTTTCTCTATAAAGCATTGCTTCAGCTCTCTGAAACGCAAATGGAACTCCAACAAGAGCTCTGAGAAATTTCTCAGCTGAGCCAAGCTCATCCACGGCTCCTTTGTAGCTACACAGCTTCAACTCTTCTTCTTTAGTCGGCACCATCTTCACCAACGCTTCTAGTTGCTGTAAACACAAGCCTTCCCCTACAGATAAACAATTTAAAATCAGATCAGATCCGCAATGGATTGATTTTAGTTTATCTTAGTTTACCTTTCCCCAAGGCAGAGCAGATTTGGTCCGCGGTTGCGTTGAGAGCTTTCAAGAGAATAGTAAAGTTCTGAAGTCTCTTAGGTTCAAGAAGGTGTTTCCCTGGTGATGGAGTTTTGCTCTTCCCTTCCTCATTCTTCGTTGAGCTTTGCATCGTATATCCAAACAGTGACTCAATCATCTCTTCGTCTAATCTGAATAACCACAAGACAACACATAATCACATATTCATGAAAAACATTTTGTTGCTTGTGGCTATAGGCTAAAGAAAGTTAAAAACTTACTCGAAAGAGCTTGTTCTGAGCTTATCCCAAACCATAGTCCGGTCTGGTGTAGCCCTGACTTTATCCCAGTGAAGTGGCTTCAGTTTAGGCAATGGAGCTCCGTCTTTGCCTAATGGTCTACGCTCAGAAAAATCAAGAGACAATGGCGGTGGGGGCGTTTTGTTCATTCCAGCTAATTTAAGCTGTTGTGGCGGTAGCGGCGGTGGTGGGGGTGGACACGGTTGAGAATTTGGTACATTGATCGGAAAGCTTGTCTTCGAGGAAGAAGCACAAAGTTTTTCACATAATTGCGACGAAAGCGTCTGTAGATTAGTGGTTTCTGGCGAAGACAGAGTGTGAAGACGTTTGTTTGAGAATTGCGGAAGAGGTGGAGGCGGTGGAGGTGGTGGTGGTGGAGCAGAGACTCCGAAATCGTTTCTGGAACATTCAGGAATATCCAATTTGTGTTCTGAGAAGCGTTGAGAGGATCCAACGTTAACACTACCAGAAGCAGAAGAAGCATTTGACAATCTTGGATTTGAATACTGAGAGCCACCACCAACGGAATGAAAAGACTCATCATCGTCTGAAGAATCATTGCATCCATTGATTACAACAACAGGAGCAGAAACAGAGTTTACTGTTTGTTCATCATCATTTTCGTGCACCGACACAATCTCTTTGGTTGAATAACTACTAGCATTGTCCCAATCTTGCGAAATCTCTGTTTCTATACTTCTCTTTACCTCTTCTTCAAGCAATCGACTATTATTATCGTTAAAATCCTTCTCGGTTTCTCGTATTTCTTTAACAGAAACAGAGTTTTGTCTCTCCAAATCAACTCCCAGTGAATTTAGGTACAAGAAATCGAGAGTAGGATTTACACTAACCTTCCTCGTCGAGCTTTGAGATTTGCCCTTTTTCCTTTTAAACGACAGCGTTTTACCGTTCTTCTTCCGTTTTCTTCTCGCGCAGAAACAGAACACTCCAACGACACAAACCACGAAACCGATTCCAGAAGCTGTAGAAGCAACGACAGGTACAAGAATCTTCTTAAGTGTTCCTCCTTTCTCGTGTTTTCCCCTTTGAATCTCGGGTTCTTTCAATGGATGGGTCCGTTGAGGTAACGGACGACGGAGATGTGGAGGAATCGGCCGTGGAGGAGCTGGAGGATACGCCGGAGACTCGATTGGACCACCGCTGGGAAACGGAGACGGAGACGGCGCCGGCCAAGGAGAGAAAGAAGCAGCCTTGGCGAGATTTCTTCTCCGGGAAGTAGAAGGTTTTATCAAATCGAGTAAAGCTCGAAACTTTTCCAAAACTCGAAGCTTTATCTTCTCGCCTCCGTCTTCTCCGGCGTATTTTCCGACTTGGGTTCGGTACCTCTCACCGTTTACCACCGTTAACACCTTCCAATCATCAAGCTCTTTAGCTTCAGCAACAATGCAAAAGAATCTAACTTTGCAGCAGTGTAACGAAACTACAATGATCATGAGAAAAATCTGACGAAAATAAACCATCTTTTTGTTCTTTTTCAGATCTTTTCTCTGTAAAAACAAATCATAAACTCTATAAATCCACTACAAAGAAACCATTTATGAGAAAAGACTCAATTTTTCTTTAATGTATTTTATTTTTATTTTTCTCTCCTTTGAGACTTTAATGCTACTCCAAGGAACCCCTGAACTCTGCAACTATAGTTGTACTGGTAATGGCACTAACACCCTCTTTCTCCATTAACTCTCCTAGCAGAACAACAGTGCTAATTTTGCAATTTATACACACCATTTTAGGTAATCTCTTAAGAAAATCATTAATTAAAATAATAGATTGAATAAAGGAACAAATGTCAATTTTAAAATCATTAAATCTTGCAGAGCATTAATAATACAGATTTTTCTTGGAATTAATGCAGTGACAACAATCAGAAGCTTTTTAGTTTGAAAACAGCTTTTTTTTTTGTTTAAGGAAGAGATTAAAAAGGAGAAAATCTAATAAGTAAGAGAAGATAGAAAGAAGCGTGAAGGTGTTGGTGTGAAGTGGGTCCTCTTATTGTTGGCACATTTGGCTTCTTCGGCCATTTGGTAATTTACTGTACAAGTTTTCTTTGTTCCTCTCAACCCACCATTGTTTTATGAGGCAAATTACAATAAAAAAACGAATATGTATTTATTGTATAGAATTTATTCTTGTGTTTTGATATGAATGTGTATATACGCACCTAACAACATACGTATGAATGATTCCCATTCATATGTTTTTTTTCCATGAATATGTTTTTAAGGATATATGAATGTTCGGAGGAAAAAAAAAACTCTTTGGAAATATATTGTCGTAATAGTTTTGTAACAAACTATGCAACATCGCCTTATAGATAAGTTAATTTAACTGATGAAATATTTGATAAAATAGTAGTGGTATAAATATGTTACAAATTCAAAGGAAAACAGAAATTTATGTATCAAACAAAATATATTATTTTGTCTATTGCACATATATATATCCTTCTTAGTCCTATAATATGAAAGATTATAAAGTTTTACTCAAAATTATTTGTCATATGGGGGATATTTTGCTATATAAACGATAAGAGAAGATAAAAACAATACACGATTCCCCCATAATTAGTAGTTTAACATATATTCTTACGGTTAGAAGTTTTCAAAATTCTGATGAATATTCAATTAACGTTTTTAAAAAATTATATGGACTTTAGATTGGATTCTGGTAAATCAGACCAATAGGTGGGTAGTGACGAATATTGAAATTAATGTTTAAGGCAAACTTCTCTATCTTTCTAGTCACATTCTAAATCTTCCCAAAGTGAGATGGTTAGTTGTTCATAGTTTCACAAAATAGGTCGCAAAGAATATTGTTTGGTAGGATATGATGTTGATCTTTCGTTGAGAAGTTTATACCATGTTTTAGAAAGCTAGTGTCTGGCCTTTGATTGTGCTTTGAAGAATAGTTTATCAATATTGATCATACTAAGATCATATACAATGTGTTTACAATATTGAAACGAGGAGAGACATATGATTGGAAAAATTGTATGTACTTTCATCGTGTTTATATGTTATCAAAGTAGAGGTTTGTGTTTCAATCCTATCTCTCACTTCAATAATAGAAAAAGATGGGAAATTCCCTTAGATCTAAGGATTTACTTTACCATTTAGATTGAGTAAAACGAATATCACTAAATTTCTACACAATATTTGTTCTCTATTGTTTTCACTCTTACTATTTGGTTCATTTTAACTTCTCAAGTGTCAGCAACTTTGACATACGTGGGCCAAAGTTGTATGGACTTGTCTTAAACGTATTATATTATGAGTTATTATTATATTGGAACAGTCTACATACTTTTTTTTTTTTTTTTTTTTTAGTCTACATACTTTGTTTACTCTATTCTTTAATATATACATGGTACCGTAGATCACGTAATGCTAACATGAGTGATTACAAAATTTTAAAAGTCTGGGTGTTACTTACTTGTCAATCAAATAAATTAAAAGGAGTTTAGGAGTCAAAGATTGTAAGTCGACGTATCGAGAAGACCAATAAAAAAGTAGGAAACCATAATTTAGGGATGATATATGCTAAAGTATACTATAACTTTTTCACATTTGAAAGCCGATTGCAGAAAGTTACAACTTTTGTCTGCATTTCTCAGAGGTATTGAAAAGAGTTTTATAAGTTGATGTTCTGTCTACATTTAGCATAAAAAAAAAGGGAATCCATATTTACAGAGAGTTGTTTGTACCTACTTTGTCTTGAGAATAAAGTAAGTAAATAGTTTGGAGAAACAAACAAAAATTTAAAAACAAATATACTAGCCCATAAATTGTCAGATATATCACATGCTGCTAGTTTGGAGAAAATCGGAAAATTGTAGATTCCATTTGCAAGAGAAAAGAAAAAAGAAGACAAATATTTATTTGTGTTTTTTTTTTAAACTGAAAAATGAAAACAAATAATTGGCGATTTTTAGATTTGTGTTTCGGTAAAGGAAAACAGTACAATTGCGAGATTTGTCTCTGTCACGCAACAAAAACATTTCGCAATAATAAATGCCAATTAAAGGACACCACCGACCTAGTCAATGAAGTCACAATCTGAGACATAGGCCCAAATTAAATCTTGCTGTTAAAAGCCCATTAATCGTTATCAACATAGGCCCATTTAAATATATTTCGCGCTTTAAGCTGAGTTCAGGAAGTTCATGGCAATCCCGCCAATCGCCACTAAAAACATTCACCAAAATTTTTATTGGTAAGGTTTAAATCAAAATTTGAATTTATTTTTCTTCAGAGAGAGAGAGATGGAGTTCAGTATCAGTGGCAGTGCGCTCAAGACCTTGGCTAGGTCTATAATCTGCCTCGCACGCGTCGGCAACGAGCTCGTCGTCCAAGCTTCGCCGACACAGGTTCTCTCTTCTTCTTTTTATCGTCCTATCGATTCCTCCGTAACCCTAATTTTAAGGACTGGAAAAGTAATTGGTGTGACTCTTCCAATTCGATTGACTATTAGTTGATTTCTTCACTTTGTACTGACGATTAGGGTTTTTTAGTCGATGATTACTTTATCGCCGTTGGTTTACCCAAAATCATGTGTCTACGAACCTAAGAGTTGGTTCTTCAGATTTGTGCAGTACTTTATTCGCCTTGTTAGATCTAATTCCTTTTGTTTTGTCAAAACCTTTGCAGCTGGAATTGCACACTTTAAATGCTTCACGTTCTGCCTATCAGTGTATTACATTTCAGTCAAGTTTCTTTGATGTATATACTGTTTCTGGTCCTCAAGCTCATTTCAGTGTACTTTTGAAGGTATGTTTACTGTTATCCTGATATTTTTAGCAATGAATTCATTGGTGTAAGTAGCTGTTGCTGATTTTACTTTTTTCTCCCAGGCTGTTTGTTCTGTTCTTAGAACCCCTCTCGCCAGCATTGATCACATGAGTGTGCACTTGCCAGATCTTGATGCATCTAAGGTCAAATGGACTTTGCAGTGTTCCAGTGGTAAAGCTACTATATTCCCTTGTTCTTACACATTGTTTGTCTGCAACCGTCTCATATTCTAGTAACTTCGTGTATCCTGTGTAAAACCTGGATGTTGCATGTTTCAGACCTGTTAATATAGCTTAATCTATGTTGCAGATGTTTTACTGAGACCTCGTTTTCTTAAATAACTTTGAGCAATTTATGGATTACGTTGAAGACTACAATTATGATGTTAATATGTTTGGAGCCTGGCTTGAATTTGTTTATTCATCTGTACAGGTATGAAGAAAACTTACTGGATTACTTGCAATGTGGAACCAGATATACAGCATCTGTCCCTTGATAGGGGTAGATTTCCTAGTACCTTAGTCGTGCATCCTCGAAATCTGAGCAAGTTGCTTGGAAACTTCCAGTCATCCCTCCAAGAGATTACAATAATTGCTACAGACCAAACTTCTTTCCCCTCTGATGCTGCAAGTGACATAGATGGAAAAGCTGTTGAGTTTCGGAGCTATGTGGATCCTACCAAAGGTTAGGACACGGAAATAATGCTAAAACCGAAATAATCATGTACCCTGAGGAAGGCTGCTAACTATTCTCTTTTCAATCCGCAGATGGTGACTCTTTGTTACATACTCAGCTATGGATAGATCCATCAGAAGAATTTTTGCAGTATACTCACGCAGGTGATCCTGTTGACATCACATTTTCCTTGAAGGAACTAAAGGTTTTAACATTCCTCCACCTGAAGCCTGGTTTGAGTTTCATCCACCTTTGTTTGTGTTAAACTAAATATCTTCAATAATGTCAGGCATTTCTGGCATTTTGCGAGGGCTGTGAAGCTGATATTCATCTTTTTTTCGAAAAAGCTGGCGAGTAAGAATCCTATCTTTTACATCCTGTGAAGTTCGCTTAATAATTGCATCTTCCTGTGTACCCTTGATATCTTTAAGATTCAATTGCAAGTTCAGTCTGTCCAATACTTCTAAACTATGGTGAGCTTGTCTATAAAGGGTCTACATGCTTATCAATTGTACTAGCTAGATCACTCATTTAAACACCATATTCTTTGGCCGGGACAACTAGTTGTGTAGTCACTATCTTATCTGTTACTGAATGTCATAAGATGTACTTCTTTGCTAGACCAATACTGATGGCTCCAAAATTCGGTGTGGGTGATGGGTCAAGCTCCAGTTTTGATGCAACACTCGTTCTTGCGACAATGCTTGTGTCTCAACTTCAGGAAGGGATTCCGGCAGGACCTCCTGAAGCAGCAAACTCCACAGGTGGGCATGCTGCCGAGCAAGTAGGATCACAGCCTCAAGAACGGTCTAGGCAAAATGCCTCTGAGCACCCATCTGATCACACACGAGTTTGGTCTGAACTTTCAGGTAGTAACTAATCTAATGGTTATGATTTGTATTCACAACCTTTCCTGTTAACTAAAACCTAATCAATGCTGGGTGGCAGGAACTGCCACTAAGAGCGTGAACGGTACTGAGGATAGGCCACAGGCTCAGGGACAACCAGACTTGGATATCCAAAGAATTAGGAATATGGAAATATCAAAAGGCGGGCCAGCTGGAGATACTGCTCATGCAGCTCCTAACTCGTATCCTTTACTCTCACAATCATTATCACAATACTCTTCATAGTCAATAATCGCTTAGAAAGTCCTGCTTGTATAGTTGCAATTTGCTTGTAAGATGCATTTCCTAGCCTGTTTAACTACTAATCATTTCAGCGTGCTCCATAACCCGAAATCACATACCTCCAGTGACTATACTTATTTCTATTTATGCTTTGTTATCTTTGACTCTCTGTCAGCCAACGTCCCACACAGATAGATCATGCTGAAGGATCCCGAGGTACCTGAAAAATCATTTCTACAGCCTTGTCTTGTCTTGTTACTTATCCTAAAAGTAGTCACTTCTCTGTTACTTTTCCTCAGTACGGGTACAGAACCAAAGTTTCTCCCAGCACCATCCTAGTAATTGGGTAGATGCAAATGAGGAAGAAGACGACGACGAAGAAGGTGTCGAGGCGACGCCACCTCACAATGAAGATTATTAACTCAAGTCCCTTTCCCTTGAAGTTTTTTCTCATCTCATTCAGCTGTAAGTTCTCTACCCTTCTCTGGCAATCGTTCAAGATTTTCTAATCTAATTAATTACAAGAGAAGTTGATCAAAACAGCTTTGTGTCTCCTTGTGTGGTAATACAAAGAGCTATACACCCTCTTCTTGGTTAGCTTGCAAAAAAAGAAATGTTAGTGTATAATACCACTAATGGTACCACCGAATGCTATTCAAATAGGATTAAGCTTTTGTTTTTCTTTCATTATCCTCTGTTCTCATTGGAAGCAAGCTTTTAACTAGACCACTACTAAATGCGTTAAGCCGTTAAGAACAAGAAACAAGGGTCACTCTTAAGTTCTTAATTATTGTTATTCAAGCACCGGATCTGTTCTCGTATTCAACCTCATTGTACATTCTTTTTTCCAGGGAAAATGATCCGGAGAAGATTGTGGAAACTGGGACAGAACATACAAGTAAAGTAAGGCATTCAGGTCATGATTTATTCCTCACCATATACATATAAAATTCTCTAACTTTTACGGTAAAATGTGTCTCGTTATCTAGAATAGAAGAAAAAGGTGAGAGTATATGCATATATGTGTAGTGTTAGGTGCTTCATCCACTACAATCAAACTTTGATGCTTTCTTGGCAAAACTTCTGAATCGCGTGCTCTATTGTTCAGCCATCTTTGTTTGTTATGCATTTGCTTTTTCTTTCTAACTTAACATAAAAATAGAATGCCAACACACCTTGAGCTTGAATATCTGCATTTACACTATATTCTTATTATACCCACCTCTTTGCTTTTCCTCCAAACACAACTAAAAAGTGTCAAATTTCAAACGCATTCTCATATCTTTTACTTAGACTGATTGTCTCAAACGCTAACCTTTGTTTAAAGCAAAACCAAACTATAAGAGAAGGTTTTTCATGAACCCTCTATAAAAGCAAATGAGACAGAATAAAATGAGTCATAATTTTTAAATGTTCTTTCAAGGTACCAACCACTTTGTCTCTCTTTATACGCTTAAATAAGTAAAAGATGGCGAACAAGTCCAAAGAAAGGGACAATTTTAAAATTATGTTTTTATATCTTATAGAAATATCAACTTTGTTAATTGGCTATAATCTTCGTTTTTAACTTAAAGAGATCTCTTTCTCTCTTTAAAAAAAGATCTGTCTACTTGCTAAAAGTCGTAGAAAGAGGTTCTCCATAACTTGGAAATTGGAATCTTTGTGTTTTTTTTTTTTTGATATCCTCATTATTGGTATCTTATTCGTGATAGCCTCATAAGAAAAGTAAAGAGATTTGCCTTTGCATAACACTTTCGTGTTATGTAATCTCATCTTCTTCGCATTCTTAATCTTTTTCGGTTCCATCAATTATTCCGAATGATAAGTTTCAATCTCGTGCTATGTTTCTTCAAAACAAAAAATAGAAACATTTGTCGTCGTCTTTTCTAATCATTATAAACACTAACTATCATATGATTGTTTGTAATCTATCAAATACTTGAAAATGCAATCGAATAAAGCTAATGTTGATTAAGATTACAAGAATATATATTGAAACAAAAACAATTAGAATTGGTTAAAAGGAGCCAGCTGGCTTTTGGGGATAAACTTGTTAACGCGCAAACGCCGTCCTTGATGATCTGTGAATTGGGCCCCACTTTTGTTCTTAACGGTTTCATCTTCTCAAGTTACGCGCCGCCTCTCTTTTTCTGACGCCGTCGACTTTATCCCGGAGGGAAAAAAAAATGAGTAGTAGTAATAAAAAAGACAAACTAGCCGTTGCTTTCTTATTTAAAACTTTTTGAGTATGGGTAAGTAAACGATCCTCTGCAAACTTCTCAAGTTCATAAAATAAATATAAAAAAATTCTGATGATAAATATTTCGCAATAAAAATCGATCATCTAATGGTCTATTGAATTATATCTATGCACATACACAAACGTTATGAAACACACATGAATTATCGTTTCAAAATTATATATGTGGATAGTCAAATTAATCTATTTCATTCTATCTAAAAAAAATTGTCAACCGAGAAATAGTGCTACCCATGAATGGAGTGTATAAATTAGTTACCATGGTGGGATAGTGGTTTACATGTCTTTACGTTGGCTTTTCACCTACTAGACCAAGTTTGCATCTTTACAAAATATATGAAAGTGCACAAAATTATATAGTAGTTGACTAATGATAAGAGACAATCTATCTATAGATCAACAATTGATTTACACAAATCACATTTTCTTTCAAATATATACATGACCAAAAATCACATATCCAATTACCCAAACCAACAGACCAAAAATTACATTTTTTCTTCTCAATTAACGCTGATCTCGGGCTTGAAAGAGTAAGGACAGTGGGAAAAACCATTAACGGAAAAAGGAAAAAACGTGCGTTGACGTTAACGGAATGTTGGATGCCGTCTAACTAGAGTTCATACCATTTGGCCGATAAAGCGAGATGGAAAATGACAAACCGGTCAACCAGTTTCTGCCTAGCTATGCCCCTGGGTTTCACCCATTATTTACGTAAATGCCATTACATAACTTTTCGACTCTTTAGAATTTTTTTTTTTTTTAGACACACAATTAAGCGAAACTCGTGGAACATTTACATGTTAGGAAATCAATATTCTCTTCGATGACATTATCAATTTCTCGGTCGTAAAGAAATATTCAAGACTCAAGATTATGCTCTTCTTAAATGTTGCAATTTGGATTTTAAAAAATGTTGCAAGGTAAACCTAATTGTAATTTAAAATTTTATTTGAATCCGTCCTAAACACTAACAAAGTCGTGGATGCACGAAAACAAATCGAAAACTTCAAAATAAACCAACGAATATTTCAAAGCTTAGACATTGTAATTTCATGATTAAAATAAAGAGCAACGAATATGCGTTTAAGTCAATTTCATAATCAATAAACAAAAAAACAAACGCGTACCTGTTCTTAATTGTTTCTTTTTTTAAAAGAAGACAATGGCATTTTCGTTAATAAATATACAAACAAGCCCAATTTAATAAAATCTTCAGGTTATAAGAAGCTACACACCAACGCTTAACCTGTTGTCTTCAGCTGTGTACAGAATCAACTTCTAGAGAGAAACAGTAACAAGAAATCGAGAAGACTCTGATTCACCGAGAAGGTTTCGCCTTAAAGATGAACACTCGCGCGATCTACGCCGTCATCGCGATCCTAGCGATCGTAATCTCAGCCGTCGAATCAACCGGCGACTTGGGAGATTCGCTAGATTTCGTGAGAGCCGGATCTTCATCGCTCTTCTCTGGATGCACAGGATCGATCGCTGAGTGTATAGCCGAAGAAGAAGAGATGGAGTTCGATTCAGAAATCAGCCGGCGTATATTAGCACAGAAGAAGTACATTAGCTACGGTGCTATGAGGAGGAACAGTGTGCCTTGTTCACGCCGTGGTGCGTCGTACTACAACTGCCAGCGTGGAGCTCAGGCGAATCCATACAGCCGTGGATGCAGCACCATTACTAGGTGCAGGCGTTGAAGAAGATGAGTCACTTGAATTTCCTATTTTGCCCCTTTCTTTTGTGTCTGTCTCTACAATCTTCATTTTTTTAATTATTTTTATTTTCCGGAATATATGGGTTTGATTTACACTTTGAAAAAAAACTATTACTATAGTCTTTGTTTTGAAAAAAAAACAAAATTTGCTTCTTTGTTTTTTTTTTTGGTTGTTGTCTATATACATAAATAAATAATTCAAAGTTGCGTAGATTAAAAATACTTAGTTATTAGTCCGAGAAGTGATTTTGAGATCTGTGCGTAGTTTTGTGTTTACTGGAGTAGTATAACAATTGTTAATGAAAAGTGATTACCGTTAATTTAATTATGAATCTGAGGTGTTTGAGTAATAAATATTTGGAGCGTATTAATTAATTTAAGTAAAATGAATAGTAGACAGAAAGATCAATAAAAGCAGAATTGAATTGATCCTTTATTAGCTGTTGGTGGCATGTTGGCTTATAAGGTAATGATGGGACCATCACAGCCTAACACGCCTAATTCGATTCATTTTCTTCTTATATTAATTTATCAGCCTCGAAACTTCGTTTTGGTTGTGATTGATTTTTCTTATAATTAATTATGCGTCGTCGGATATTTGTTAATGTTCTCAATAGACGAATTAGTAACCACATAACGAATGTATACCATAATGAAAATGTGACAAACAAGCAGAATAAGTCAGAGTGATAATATTCTCTAGAGTTTATTTTTTATAAAACAAAAGTTTCATGACTTCATGTAAAAAAATTAGAAATTTGTACTTTGCATATAGTTATCTTTTACCATGTGTAAATGCAACAATAGGACTCGGATTAAAAATATGCATATAAATTTGGGATTCTAATTGAAAAAGAAAAAAGAAAAAAAAAACTGGTAGCACAATAAATACATGTGTATTCAAAAAATTTCACTACACCTACATATAATTTGAGAGGAATTGTCTTATTTTCCATTCAGAATTGGATAAATGTGGACAAAACAGTATAATTTGGAATGCGTAATAAACAGAATGAATCAAGAATCATAGTCGCTAATGATTTAATTTTAAAGAACTATTGGGTTTGTAATTATTATACTCGAATCTGTAATATTTTCCCTCCACCAAGTTTGAAATTGTACAAGTGAGAAGTACTTTCATTGGAATCAATAGCACAATCAGTCATAAGACTCATAACTCATAAGACGTTCAAGTCATTTGATCGAGATTAGTGTTGGAATGTAGCTATGTTTGGGTCGTGTTTCGGCCTCTTATCCACGCACTAACAATGGGTATCGTTGGCTCGATGTTTCTATTGGGCCTTTACTAGTAATATGGGCTCACTAATTACTTAATTTAAGGTGGTTAAATTAAGTGAACTCCAATGGGCCTAATTAGTCCACTAATAAGCATCTTGTATCTTAAGTTGCTTGCTCATCACATTTAGAAACCAGTGTCACACAGAATAGCATTTTCTGATTAGTGATTCCTTATAAACTAATCACGAAGAATATAATGGCTTGGACTAGTTAGTTATGCTATCTAGAGAGTGGATATAGACAACTCAAGATTATAAACAAGTGAATCAATATCTAGTATCTGCAATCCTAAAAAGTTCACTAAAGATCAGAATTATCTTCTAGTCCGGTTTTTAACGCTATCTAATAGCTGGTCTTACGTTAGGGCCAGTTAAGTTGAGATGCAGCAGAAAACCACAAATGACTAACTTCATGTTTATTGTATTTGGCCAAATTAGTATTCCGACTTTTTCAATTTGAAATGACAACGTGACTTAGTATTTGTATCTTGTTTTTTCTGTTCGTGTTCATGTAATTTGAAGTGGTGGGCTTCAACTTGTTTTAAGCCCATAATATATGATTTTTTTTTTCTTATGGTTTATTGGTCTATTTTAAAATCATTAAAATATCTAAGATTTTAGTTTAAACTTTGATATCTTCTAAAAGACATGACATCAGTACTTACAAAACTTTGGCTGCTTGTTGTTTTGTGTAGAAATTCGTACGCTCATCAATTCATTTTAGAAAAGAAGATTTTCGTCTGAATAATGTGTTGTACAATTTTGTTTTGATGCATTTGATGTACATTTGTGGTTAAAAACTAAGGCCAAAGAGGTCCTACACGATTGTGTAATTTAGAATCTAAAATAAATTCCTCCATTGACTCTCAAGTCTTCATCATTACGACTAGAATCTGGTACTTCTAGAATATTCCTGTATTTATACATAATTACTATTGAAAATACCATTTTTTATATTTCCTTTTCTTAGCGACACACATTTACTTAAACCACAAGTCGTCAACGGCCCATAGAATATGGATGGTTAGGAAAACACGCTCCTAACCGACCCAATTAGAGAGAACACACGCTTGCTTACACGCGTATTAACGGTTTTCACACGTGCCAAAAATCCTTGTTATATAAAGAAACCTAGGTCACGTCAATTTCTCATCACCATTGCTTTGTTTTGTTCGTCAAAAAAATCAATTTTAAATTTCTTCTCTTCTCATCAAACGAATTTCGATAATCTCTTTGCATCGATTCGATCATGGCTACTCAAACGGATCTCGCTCAGCCCAAACTTGATATGGTAAATTACGTTAATCTCAATCTCTCTGTAAATTTCTTATCGATTTTCGTCTCAAATCTTGATTTTACGTTTCTATGATTGGAATTTTTGGTTCAATTTTGGGTTTCGGTTTATACTGAATCTGTAATTTAAATCTCTCACCATTGATTTATGTTGTTTGTTGTACAGATCGTAGTGCATGTTAATGTTTTATTTATGTAGAAGATTAGGTTATTGAATTGAAAACAAAGGAGATTTTGTGGGCTAATAATTGCATGTTTTAATTATTGAATTTATCAGACCAAGGATGAGAAAGAGAGGTTGAAGTACTTGCAATTCGTGCAAGCTGCTGCTGTTGAAGCTCTGCTTCGCTTTGCTCTTATTTACGCAAAGGCCAAGGACAAGTCTGGTCCTTTGAAACCTGGTGTTGAATCTGTTGAAGGAGCTGTCAAGACTGTCGTTGGCCCTGTGTACGAGAAATACCACGATGTCCCTGTTGAGGTCCTTAAATACATGGACCAGAAGGTAAATTGCCTTTTGTTTATATTCTTGATGAATAATGAATGAATCTGCTTTGTTGAAATTCTGCCATTAGAATATAGTATAGTTGTGGTTTTGGGGGTTGGTCCTGTTACTGAAAGCATTTGTATGTTAAGTTCCTGTTTTGAGATACTCTAGGTAGAAGGTTTTGGTAAGCGGGTCAATGTCATTATGTTCTGTAGAATCCCTCTTTTTGAAGCTGACAAGTTCGTTTTGTTGTTGCAGGTTGATATGTCTGTGACCGAGCTTGACCGTCGTGTCCCACCAGTTGTCAAGCAAGTGTCTGCCCAAGCCATCTCAGCTGCTCAGATAGCACCCATTGTGGCACGTGCATTGGCCTCTGAGGTTCGACGTGCTGGTGTTGTTGAAACCGCTTCTGGCATGGCTAAATCCGTCTACACCAAGTACGAACCTGCTGCTAAGGAGTTGTATGCAAACTATGAGCCAAAAGCAGAGCAGTGTGCCGTTTCAGCTTGGAAGAAGCTGAACCAGCTTCCTCTGTTCCCAAGGCTGGCTCAAGTTGCTGTACCAACAGCTGCTTTCTGCTCTGAGAAGTACAATGATACTGTGGTTAAGGCTGCAGAGAAAGGGTACAGGGTCACATCGTACATGCCATTGGTTCCAACAGAGAGGATCTCAAAAATCTTCGCTGAGGAGAAAGCTGAGACCGAGCCTTTGGAGTTCCATCCACTTGATTGATATGGGTGTTTTGTTAGTGTGATTTATGGTTTTGTTGGGATTAAGGTGAACCGGATCTTGGTTAGCGATTGATCCCTGGTTCTCGTTCTTTTGTTTTTTTTTCATCATGAACTTTCGTTGTTTCGTTTAATAATCAAAAGTTGTATAATCTAAGTTTGGGATTATTGATTGTGTAAAAGCCTTTTTGTTTGAGGTTTAATAACTTGTGACAAAAGAAAAAAACCTAACATTTTAATGGACACCGGTGGTGAGAGAAGCAGACATGAGATTTGCTGTTTCAAGAAACTATGGGCCCATGTCGCGCTGATCCAAAACTTAATCCAGTTGCTATTATACACACAAGTCACCGCCGTTCACGTTAGCACTCCAAACCCTTGGCACGTAAACCCCCGTCCCCCGACACTTCCTCTCTCTCTCTCTTCCTCTGTTCTCCACGATCTTCTCTCTCTCCGGTGAGATTTTCTTTCCCGGTAAAATTCCGACTATAGAAGTTTCCTCCGTCGGGTTTTTCTAATTGAATAAAATTTGCACTAGTAATCTTACGCGTGGCTCGTTTTATAGAAACACGATTCAGAATGGGAATTCAATTCGTCGACAAGGCAGATCTATGGAAGAGTGCACTGTTGTTGAATCTTAAGCTTCGTGATCGATTTAGAATCGCCGTCGACGACCACCGTGGTCGAGCTGCGGTTTTCTCACCGGATGGTTACTTCTCTTCCATTATCCACCGCTGGGTGACTCGGTTCCGGAGCTTTCGCCGGGAGTCTCTCCCTTCTCCACCAGCTTTTTATCGCAGACGAGGTTTGAATCATCGTCTTTTATTAACTCTAATGGTGGATCTGTATAATTGAGCTTTGTGATTTGAACTTCGGTTGTTTCTTTGAGAGATGGTTTGATTAGCTCGATGATGTTATTTGTTTTAGATCACCTGTAGATTTGGCTTAGAAGGGTTTGTTTTAGCTGTCTTTCCAAGCTGCTTAGTTGAATTAGGATGATTCTGAGGGTTGTTTCCTGGTTATGTCTACCATGGTTTGTATCATGGTTTGTTCTTGCAGTTTCTAAAGACTTAACGGCAGAAGAAGAGTCTGCTCTTTTCCGGATGCTTCAAGCTGTGGCTGTTCCCCTTATTGGAAATGCTTGCCATGTTTTCATGAATGGTTTTAACCGTGTTCAGGTTTGACATCTTAGATTTCTGCTTCATAAATATCTTTCTTATCTTTAGTCGTGTTCTCAGTTCTTATTTTGTTTACCTTTTTAGGTGTATGGTTTAGAGAAATTGCATGATGCTTTACTCAACAGACCAAAGAACAAGCCTCTTGTAACGGTATACTTGACTTATGTTCTGAAATGGTGTATGTTTGTGGTTGGGTTTTTAGATGAACCTGATTGTTTTCTTACCCATGAACTTCTTAAATAATCTTCAGGTGAGCAATCATGTTGCATCTGTGGATGATCCATTTGTCATTGCTTCAATACTTCCGCCTAAACTTCTACTTGATGCCCGTAATCTGAGGTGGACGCTTTGTGCTACAGATAGATGCTTTAAAAACCCTGTAACTTCAGCTTTCTTTCGATCTGTCAAAGTTTTGCCAGTTTCTCGTGGTGAAGGAATTTATCAGCAGGTAACGTAGCTTTCTTTTTGTTGTCTAGCTTTTATTGAATTCTTCCTGCTATTACATCTAATTTAGATTTACTGATGGAAACAAGTCCTTGCATATTCTCCAGGGAATGGACATTGCGATTTCGAAATTAAACAGCGGAGGGTGGGTTCACATCTTTCCAGAAGGCAGTCGCTCCCGGGATGGTGGAAAGACTATGGGCTCAGCGAAGAGGGGTATCGGAAGGTGAGTCATGTGTCTTTGAGTTCACTTCCCTTATATGAAGCACTCCACTATAATGCGGGCCTTATCATTTTATTATTCTATAACAACGAGCTAAAGATTGTAATTTACTCTATTTTAGGTTGATTTTGGACGCAGATACTCTCCCTATGGTTGTTCCATTTGTGCATACTGGTATGCAGGACATAATGCCAGTTGGAGCCAGTGTTCCACGGATTGGCAAGACAGTAAGTATCTCTGAATCTCCAATTTTTTCCTCCTCGTCTGTGGCTTTGATCTCTTAATAGTTTGATGCATCATGATCTCTGCTCGCCCAAAATCAGAAAATAAATGACAAACCGTAACTTTCAGAGAAGTAGTTAGTTACCTCGAGTTATTATAGTTTAGAGTGTATTGCTTTGTTTTATTTGCAAGCCCTGGATACATATCTAAGACCTCTCGTAATTTTATTGGACTTGATATTTGGTGATCCGAGGAGTAAATCGGATCTCGAATTAATGCTTTGAGAAAGGATGGATCCATCGATAATTGGGGGTTTCATATTTTAAGTGGAAATGTATTGTCCATGAAAGTATATAGAGTTCAAATGTTAGACATTTTGTAGTGTTACCAATTGTCATTTGGATATTACATTGCTTATTGTATTTGCAATCTTTGATTTGTTTAATTAACGTCAAACATTTTGCAGGTGACAGTGATCATTGGAGACCCTATTCATTTTAATGACATTCTCAGCACTGAAGGAGCCAAACACGTCTCAAGGAAACACTTGTATGACGCAGTTTCGTCCAGAATTGGGCAAAGACTGTATGATTTAAAAGTACAAGTCGATAGGGTATCTCTAGAACAACAATCTATGATGTCACACGACGCCAAAACATCCTCGGACCGTGCTGCTGAGATCTTCCATAGAGTCGATTGGGACTCGTTTGGAATGGGAGCACAATTTTCAGAAGAATCATCCCCCAATAGTAAACAGATTGCCCAAAGCGATGATCGCATTGTCAGATCTCCCAAAAGGAGAGTCTCATCCGAAGGAGGGATCAGCTTGAAGATTAAGAAGTTCATGGACTCTACGGAGATGATGGGTTTCGCGGCTAGAGGGTTGTTTATGAACGAGTACAAGAGTCGGGGTGAATCTGCCAATGTTGGTCAAATACGGCCTTTAAAGGCTTGGAGAGAGTATTTGGAAGTGAATCTTATGAACCGTGGATTACAACAAGAAAACACTTGCTAGTTAAACTCGCGTTAGGAATATTAGTTTAGTAGTGAGGCTTATGTCCCACAACAAATGTCCATGTTTTTACTTGTCTGATTTAGATTTAGATTTTTTTTTTGTTTCAATTACACAGGAACTCTAAACTCGTTGTATATTAGCTTTTAATAAAATCCCAGTTTTTCGAATCCTTCAATCACGGTAAATACTACATTATAGATCAAATTTGGTGTGTTGCTAAAGATCATACCTTTAAAATTAATTTAAAATGTTTCAGAAGGGGTAATTTGCTACAAAAAAACGATGCCGTTGGTTGTAATAACGACAACGTGGCACTGTCCATCACAACAAAACGACACCGTTAGGATTCATCATGATAAACGAACGGTCAAGATTTAATCGCCGATCCTGCACATAAAAGTTTATCTGTGCAATGACGATTGTATCCCTTCAGAGTTCAGATTATCGACGGTGACAATCTCTTTCTCTCCGGCTAACTGTTTTCTAGAGAAAGCTATGGCGGACGAAGAAGATGAGTTACCGGAGACAGAACTAAGTTACGACCAGAAGAAGGAAATCGCTAAGTGGTTTCTCCTCAACGCTCCCGCTGGAGAAATCAATTACGTCGCTAAAGGTACTTAGATGCATCGTACATACATATTTCCGACGATTCCTCCGATGTGTCCCTCAATGAGAAGGCGAGATCGTAGATTCTCCGTGTGCATTTTTGTTTTGAGCATTATGCGTGATTTGACATTTTTGTTTCGATTTCTCTGTAAAATCTTTTGGATTTCTGGCAGATTTAAAGGCGGTTTTGAGCGATGAGGAAGTGTACAATGAAGCAGCCATGGAAGCATTTCCAGTGTACAACAAATCTCACATGATTTGCCTTGAAATGCCCAGTAGGGCTGGTGATGTGAGTTATCATCTTATTCTCAAGCGAAATTTATCTTAAGATTCTATTCTAGTTAGTTGGATTAGCTTTGGAGTTGAATTCTCGAACATTATTGACTTGTAATCTATGTTATGTGGAATTAGCTTATATCATCTGATATCATGCTAGAGAGTTTTCATAAACTTGGTACTGATATCTACATTCACTACTGTTGATCAAATTGGCAATCAACATATGTCCTGCATCCCCTTTTCATGTTTTATGAAGATGTTTTTGGGGATACCATTTAGTATTAATTCGCTGCGAGATGTAGTAATACGGTTTTGTTGCATCTCAGGTGATTGTGTCATCTTACAGTGAAATTACTGAAAATGAGTACCTTGATCCAAGAACTGCCCAGGTTGCCATAGTTGATCATGTTAAACAGGTACATTATTTTATTGTAGTTGTTCTTCATTATGGCGTGTCATGAGCTGTGAATATAATTCAAGCTTACATCTCCTTTTTTTACCAGATTTGTACAAAGGTACGGCCTGCAAATGATGAAGAACTTCCGTCTTTGTATATTGAGGAGTACAGGTATGGATTTTACACCCAGCTGTAGGATTTAAGATCAGGTTCATGCATCACCATTCACTTCAGAATTCTCATATAGTCGTAGCTTAAGTTCTTATGGCAATAAAGGCAAACATTAGAAAACCGCTTTCAGAAGTTTAGGAATAAAGGGCAATGCACCTGGTGAGATCTACATTATTTTTGTCTTACCGCTGAGAATGAAAAGTTTTTTTTTGCTCATTACAGATATGCTCTTGATGCTGAAATCCAGAGATATGTTAGTGAATCTTATCCGAAAGGTATGTGTGCAGTTAATTGTGTGAAGGGGAAAGATACTGAGGGTCCAGGGTCCGACTTTGAGCTTGTTGTTATAATTACTGCCATGAGACTTAGTCCCCAGAACTTCTGGTGAGTACAAAATGACCTTTTACTTATTTTCTCCATTTCTATTGTTCAGAGAGAAAAATGTTTTTGTTTGACCAAAAACCGGGGTGTTTTGCAGTAATGGAAGTTGGAGATCTGTATGGAACATAGATTTCCAGGATGAATCCCAGGTGCTTGACATAAAAGGGAAATTGCAGGTAACATTCGCGACTTGCTTTCTCTGTAAGTTGACTGTGACGTTATTCTAAGCCAATTGAAGTTCAGTGAGGTTATTCTAAGTATATCACTTTCTCTTCAGGTAGGAGCTCATTATTTTGAAGAGGGAAATGTGGAATTAGATGCAAAAAAAGATTTCCAAGATTCAACAATATTTCAGGTACCTCCTCATCCAATATCCACATACTCGACAATGCATTATATATGCGAAATTGCATACAATAATCTTACTAGAAGCCAAGCCAGGCTATCACATAATATACACCAAGAGACGAAATATGTGTAGGCTCTGATGTAACCTTGTCGTTGATTTCTTCTTCCATTTACAGTCTGCGGATGACTGCGCGATTGCCATAGCCAATATAATCAGGCACCATGAAACAGAGTACCTTGCATCTCTAGAGGTTTTCAAATAGCAACTCATCACTTATCTCGTTCTTTTCCATTTCCTGTGTTGTTAATCTTGTTGTATCTGACCCAATCATTAGGTAGCTTATTCAAAATTACCGGATAACACTTTTAAGGTAATCGTCTCTTTCCAAATAACGATTTCAGTGGCTGCACGATGGGAACCTCGAGGTGTATTTTTAAATTTCTGAGCAGATTTTTGGAATTTTGCAGGATTTGAGGAGGAAACTTCCGGTGACACGGACTCTGTTCCCATGGCAGAACACTTTACAGTTCAGCCTAACAAGAGAGGTCGAGAAAGAACTTGGACTTGGCAAGTGACCAATCATCAACTCGCAACCTTGAGTTCTCTATTTCGTTGTCAAGTTTCTGTGATTTCCATTATGTAAGTGAAGGGGAAAGTATCATTGATATTATTATTTATGTTGTGTCGTGTATTGGCTTTTCCTTTGGAGTGTTATGTACAAAAGTGTTGAAGAAAAATAGTATCATCGATATTGTTTGGTGTCTTTGTTCCACAAGCCGCATGAAATAGTTAAAGTTCTCAGTGTTCGAGTTGAAAAAAAAGCTCCGTTGCCGGGAATCGAACCCGGGTCTCCTGGGTGAAAGCCAGATATCCTAACCGCTGGACGACAACGGATCTGATGTTAGACTTTGTAAACCTGAAAATATGATTCTAAAACTGTAATTTGAAAGCCAGCCCTATTGTGAAAGACTGATTAAGAAAGAGGCGAACCCACCAAGTCAGAGAGACGTCGTGAGAGAAGAAATTTGTATGCCTTGAAACATGCAGTGTAGTCTGTAGAGATTAAAACCTAAATCGTAACACTTACTCACTTGGATGCTTGCAATGGCAACCCCTTTTGGCACATTTGTATGCATCATCATTCGCTGTTTTCCCTCATGTTTCAGATACTCAGGCTGATGTCTAAAGCTGAAGCTAAGAAAGCAACTCGCAGACAAGAATGAACTCAAGAGTGCCCAACGTGTTTGGCTTGTATAGGTTAAGCTTGATTATGCTACCCATTTTTTTTTTTTTTTTTTTTTGAATCTAATGTTAAATACTTAAATTATATTCAAAGAAAAAACAAACGTTTATACATATGAATGCAAAACCTTTTTTTAAAGATTCAAGAAGATTCTAGCTATTGTGTTGTCTTGAGGCAAACCACGTTTGGATCCCACTTGTACTCTTCTCCTGACTCCCATTTTCTGTTGTTGATTTGTGTTTCTTTTGGATTTGGAGGAATTACTTGTCGTTTATGATGAAAATATCCCGCAAGACTTTGTAGACTTCTTCTTTCTCCTTTAGTTTCTGCTGTACGCCACAAGTTTCTTTTGTTTCTCTCTTGCTCCTCTCGCTAGATGATAGATTTCCATAACAATCTATCTACTTGCCCTCTTCTTTTTTTTTGTGCCAAGACCAAAGTATGAAGAGATGACTCTAGGAAGACTAAAATCTTGATGTCCCCTAAAAGCTTTATCACTTGTATGAAACGAAAACTTATAAACAGCGACCTGTAAAATCTGTCCTTCTTTTCCCTCAATACCACTTCTTGAACCATGTAAAAAATTTGAATGCTTTTTTTTTTTTAACTAATTGCCTTCTTGTTTAAATTAGGATCCTCGATAAATGATATGCATTGGTTTCAAACACAAGCCATCCTTGTCGAGCATGCATAATGGCCATGGCGTTTGTTTTGTTACTTACAAATTACAATATGGTTTGTCAGTTACAAAGAGATTAGTCTCAGAAAAAGGTGTCAATTTTTTTTATACGTACGAAGCTTTCTTAATCAGATTATACAAAGTCAAACCGATTTAGAGTCGGCCCCAGTTCACCAAACATAACCCGAGTATCTTATCGCTAAATGGGATAGATAAGAAAGACAAAGTCAAACCGATTTATATTATTTGAAGATTTCTCCATCTCGTTCAACATTCATATTTCTATCAACATTTTTAGAGTACATTTGGCAAAAGCTTTTGGTCCTTAAAATGTCATTGGCAGATCGGATCAAGATTAAAATCGGGTCACAAAATTTCCAAAAATGTTTAATGGATAGTCACACCGACAGTTACCAATTATCTCATTTTCCATGACTAAATCCGTTATTGGTAAGATTTTTTATAAATAAGAAAATTAAATATGATAATTTAATGCTAATATAACAAATTTAGTTAATTTTCTAAAACCTCTTAACCTAATTTAAACATAAATATATAATTCTCCTTTCACTTTTATTTGATCTTATATTTAAATTATTTTGAATTAATATCAAATATATATAGTTAATAAAACTTTAGTTTTTCCTACATATGATATGATTCAATTTTTTTAAACAGACATATATTACTCAATCGATGAAAAAAAAATATGTGTACAATGTTCCACATCGCCTGAAAAAATTGGACAATAATTCAGAATCATACTATAAAAATAACCAAAATGATTTCGAATATGAATGAGAAGGAACCTTAATTTATCAAGCGTCCAAAATTTTTAAATGTTATCCGGTTTAGTCCGGTTCTTTATTGTAAAAAATTGAAACTTTTAAAATATTATAATTATTTGAAATTGTACACATTGTACACAAGAATGCAATTTGAAATTGGAACAAGTGTTTGGTCATGGATGTTGCATGTGAATAAAGAGATAATGCAGGGGACTCTAGCTAGATATCAAGTTCAAAAAAAAACAAGCAAAGAACAAAGTATACTCACTCTTCTTTAAGCGCATCATCTTTTACATATTCCTTGCTCTTAGACAGCTGCTTAGCTACATCAAGTTCCTCTTTATGACCAGCAAAGTTTTTCTTAGTGGAGTTATCACCCATATCTTCTGCAAAATTAGGTTATCATGTAACGTTAGGTTTTGTTTCCACAAAGATGTTGACTTTATTATGAGCCTAAACCAAGAGAAAGCAAGGAATTTCAAAAAGATTGAACTTTTAACTGAGATTATGCAAATGCTGAACCTTTAAGATGAAACTGATGTAAGAAGCTTAAAACATGTGCTTGGTGAGAAACCCACTGAGTAATGGAAGAACGAGTTTGAATCGATATCATTAACCAGACACTTGAATACAGATTATATTTTCATTTTATTATTTTGTTAACAACATCAATATTATTAGACATGTCGAATTAAACTATTTTAATTAAATTTATATGAAATAAAAGTTGTCTTAGAGCTACCGCGGATTAAATCCTAGTCACGATTTAAATGTAAATCTAAAAGTTATCAAGGTTTAAATATAGAAAAAATGTAGTCTATAAAGTTGATTCGAGAGGATGTGAAAGACTCTAATTCGTTCAGAGTTTTTCCCATATGCATTTCTTTGAAGACAAGTTTTCCTAAGAAAAATATTTTTTATTTAATTTTTGATATAATTTACTTTGTTTTTTTTTTTTTTTTGGTTATTTATTTTCTCTCGTCTTCTCCCCTTTTTGCTGTCTCATAGTCGCTCCTTTGAAACCCCTAACTCTTGCTCTTCTCTTCCCGGCGATCTCTCTCTCTCCGATTTGGGTATTGAAATGGCAACTCCTATGGTTGAAGATACGTCAAGCTTCGAAGAGGATCAGCTCGCCTCCATGTCCACCGAAGATATCACCAGAGCTACTCGTCTCCTCGACAACGAGATTCGAATTCTCAAGGTTTCCACAATATCTCTCTCGATCTCCCTTTGCTTCGTAACTATATATAATTGTTTCTTAGGACATAGCAATTGCTTACAATTCGGCTAAGGTCAGGCTGCAATTTGGGTTTAGGGTTTGAGTTTAGTGTAAATCCGTGGAAGCAGGAGATGTAATTGACCTTTAATTCGATGTTACTTCTTGTGATTTCAAAGTTTGGATACTCGACACAACTGAGATTGATTGAATCTTTCTTGTTGCAAATTTGGATTTTCTGATTTGATTTCCAAGTCTTTAATCTTATTTGCGTTCTGGGTTTTAAGGATATGTCATGGCGTAATATGATGGATGTTGAAATTGCTCATCTTGTGTTTTTTCTTTAATGGGGATTCAGGAAGACGCACAGAGAACAAATCTAGAATGTGATTCTTACAAGGAGAAGATTAAGGAGAATCAGGAGAAGATTAAACTCAACAAGCAGCTGCCTTACTTGGTTGGCAACATTGTGGAGGTATTCAACTAGTTTTCTTATCTTGTTTTGGATTTGCTTTATCTTGGGATCTGATTTTTGGTACTTTCCTACAGAGTTTTACCTATTGGAGATTGTTCGTTACTTTATGGCCTCTAAATGTTTTGTTCTTAATACCCTTACCTGCTTGGATTTGAAGTCTAACTGTTGTGTTACCATGTTATGCTATTAGATTTTGGAGATGAATCCTGAAGATGATGCTGAGGAAGATGGTGCAAATATTGATCTTGACTCTCAACGGAAAGGAAAATGTGTTGTGTTGAAAACGTCTACACGGCAGGTGGGACTTCCATATCCGTTCTCCAGATATGTTTTCTACATTATCTGGTTCTTTTTCCCGTTTTATGTCTGAACGAATCCTTTTGTTTCTTGATGTGGAGTGCAGACCATCTTTCTACCAGTGGTTGGACTCGTGGATCCTGATAGTTTGAAACCTGGTGACTTGGTTGGAGTTAATAAAGATAGCTACTTGATTTTGGATACCTTGCCATCCGAGTATGACTCTAGGGTTAAAGCCATGGAGGTCGATGAAAAACCAACTGAAGATTACAATGACATCGGAGGACTAGAGAAGCAGGTAAGTTTATCCCATTGTGTTAATCTGGTTTATCGACTTTGCTTCAGCGTGCGTAGTGAATCTAATTGAGTTTATTTTTGGAACAGATCCAAGAGCTTGTAGAGGCAATTGTGCTTCCAATGACACACAAGGAACGTTTTGAGAAGCTTGGTGTTCGTCCACCAAAGGGAGTGCTCTTGTATGGTCCTCCAGGGACTGGTAAAACTTTAATGGCTCGTGCCTGCGCAGCACAGACCAATGCCACCTTCCTTAAATTGGCAGGCCCTCAATTAGTCCAGGTATATATGAGTGTCAGATTCAATTCTCATCTCCTTGAATTCTTTACCCCGTCTGGATATAAGATTTTAGTGGAGTCTTCTGACAACAATAAATACATGTGACAAGCTATAATGATACTTGGTTGTAATGACTTGATGACATATATCCAATGTATATACAGATGTTCATTGGAGACGGAGCAAAGCTTGTCCGCGATGCCTTTCAACTTGCCAAAGAGAAAGCTCCGTGCATTATCTTCATAGATGAAATTGATGCCATCGGTACAAAGCGTTTCGACAGGTATAAATCTTTTTCTGATTCCAATTCATCTGTTTCTGCACTTCCTCAGCAATTTACTCAAAACATATTCTTTGGTTGAGAGTACAGTGAAGTCAGTGGAGACAGGGAAGTGCAGAGAACTATGTTGGAGTTACTCAATCAACTTGATGGATTCAGTAGCGATGAACGTATTAAGGTGAGAGTCTTTATCCATTCTACATACTAATCACACTCGTCTCTCATCTCTTAGTCCTCCCATAAAGAAATAGTTACAACCATACCTCTCAATTTTTCAGGTGATTGCAGCCACTAACCGTGCAGATATTCTGGATCCAGCACTCATGCGTTCTGGTCGGCTAGACAGAAAGATCGAGTTCCCACACCCAACCGAAGAAGCCAGAGCCAGAATCTTACAGGTTTGTTCTCCCAGTTTTTAAAAATGTTCCTTGATAACTAAAAGGTCACATAACACAACTAACCCAACTGAATGAATCCAGATTCACTCAAGGAAGATGAATGTCCACCCAGACGTCAACTTTGAGGAGCTTGCAAGATCAACAGATGATTTCAATGGAGCTCAGCTGAAAGCAGTGTGTGTAGAGGCAGGCATGTTAGCGCTTCGCCGTGATGCCACAGAGGTATAACAGATACAAAAGTCTTAATGGATTAAGCTTTGTGATTGTAGTTTAGTCTGGTTTCTTAAGGTGGGGTTCTCTGTTGTTGTGTGTTCAGGTGAACCATGAAGACTTCAATGAAGGTATCATCCAAGTCCAGGCCAAGAAGAAAGCAAGCTTGAACTACTATGCCTGATCCCTCCCATCATTTATATTTTTCAATGCTGTTTATCTTTCAACTAGTTTTACTTGTACCTTCGTTCCGATTTGGATCTTTTAAAATTTTCGAATCTGGATAATCTATTATCAAAATACATTCACTTGTGTTCATCTTTTTTTTTTCCCAAAAAAATTGAATCTTAATAGCTACTGGCTACTGTTAATACCTCGCATGTTAATTGGTTTATAGACCTTTTCTATTTTGAATATATGTTTTGTTAAGAAAAATCTCAAGAGCATATTCTAATTGTGGAGATTGGAGAATCATCTCAGGTAAATGAAATGGGAGATGGATCAAAACGCAAGAACAAACAAGATACTCTGCAGGAAAGAGATCAAAAGCAGAAAGCTATTGAGCATAAGGATGGAGGGGTTCTGAAACCTCCAAAGAAACGTTAAACCACTCGTATGATTCTGTCATTTTTTGGCGATGCTAGAGGCACTGAAGGATGATTGCCAAGATGCTTGAATAATTGGTATGCTTTGGGAATCCTTTTTGTTAAGACATACCTTTGAACTCTTTAAGATGTGTCTTTTCTAAGACATATGAAGAGTAAGCAATCGTGAAGACTCAAGATGATACTTTCTTTTGAGTTACCTGATGTGGAGTCTTTGAATCCTTTTGAAGCTCTAGTTTACAAGTTTGTTTAAGTCAAATGTTGTTTGTTTAAGTTTAGTAAGTGGAAGCTTCCACAGTTAAGTATCCTTTGCAACATATGAAAGTTCTAATAATAACACTTTTTGGAGAAAAAAAAAAAAAGCATATTCCAATTCAAGCAATTTTCTTTCACTAATCAGGCATCCTTTTCCGTTATAACTTATAACACTTAAAAGGACTAAAATCCTTTATGCTCGGTTTAAAGAAATTGCATAAAGTAACAAAAACTTCACTCTAAAATGGTAAAATCTCTCAAGATTAACCCAAAAGACACGAGAAATCGTCAACTAACAAAAAGTAAAACCTCGAAAATAAAGAGAGGAAACACATTCAGCACTTGATCTCCTTCAAGCCGTAGGCTAAGTAGAGGAAAGTAGGATCAGCGGCTCCTTCTCTGTAGTAAGCAAACACTAAGCTCCCTTCTTCTCCTTCCATGCTTTCTCCCACAAAGCTGTTACATTCGTTGAAAATAATCACCAATTAGTCCAAATTAACTAAAAACAAAAAAATTAAGAAAAAAGGTAAAAGAGAAGAGCTTACAATTGGAAGTCTTTGAGCTTTGACATCAAAAATTTGGTGGCACTCTCAATATGTTTCTTGAACAGCTCTTGCTTTTCCGAGTCCAACTTAGGGCTTAGTTGCTTTATGTATCTTTTCATGAACATCACAAATTGTTTCTTGTCAAACGATGGTTGCTCCTACAAGAAAATATATAAATAGCCAAAAGTTAATCTCAAACTTATCTAAAAAATAGTGTCTTGTTTCTTGCGATCAAAGAAAAGAAGATTAAAAAGGTCTTTGAATTCTACCTGAAGCCTAAACGTATCTATGATGTCAACAACCTTCACAGCTTGATCATCTACTCCTTCATCTTCACCGCCTTCTTCAGCCGATGGATTCGCACCAATATCAAAATCCATAGCTCCTTTCACAACCCACTGATGAACAAAAAACATAACAATACATCAGTTTAACTTCAACCAGCTTTGATCTTTAATGAAGAAAATCGAAGCTTTATTTAAGAATAGACGTACCTTTCCTTCAACTTCCCATAACATGCCGTTCTCGATTTCCTTGTAAGGAAAGGAATCAGAGAGAAGCTCATCTCCTGTTTGATCAAAAAGAGAGACAAACTTTAGCTTCTGACACAAGCAATACATACAAATCACTACATATATATATATATATATATATATATATATATTGATAAATAAATACAAATCAATATGTTAAGTGACGATGATTGAGGTTGGACGATAACAAAACACAATTAAAATCCTAGAAAACGAAACGCTAAAGCAAATCATTAATACCAAATATCGTAATTTACGATCGACATGAACCAGAACCATCTTGTTACATACCTGTAAGAATATCCTGGTAGACCAACATGTTTGAATAGAGATAAAGAGAGATTTAAGTCTTGTTTTCTTTCGCTGATTTGATCAGTAAACTTAGAGAGCAGTAGAGAATTTGGTGAAAAAAAAGAGAAAAGAGAAGAAGTCTATTTATAGAGTTTCTGGTGAGATGGTGAATTGACATTTAACTAAGACGAGGAAGAGTCTTGTTTCCTTTTCTTTCTCGTCTTAAGTCTTTTTTTCTCCTACTAGAAAAAGGAAAATTTCCTCTGTTGAATCAGAGCCATTCCCTTATTTACGTGAATTAAATCTTGACCGTTAAATGAAATAAGCATTAAACTTATGGAAACAAGCTTACGAGTAAATAATAAAAGTCCTCCTTAAATACATTTAACTAAGGAGTAAATAATAAAAGTACTCCATAAAACAGTATTGGTATAAAACCATCGTAAATACATTTAACTTACTGTTTTACATTTCACAAATTTATTTTAACAACACGTTTTAAGTTTGTAACTCTAACCGGTCTTCTTGAGGTTCAGTTTTGTCAAAAACTACGGAATTTTTGTTTTCTTTCATAATATATGTTGTTAATGAAATCGACAAGAACCAACTTTTTGAAAACTATGTTCCATTCACCTAAATATAGTAACGGTTTCGGGTTAAACTCGTAAAGTATTTTCACTACTGTAGAAAGTAAAAGTAAAAGAGCGAAATTGGAAATTGGTAACTAGGAGGGGGAGCAGAGCTGCAAAAGTCGGCGCGAATAAACCACTTTAGGCATGTGGACGCAATAATTCGCTTGGGAACATCGTCACATTGGACTAACTAAAAAACTTTGACTACTATTGACCTTCAAAACTTATTTTATTATTTACTCATATTGTAAAATTTCCATATAGTAGAAATTGTGAGGGAATTGATCGAATCTATGAGGACACAAAAACGATCTTAACATAATTTTTCTTTTTTAGAACCCACAATATCTTTGCTAATATTCAAGTTGCTATTTCTGCCTCTGCATATATGAAAATCGTATATTATAAATTTAATAAAATTTAACGTCCAAAATATGTTTAATTTAGCGAGATGTGAAAAAACCTAAAGATATTGTTGTAACAAAAAAATGTATAAGGGTCAAAAATTGGTTGCCAGTTTCTAATAGTATGTTTTAGTTCACATGTACTAGAAGATGAGATCCCAATAAATTCTTTATTTTTTCAAACAATTAGGAACAAATTCAATCGAATACCAAATTTAACATGACGAAAATTTGTATTACTGGCATTGACAATTTGACATCATCTACGGTCAAATTACTCAAATCCGATTAATACAAATATACAATACTATAACATAATAACATTTTAATCGGAAATAAACTTGGAAAAGGACTAAATCTGTATTAGTTTGGTATAAAAATGAAAAATATCTCTTTTTACAGAATAATAAAAACAAAATCAGACTGAAACCCAAAGTCATTTATTATGAGAGCCAAAAATAGAAAGCTAAAATACCAATATGGTTTAATTAAAATATTTGATATCCAAAAAATTGGAAAAAGCTTGGGGGAAGGAAGCAGCTGATGGGTAAAGTAGACAAATCCGTCAGAATAAATCTGAACCGTCCATTCTAGTCTTTGGACAGCGGTCATTGCTTCTACCCCGTAACCCAATCTTTCTCACACAAAACATAACGCTACCGAGAAAAATACTCTAAATAATCAAAAGAGCGATTTTTTTTTCCTGGGTCTCTCTCTGGTGGTGACGATCGAAGAGAGTTCACGGATTCATACAAGGATTAAATAAATCATTCCGAAAAATAAATCGAATCGAAATCGAAGCGTAAGGAATTCGGGAGAGTGATTTTTGGGTTCGAATTTTTGTGGTTGATTCATAAGAAAGCAAAAAAAAAAAGGGTTTTGAGATTTGGGTTGTTTTGATTTCGATTTTGGTTATGGGTTTAGGTAATAAGGGTAACAAATTCAATTTCGGCGATAATGATCTCGCCGACGAAGGTAGTGCTGCCGATGGCGATTCTCGCGACGAAGGTGATGGTTTTGGTTCTGTTGCGTGTTCGATTTGTCTTGAGACTGTTGTTAAAAACGGCGATCGAGCTTGGGCTAATCTTCAATGTGACCATCAGTTCCATCTTGGTGAGTTTGCGATTTTCCAAACGATACTCTTTTTTATTATTATTCGATTGTTTGAAAAAAGCAAAGAATTTGCTTCAGATTTTGATTTGAATCACCCAGATCTACCCCTCTTTGATTCGATTTGTGAACTACGAACCTGTTACATTCTGTTTTTTTTGGCTACCATTGTTTGTGTGATGTGGCTCTCATGATTTGGTTTTTGAGCTCTTAAACTAATGGCTTCATGCTTGATATAGTTTTGATCTGGTCGAATTATGTGAGGTTACGGATATAGCATCAATGATATTTCGATCACTATTTCATTGCAACTCCCAAGTTTCTTAGATTGATCTCTCCACCTTTTTTTATGCCTGTATTAGCTCATAATCTCAGAATGTTCGTGCCATTTGTGTTTCATTATTACATGCATTATGTTCTATTGATTTGTATTTGCCTATATAAGGGAATGCATTGCTCGCAAGTGCATATGAACCTTTTGACAATCTTGGATCTCTATAAGCCGATTAAATTTTCCTCAGATTAGGGATTTTTCTTATAATGCTTTATGTTTGGTTTCTTATGCTTATTCACAAAGCCATCTAACTTCACATCTGTTTTCTTTGTTTTTAAGATTGTATTGGTTCTGCTTTCAATGCAAAGGGAGTGATGCAATGCCCCAACTGTCGGAAAGTAGAAAAAGGCCAGTGGCTTTATGCAAATGGTTGCCGTACATATCCTGAATTCAATGTCGAGGATTGGGTTCACGAAGAAGATATTTATGATATTGGAGCATACTCTGAATTGGTAAGAAACTCTTAACCCAAACCATCTCAAATTCCATTGTCGCTTCTGCATTACTTTGCACTTCTTTGCCTCATGTGCTGAGTTTTTAATTATTGAAAGATTGCCGTTCATTTTATTTGATAGCTTCAATTATGTTCCATCTCGAAAATACCTTGTGTTTATGTACATTTGCAGTCTTTTGGAGTTCACTGGTGCCCATTTGGAAGCTCAGCCCGTCTTCCTTCTTTCGAGTAAGCAACTACATAACACCCATTTAAATCTCTTTTCTGCTACTTTTGGCAATCAAAAATGGCATTCTCTTCCTTCTTTGCTGATGAATCTCTTTCAAACTTTGTAGGGATGGAGAATTTTCGCCGAGTTCATGTAAGACCATTGTCAGATTGGTTATTTTATTTTTGTTCTCATTACCTACTTCTCACGGTTCTGAAATTTGGGTTTATCGACCTATTAATTCTAATGTTGTGGTACAGATCACGATCTTTTGGGACAGCAAGGTTACTATACTGAACCAGCAGCGCCAACTGCAGGTCATCCATGTCCATATGTAACCTATTTTGGCCCGGTTCATTCGTCTTCCTCAAGCAGTGGTGGTGCTGCAGGCGTTTCAGACAGTTCAAGTTTCAGTAGTCACTGGAACACTGGCTCTTCGGTTTCTGGTGAAGTCCCAACTCCATATGGTTTCCCTGTGGATCCGCACTATCACGGCTGGGATTATCACCCGCCTCCACCCCCACCGCCACAGCATTTCTCTGCTTCTGGCCCTCATGTGGGTAGTCCAACTCAGCCCACGCCTCCACCAGCTGCTGCGAGGACTTCTCGAACCAACGGCTCAGATGTGATCAGACCCAGACCGCCACATTTCACCCGTCCATTTCATGGTCACAGGTAAATATTTTCTGCCTTGGTTTAGGTATATCACTATTGAACATAATATATGACCTTAATTACAAAGGTTTTGAGAATTTCTTCACAACATCTATATTATAGTGCTCACAGGATTCAAATTTGGTTTTGTACTTAGATCTCTCAAAATTGAATTACTGAAGTGTTATATATTTCTCTTTTTGCAATTGCTTGCACCGGTTCATAACAACACTCTTGAATTGTGGCAATAAATTAATTTTGCGGAATGGAATGGTGGAATGAAATAAGTAAGATAAACTTGATATTCTGGAAAACTTGTGTTATGCCATATCTAGTTTGCATTTTAGTCATCAATCTTGCGGAATGGATTAATGTGCAAATAAACGTGATTGGAAAAAGCCTGTTATTTCGTGATACCACAGGTTTACCAATAAGACCTTTCATTAACTATCATCTTTTTTTTTGTTAAAACACATCTAATGGCTGGTTTCTGCAGTTCCAGTGGTAGAGCGGGTAGCTCGGTGGCATCTGTTCCGAGGACACCACCATTTCCAGGAAGCAACGCTCGGACCCGCGACAGAATGCAGGCTCTTCAAGCATATTACCAACAGTCTTCTGCACAGTCACACCAGCCGGATTCGCCTATAGTCTCTCGAGGACCTGTATTCCCGTCTGGCCGGAGGCCCGCTAGAGGAATAGCTTCCGGGATGGGATCAACATCATCTTCTTCGGATCAGGCAGGCGGGAGTGGTTTTATCCGGTTTAACATATGGGAGAGAGATCCTTATATGCAATCACAACAAGCCTACTCGGTTAATCAGATGGACAGAGAACCAAACATTTGGACATCTTCATTTAACGAAGGATCAGGAAGCTTCCATCAGAGGCACGGTGGCGGAGGAGGATCATCGTAAGAACTGAGTCAGTACCCGTCGAGATTCTCACCGGTCGGGCAATTCTCATGATGGACAAAAACCAAAAAGCAAAAAAAAAAACATTGGGAATTTGATATTTGAGAAAACCTGAAAACTGCATGCTCAAGTTATGTGATGAATTGATAATCTAAAAACACAAAATGGTATGTAATGGTTTGGAGAGAGACTGCCTCCCCCCGTTGGTGGTGTGACCGTGCGGTTCGAGGTCTGGTTTGAATCAGGGGAGCGAAAGAGGTCGTTGGGTATTTGTTTTTTTAATGTGGCGACAATGGGTATCAAAGTGATGAAGTACCCTAATGAAACTTTTTTCCTATCTGGTTTTTGTTAAATTCTAAAATGTTGAGTTTTCTCCTTCTTATCCCAAATTTTGACGGTCTCTGTTTTGTTTTCCATACAAAATAAAAACCAAGGTCAAATTACCAAGACTATAGTCTAAATATGAGAACAAAATCGAACATTCTAAGCCAACAATGAATCTTTCAATTCTGTCTCCATTTGTTGCGTAGGAAATAGTGCAAAATAATCATTGATAAAGTAGTTTTTATAAGCTCTACTCAGTCACCATCTGCGACAATGTTAGAGAAAATGTCTGAAAGAGTAACACCAAGAATCAACACAAAAATAGTGGGCTCAAAACCAAGAAATGAAAACAGGCCCATAACAATAAAGTTAAGGAATACAAAAACAAAAGGTAGAAGTTTCCTCGGAGGCTCGGACCCCTACGATTTTTCTCAACCTATAGTCGTTTATATATGACCGGCGAAAGGCTCTACTTTTTCTTTTAAGTTTTGATTTTTCTTTCGTGCCCTCCAAATTTTACCAAACAATGGTGGAATCAAAGACCAAATTTGAAGAAATCAGGAAATGGGTCTCCGATCACAAGCTTCGTACCGTCGGTAATTATCCTTCTTTCTTCTTCTCATCATCTCAACATTCCTTTTCTCGAGTCGTTTTATCCTGTTGGTTATTGTGATCTTAGATTTCGTTGGTCCCTTGTGAATATGTCATTTAGTAGAATTGATTAGCATGTTACGGTTTCTGTTCCTGTCTTGGATGTCCTCTTTTGATTTGATTCGACATTTTTGGTCCTCATTTGTTAATGTTAATGTGACATGCAAAGATATAAGAGAATGCATATCCATCTACTTTTTTGGTGTTTTGATATTTTTTATGCTAACTCTGAACCTGTATTGCTCTAATTTGACCGTTGCATAGGTTGTTTATGGCTCAGTGGTATTACCGGTTCTATCGCCTATAACTGGTCCCAACCTGCCATGAAAACCAGTGTCAAGATCATCCACGCCAGGTGAATTTTCCAATCAAAAGGATTTTTAAAACTTTTCCTTTTGTTTTTGTTTATTGTCTTGATCAAACCAAGTTTCTCTTCCTGTTGGTACATTGTTGAATGATTTGATTGTAAAGTTTTGAGTCTCTTTTGCATTTCGAAGCATTTTCCTGAGAGATGAATATTTTTAGTTAAGCCAATATAGAGCATCATCATCTCTATGTCTCAAAAGCATGTACATTTCTCTGTTCTTGCCTCTAAGCTATAGTTGTTATCGGGTAGCTGCTTCCTGCTCAGATGTGAATCTCTATCTTGAAGAAGCATGACTTTTGGTTATGGTTCATGTATGAACCACGGATTTCTTAACTGACTCAATTAGCAAAGCATTAAAACCGATGCATGTGTGTGGATTTTGTTCTCATTGTTTCTTCATTTCGTGGTTCGCTAAATGTAGAATGGTCAATGTAGAATGTTTAATGTCTTACCTTCTCATATTCCCACAAATTTTGTGTCCTTAGACATCCAATCACACGGTTATGTGTATATTCACAGTTCATATTATACGTTTTGCTCAGTCACTCTATGTGTGTGCTTGTCATTAACATATTAAAGAACGCTGAAGATGTTAGATGTGTATCAGTGTATGGGCATGGGAGATTGTATCACATTTCTCACCTGAGTTTCTTCTCAGGTTGCACGCACAGGCACTGACTTTAGCTGCTTTGGCTGGAGCAGCCGTTGTGGAGTACTATGACCACAAAACTGAAGCTACCAACCGCTATCCGAAATTTCTGCCGCCGGAAAATTTATCTCATAAAGACTAAAAACTCTAAACCCCTAAGCTGCAATGGTGGTTGCTGCTTTTTTCTGTTTGGTACAAGGTCTCGTAGCTAGAGAGAATTTTTGTAGACCTTTCAGGGGAATTTTCATGTATTGATAAAAAACAAATTGGCTTATTATATCATTCTTTGCATACTTTCAAGGGATTGCTATGTGTTGTAATCTTAGTGTTGGAGTTTGCACACAAAATACAGATTTCTAAGATAACGTACTGAAAACAAATCCATGATTAAATTGAACAAGTAGCATATGTTGGTGGAATACAAGAATAAATCTCACTTATCTCACGAATTGAGGGAGTTATTGTAATTTATAAATAATTGGGGTTATTTTGAGATTTGACAAAACTTTGGGGATCTTGGGGTTATTTATAAAAGTATAAATTAGGGTTGCAAGACCACTTTAAATGCACAAAAACCCTAGCCCTTTGCTTTATTCTCCTCAGAGCAAAAAGACGCCGCTCGTCTCTTCAGAGAGTTTCACCTTCTAGGGTTTGTTCAAGGTACTCACTGCTACTATCTCTCTTCAATGAAACTCTCTTCAATTTCTGACATAGATTCAATAGACTTGTCTAGCGAGATGTGAAGATGGAGAAACGAATTTTCAGTTTCATTTCCTCTTGGTTAAGCTTAATTTTTTCATCTATTTAGAGTGTAATTGACTATGTTAGTTTGAAACTCGAATCTAAGAAGTGTCGATTCGCATCTGCGATACAGATCTCTCCAGGTTTTGAGTTAGTGATAGTAGCTTGAAATGGCGTATAATGTATATAGAACATATAGGATTCTTTATCTATAGCTAAAATGGTGTATGAATGATTGAATTTTGTGTGTGCCTTTTACATATGTCAATGATCTATAGACACATTCTTATGGTTTGATTTTGGATTTTACAGAGAAGGCTTGGAAAAATGAGTCGAGGAAGTGCAGCTGCTGCCAAGGGAAAGAAGAAGGGAGTTTCCTTCACCATTGATTGTTCGAAGCCTGTCGATGACAAGATCATGGAGATTGCTTCCCTTGAAAAGTTTCTTCAGGAGAGGATCAAGGTCGGTGGCAAAGCTGGTGCACTTGGTGATTCTGTCACAATCACCCGTGAGAAGAGCAAGATCACTGTTACTTCAGATGGCCAATTCTCCAAGAGGTATAACAAATGAATTTGTTGATCTTTGCTCGTCTTGTCTTAAGATATGATAGAAAGCGATTGTTGGAACTAAACTTATTTAACACTGTCTAACAAAAGCAGCAATGAGTGTTGTTAGTTTGCTTAGTATATAAGCAATCTCACGGGCAATGGTTTGTTGACTATTGTCTTTTATGTGTGGTTTCAGGTATTTGAAGTACTTGACAAAGAAGTACCTGAAGAAGCACAATGTGAGGGATTGGCTCAGAGTGATAGCAGCGAACAAGGACCGTAATCTCTATGAGTTGAGGTACTTCAACATTGCTGAGAACGAGGGAGAGGAGGAAGACTAAACCTCAGAAGCCAGTTTGGTTTAGAACTATACTCTATTCCATGTTTCTGTTTTTTGGTTTCTACTCGGTACTCAATACAATTTGTCTTTGCCCTTCTGTCTTTTTTTGTCAGATGTTATTTAGTTTTGTTGAAGTTAACTCTCGTTGGTTATCTTACTTTAAGAGCTCATATGGATCTTGTTTCAGATAATCGTTTTAAAAAGTTGGGTAATGATGAAATGAACTAATGTTGAGGATTAAAGATGTAATGTTGGAAATACTCGTTGGTAGATGTGCATATTTGTTGAGGTTTCTCGAATGTGATTCTAAGATAATCTTTCAATTTAAAATATTTTTGCTGGATTATTTAGATAAGAATCTATTGTGCTTCATAAATTGGGAAAATTTGTTGAATATATATCCAACTTCGACACTCATTAGGAATAGGATTGTGAATAATACCTTCACCAAATATGATTGTGAAGTTCGTATCTCTGCCTAAATAAACAAATTCTCGAGAGTAACATTCCCTATGACGATACTCCTCCAACTCCGTGTTTTTTCGATGTTTTTTCTTGTCAGAGTGGAGATTTGGCCCGTGTGGTTCCATCTGCCCCAAGAAACGAAAGAGAAGTTGGTCTCAGACACTTGAGAAACATCTCAATGTCAACAGCACTAACTCTCTCCATAGGTTCTGAAGTTAATCTCGCACATTTGAGAAACATGTCAAGGGAAGAGTTAGCCATAGAGCTTGCAAATAATGTATCAACAGAACTAACTGCCCTCACAGATCCAGATGTATGGGTTATCAAGAAAACACTAACTAAGAGTGACGTCAGAGGTCGATCACGGCTTCTTATACCTAAGGAATCCGTGAAAGAGCATATTCTGAAATACTTCACAGAGGAAGAGATCAATTTAGTTGAAGACGAAGATTGTCAATAAGGAACTACGCATAAGTTGTGTTTCAAGAGATGGAATTCAGCTGGAAGCTATGTATTGAATAACAATTGGGGCAAGGATTTTGTCGAAAGAAGTTAAAAGAAGGCATGAGGATTGGACTCTTTTGGAATTCTTATGCTTCAAGGCTCCACTTTCGCGTGCTTCATTGAGTTGATTATGGCTTTGGGTTCTTCTCTATCTTGTTTTTTTTTTGTTTTCATGAGGGGTTTTGAAGGGTTTTCGTAGTTGATTCTCTTGGCACTTATTTACTTGAGTATTTTTTGGATGCTGAAACAGCAAAATTATTAGATTCATAACGATTATCTTTGGTATCCCACTAACAAAACAAAGTAAAAGACGTTATGTTTTGATTAGTTATCCACCAAAAACCAACTGTCATCTTTAATTTATTTACTGTAATAAATGGGCATATTCCCTAAACAATGGTAAACGAAAAACCAACCAAAAGTAAACCGAACCAAGATCCTGTTAGCTTGATTGTATCAGTTTCTCTAGTCCGAGACTGTTGTCTGAAGTGGCAAATAACTCTCGACTCCTTTAGCCTCAGTTTGTTGCTTCTCCGCAACAGCCTTTGATAATCCAAACATCTGAAAAAGTATAATAACTTACTATTAGCAAATGCACAAAGTAGTGGCTCAGTGATTAAGATCTGATATGTTTTTAGGAAATAATGAAGAAAGATAAACCTTCTTGATGGTCTTGTTGAAACAATTCTTGTGATCATCCATGGAAGCACTCATGAATTCATCGATGTGATCCTTAACGTCTTCAAGGAAATTGGCATCATCCTTTGTCTTCTTTCGACATGAAGACATGGCCGGTTTTGGTGGGGTTTCAGCTTGAGTTTTCTGCGTCTCCATTTATGTTTGTACTAAAAGGGAACATGTAAGTAAGCTCTTTAGAATAAAGATAGAATCAAACGTAGACTTCAAACCCAATTAACACAAATGGTAAAACAATGATTCAGAAACACTATTTAGCTAAAGAACCAATGAACTAGATAGGCTTTGATACTCAAGTGAAAGATTAGCTCACTAAAACTATTCAGCTCATAAACACTTAACTGATAAACAACAACTTGAGAACACAAACCCAGTGAAACAAAACACATATAATCAGATATATCCAAAGTCTAATTTTCAGAGATTCTCAAAGTGAAAGATCCTAACTAACTATAGCAATTGGCTATTCAATGTCAACTTTCTCAGAGATTCTCCAATATTTTCTCAATTGAGCACACAACATTGGAATCAAACATAAACTTGCTCGAAACTGTCCAATTTCCTTACTATATATACTGAGAAATCCCACCACTACATATCAATCGAAGGAACTAGAGAGTAAGTTAGATCAAGAAACCCAGCAAAACACAGATGAAGTATTCGATCATACACAGACAAGACAAAATTTTTTTCCAAAAACGCAGAAATGAAGCAAGTTTAATAGCTGACTCAGCTGAGACATGAACCCAGAAACACAGGAAAACAACGAAAGATCAGAGATTTAGAAACGGGAGAATCAGAAACTCACCGACGAAACTAGCGGCGGCGGCGACGGAAGAGAATTTGTCTGCCTTTGGGGATCCTCTGCTCGCTAAAACGCATTGCAATTACTAAACTACTAAAATACCCCTAATGGTCTTCAAAACAGACAACCAGACGAAAGGTTATTTACGGAAAATTGCTTTCCTTAGATTTTGGGTTGGTATGCAGCAGCTATTATTATTTGGTTTGTGAATTTCATAGACCGAAAAATCTAGAAACCAAATAATTATACCGAAATTGAGCAGTAAACCGGATTGGAGCATCTTCTTATGATTTACACCAAAGCCTGTGATTAAATATGTGCTACTATAAATACTCGACAAGAGAGGGAGAATCAGTTTTAAGAAGAAGCAAAATTAAGCAATTCCGAAGAAGTTGGGGATTCAAAAAGTTTCTTGAACTCGTCTTCGTCTAACTGTTACTGTTCATCGTAGAGATCATATTGAGAAAGATGGGAAGAAATTTAACGAAGTTGGTGTTTCTGGTTTTCTTCCTTCGTCTCTTGATCTCCTCTTCGTGCGGTGAGTATCAAATACTTGGGCTCTTCGTTTCAGTTTTGATCTTTCTTCTTCAATTTTCGCAAATGGGTTGGAGTATTTCACTGGAAGTTTCAATCTTTCGGTTCTTTTGGATCATCTTGATGCGTTCCGATACATAGAATCTTGAAATTGAGTTGTGCGATGATGTTCTTTTCAAAAGTTTCGATCTTTCTTCAGCTCGGTTCCTTCTGATGCATATAACCTGTTTGAAATTGAGTTACGAGATGTTCTTCCTTGCGTTTGACAACTAGAAAGATCGAAATTGTTGCAATGACACACGACTTGTTCTCTCTGTTTCATGCGTTTAACTATCTTGAAAACAATCAAACTTTACAAGAGAAGCTTCTACAATGTGTTGATGATATTGAGCTTTGTATGCATTTCAGGTGAATCATTTAACTCAGATGAGACGAGAGTATGCATTTCTAAAGGAGGAAGATTTCTGCCATACGAGTCAGAAGGAGAAACTCCTATGCCTTCTTCTCTTGAATTTAAAGATCTAAACCTGTGTAAAGTGTTCCATGGGAAGACTTGTTGCTCTGCTTCAACTATGCACTCTGCTTCATTAGCTCTCGAAAATCTGGCTACTTATGGAGAAGCTACTAAAGATTGCTTGGATATGTTTGAGCTGTTGGAATGTTCAATCTGTCAGCCAAATGTTGGGATTCAGTCAGAACCTCTTCACATTTGTGCTTCGTTTTGCGACAGAGTCTTTGAAGCTTGCTCAGATGCTTACTTTAGTAGAAATGCCAGTAATCAGGTAAGACCGCTACTGTATGTGAATTCCTGAGGTAGAAAACTCTTGAGAATTCACAAGTTTGAGAGAGTGCTTGTTCTTGTTATGTGTCAGGTTATAGTCCCGTGTGGAGCAAGCGAAGGTACTATCATCTGCGGGAAAGCTTCTAAATGGGAGTCTAATGGCACAGCTTTCTGCTATGCATTGGGTTTCACTGTTCAAACAGCTGGTGATCTTACAGAAGAGCCTTGTTACGGAAGTAAATCAAGTTTAGAGCCAGTGGTGGAAACAGTCATAAAGACTGAGACTTTTGCGTGGTTTCAAGATCTTCAGAAACTGGTTAGAGAGATGACACTGGTTCAACAGATTTCTTGGGTAGTAACACTTTTTCTAATAGGAACAACGGCCTTTAACAGGTTTTGCATCTCTCTCTTTCTCTTTCCCTCTCATCCTCCAGTTCCTTTTTGACCGATTGATGCTTAAATCTTGCTTTGGAATTTCATAACTCAGGCGACGTTATCAGCAAGAGATACAAGCTATGGTTGAGAGGGATGCGAGAAGATTGATGGGGAACATGAATGGGAATGCCTAAAATAAGATGATCTCTTTTTGAGTTCTTTAGCATATAGCATTCAAACCTATAAAAAAGCTTTGTAAGAATATTGAGTCTGATATTTCATTGCTATATTTGGGTGTTAAACCCCACAGGGAGGATTGCAGACGCAACAATTGAAAATCAAACTGTTTTTACTGTGCAGATGATTCACAAAAGTAAAAGCCAAACCATAAAAGTCAATTCAATATGGAAAAGATTAAGAAATGTGGTAATTTGATGATACAAGGAAAGAAAGAAAAGAGTAAAAGAGGAGAGGCACTCTAAGTTAAACTAAGGCGTAAAAAGAATAACCAAATAAAAGAAAACAGACCAAAAGGAGATGAAAATCTAGAGAAGCAGAAAAGAGATGTTTCTGCAACTATACACAGAATGTTTGGATAACAACTTTTGTTTTCTCTCTCTTTTGTTTTTTCTACAGATGCTTCTTCTTTTAATGACTAAGTAAAGTAGCCTTTGAGGTTCTCTTCTCCATTGCAGTTTGCCTACATCTGAAGAAATGCACAGAGCCTAGCTTGAGCTTGTGAAACCAAATCTCTCAAGGGAATAAGCTTTATTGAGTTTCAAGACTTCCCCATTTTCGGTACCTGATCAAAAAGAGAGAAACATTATGACGTGAAGTTGCCAAAAGAACAAAAAACATTTCATGACTCATCAAGTCCAAAAGGCTTGGCCCTGATGGATTCAGATTTTGGTTTATCCAAGCTAACCAATTGTATTATCAAAAGAAGGACTACTTGGTCTTTTGAAAGTCTTTGGTGGAAACGAACCTTCTTGAGAGGATTACTGCCAGAAGCTGGAGCCGGTTTCAGAATCTCAAAGGAGCAAACGAGAGATTGATCCACACTCAATAATGCACCAGCATTGTCAAACTCCCCGCCATAGTTTGGAGCTGAAAATATCGTGACTAATCTCCGTTTTGCGAAAAACTCGTACCCATCTTCCACTACCTGCAAACTCGTCCCTCACAAGTCAATATCTTGAGAGGTTCTCATAAAAGTATCTCAACTAATGTCGAGCATTTCTAAAGAACGAAAAATCGCAGAATTGGTTCTAAATTTGATCACTAGGGAAAGTTTGTTTACCTGATGGCCTCGGCAAATGAGATCGAGATCATTCTTATCCAAAAAGTCAGCGACTACATCGGCTCCAAACGTGCAGGAGATACCTCGATCGCTATCGGTCCACCCTTCATTCTTCTGATCAGGATCAGACCAAAGTAAATCACAAAGAAGACCATTGTCTGGAATCTCTGTAGGCCTTTGAATCTCTCGAATCTGCCCCAAGTTTTCCAATTCCGGTGACAACCCACCATGCATACATAGGATCTTCTCGTCAATGAGAGCAGCTACCGGCAAACAGTTGAAGCAATCGGTGAATATCTTCCAAAGCCGCACATTAAATCTCCGTTTGCATTCGTCATAGAACCCGTAAATCCTGTTGATCTTAGCGTCTTCATGGTTTCCTCTCAAGAGAAATATCTTGGATGGGTACCGGATTTTATAAGCCAAGAGTAAACATATTGTTTCAAGACTTTGCTTGCCTCTATCAACGTAATCACCCAGGAAGAGATAGTTAGCTGAAGGAGGGTAGCCTCCGTATTCAAATAGCCTCAGAAGATCTTGGTACTGTCCATGGATATCACCTGATTAGAGATCCAAACGGAAACTATTAGTACCTCATAAAACAAAGCATCAACAGATTTAGAAACATAATGCAAAAAACTTAACATAAACCCATCAAAATCAAAACTTTTTAGAGTTTCATATGCATAGGAAACCAAATCACCCAGATGCTTAAAATCTTCAAACACACGTTTCGACATTAAAGAAAGAGGAACTAAACCAACACAATTTTGCCCCCAATTTCATCTTACATTCAAAATTAGTCATCTTTTAAACCCCAATCGTGCAATACGATTCAAAACCAAAAAGCCGCAACATTTTTTCATCATCACCACATAGAGAGAGAGAGAAAGAGAAAGAGACCGCAGATGCGAATGGGGGCATGAAGCTCGAGAAGATTAGGCTGAGAAAGGAAGATTTGTCTGGCGTTAACGCAAAGTTGACGGATCTCGATCTCCGAAAGCTGAACCTGTTTCCCACCTTTACCTTCCAATAATCTCCTAATAATATCATCCAACACACCCATCTCCATCATCCCTTCCGTAGTCGTCATCACTCTTCCTCTGATCCCAACTTTTTTCACCAGAATCCAAAAGGGTTTGCGCCAAATCAGGCGAGAAACAATGGGTAAATGATTAATTAACGAAACGATCAGAAAATCACAAACTTTGTAAGTTTTTTCCCTTGGATTTTTCCGAGAAAATGCGGGAAAGACAAAGGGGGGAGAAAGAAAAGAGAGGTCAAACAAAGGGGCAAGGAAAAACCAGAAGCAATCTCTATTAGTCTTAAAAACTCAGAGGAGGAGGAAAGTGGATCAAATGGGCAAGATTAGAAAATAATAACAAATCCAAATTATAAATTTATTTATTTTAGAGAAACAGATGGTGCAGATAAATAGCTCCTTCTCTTCTCTCTTCTCTCTCTTTTCCTGCCAGAAATTTTTGGAAATTATATTATGATCAACTCTGTTTTAAAATGGCTGTTGATTACATCAAGAGAATGATGTCGGTCAAATAATGTAAATTAGGCATAATTAGGATTAGAAAATAGAACAAGTTGAGTTTAACTATTGGACAAGTTTTATTTCCACAAAAAAATAAATTATAGGGTAATATAAGGTTACACAATTGATAATCATGAGATAACAAAGAATATGAAAAGGTAAAAAAAAATGAAAAGGTAATCTTATTTATTAGATTATTGTATATTTAGCAATTTCTGAATTTGTTTGGAATTGTAACAATAGCCTAGCTACTACAATAGTACATGATGTAAAAATGGATCCAATGAACTACAAAAAAAATGGTTGGAAGCAAAAATTACTGCAAATGATTTGGTATTGTCCAAAAGAACTAAAAACATGATTAAAGAGGGAAGTTGTCAAATCTCAAAATAGAAAAACAACAAAAAAACGAACAAGAAGTAATTAGTGAAACCTTCTAAGGCAAGAATTATGGGTAGTGGACGGACGGTGATGGAAGAAGATCCAGCCTAAAAGAATGAGACGTGGATGATTCTTATTGGAACTGGTCAAAATAAATTAGTCTCCTTACATTTAGTTTACACACAAATTTCCTTTATACTATTATTCAGGTAATTTGTTGTCGGGCGAGAAACCGCGTCTTTTGAAAAGTTCGTTTTTATGGTTATATAAGCTACATTTGTACGTGTGTGTATACGTGTGAGGGTAATACTTGAATTCGTAAATGGGTTCCCATCATGTTATGTTCCACCACCATGATATAATTATATAAACAACCAGTAATGATTAGTAACAAAAATTGTTACCTCCTTTTTTTTTTTTTTGGCGACCAAAGATTTAACTTATTTGAACGTTATTTGCTTATGATTCATAACACTTTTTTGTGACAATAATAAATTATTATTGCGTAACTACCTATGTATTAGTTTACATCATAACAAGTATACAACACCTAATGCATGTGGTTCATTCGTTTTCTAAGCATTATAAAAAGCCTTTTTTTTTCTATGAAGACAGGCGTGCATAAACAATTAGGTTATTTATCTATATAACTAATCTTGCAATAGTCCAATATACTACAAAAGGTTTGTAAGAAACTACATCAGATTGACATGATAGATTTAGAGAAACTAGAAAGGCTTTCTCTCTTGATGAACATAAATCCTATTTATTTTCTTCCTTTCTTTCCTTTTTCTGTTTTTTTTTTAAGTCCAAACTTAACTTTGGGCTTATATTTGAGGCCCATATCGTGAAGGAAGAAAATAACTAAGCCCATATCGTGGAGGAAGTAAGAAAACCCTAAAATCGAGTTGGTGGTATAAAAACCCTAGAATCAGTATTTTAGTATCCTCTTTATGTACTAGGTCGGCGGTTCCAGCACCACAACGCCGGACGACAATGGTAAATTCTCGCTTCCTCTGTCTTTCAATCTTCATTTCTCTGTCTTTCTTCTACAAGTTTTTGCTGTTGTTAGTTTGATACTGAAGTTTAGAGATTTTGGGTGATTCCTGTCATTTTTATAGTTGGATAGTGGATTTAGAGTTTGGATTATTTAATTTTGTGACATTTGAGTCTCGGGTTAGAGTGTGAACATTCCTGTCATCTCTCTTAGTTTTCTTTTTTTGAGATTGAATGTTGCTTTCATGGTTGATTCTGAGATTGATTTGTCTTGTTTATTGCAGGGTATTGATCTGATCGCCGGAGGTAAGAGCAAGAAGACCAAAAGGACAGCTCCAAAGTCTGATGATGTCTACCTCAAGCTTACTGTCAAGGTCAGAAATTTATTTTAACATTAATCTTTGTCCTTTACCTTTTGTTCCAATTGAAGAGGTTTTTTCTATTTGAGTGAATTGTTCTGAGTATCGAATTCACGAGATTTAAACTTTTGTTTTTGAAATTTTGCAGCTTTACCGGTTTCTGGTAAGGAGAACTCAGAGCAAGTTCAATGCTGTGATATTGAAGAGGCTTTTCATGAGCAAAGTCAACAAAGCTCCTCTTTCTCTATCTAGGCTTGTGGAGTTCATGACTGGCAAGGTTCCATTTCGCTGAAACCCTCTCGCTCTGCTTTATCTTTTTGTTGAAATTAGACTTGGTCTTATGTCATGATAAATCGGTTACATTTCTTTATCTCCAGTTTCCAATTTGTGTAAACGCTAGTGGTACTGTTAATCTGAACTTAGTCTGTAACATGGAGGTGTTCAGTTATTGATTCAGATTCTCTATGTTGTCTATGTTATGAGTTTTGAATGTGTTTTGTGTTCTGATATTATAGGAAGATAAGATTGCTGTCTTGGTTGGAACTGTTACTGATGATTTGAGGGTACACGAGATTCCAGCAATGAAAGTGACTGCCCTGAGATTCACAGAGAGAGCAAGGGCTCGCATTGAGAAAGCTGGAGGTGAATGCTTAACCTTTGACCAGCTCGCTCTCAGAGCTCCATTGGGCCAGAACACGGTATTTCTCTTAACCAAACTGCTATTCTCAACTCTGTGATGATTAAATTACGTAAAATGATGGTTGTGTGTTCTTGTGTTATAGGTTCTTCTTAGAGGACCTAAGAATTCACGTGAAGCAGTGAAGCATTTCGGACCTGCTCCTGGTGTGCCACACAGTCACTCCAAGCCATATGTGCGGGGCAAGGGAAGGAAGTTCGAGAAGGCCAGAGGAAGGAGGAAGAGTCGTGGATTCAAGGTTTAAGAAAGTTGTTGCTGCCATTGGACTTGATTTTGGAGTATTGTCGCTTCTTGGTTGCTTGTGTAATCGGGTTTTTGTTAGAGAACTCTGCTTTTTCTTTGCTTTTCAGACATGTTTCTAAGCTCGTTTTTTACTGGATTCATCGTGTCGTTGTTACACTTTGAGCTTTACTATGTTAAACGTATTCATAATCTTTCGTTTATAGTCTCAGCATCACAAGAAACCAAATTATTTGATAGGCTTTGCTACATCACCAAGAACTTTCTTTCTGTCATTGTCTTATAATTTCATTCGTTATCTCTGGTTCTTGGGTTGCATATAAATCATTACCTTGTAGGTGAGTGCTTTCATTGGATCTAACCATAGTATGTCTTATATGTAAGAGGAATAGAGGATAAACTGATCCAATTTTAGGATTTTCTAAGAGAACAAATCCTTGCTGCATTGTCACAGATAGGACCAAACACTTTCCCCTACACCAGACCACATCTCATCTCTTAGATCGTGGATTTGTTGGAACTTATTGACTCATGGTTTATATGAGAAATGAGTAGCCGCGAATGGTTTGTATTTATTCTTGTTTTTTCTTTCTTTTTCGACAAGTTAGAAAAAAAAATTGATGTCTTTTGGATAAATTTTTGTGTTATATGTATGTTAAATTCGACTATTTTAGACTTACTAAATTTGTCAGACTGCAATCGAATCGGTTCTCCATCAGTCGCTACAAGATTCAGTGTGTTCATATATTCAATTGAGCTTCATAATACCAAATCTTATTCATAATCTTGTCGAAACAACACATGCAAGAACCAACTTGTTTTGAGAGACAGCATAACAAAACCAAACAAGAACTCTAACTAAAAGCTTTTGTTGTTGTCCTGAAGCTTGGTGAAGAAGTCATTGATGTGAGCAGTGACCTCTTGAGGTTTCTCTTGGTTAACGAAGTGACCAGCATCTTCAATCACTACTATCTCTTGAAGAGTTGGAACATCTGCTGAAAACCCACCACCGTGAATGTACTCTTTCATCCCTGGTGTGGTGTAAACCATGTCGAAGTCACCGGTCATGAACTTCACTGGAACTTGAATCTTAGCTCCGGTCCATGGTGCAGTGAGCTCCCAATTCCTGATATTAACCAATCACAAATAAACACAAACCCTAAAGTACGCATTCATATATTAAGAACTTACAGATCCATGGCTCTGTAGTAGTTCAATCCACCGGTAAATCCTGTCTTCTCGAATTTGGAGACGTAGAAATCAAGATCTTTCTTAGAAAACCATTCAGGCAATTCAATGTTTTCGCTATTAGGGTTAGGGTTTTCTCCAAAGGGATTATCCTTAGGTAAAATCGGCGGACCGAGTGACCTCCCTGTGAAGAGGTTCCTCAGAAATATTCTTGCATCTGCACTCGCAATCTCTGCTTCAATCTTCCCCGGTTCCTGCAAATTCACATTGTTCAAACAAATTGAAACTCAGTTGGACACAACCAAACACTGTCAATTACATGATTTCATTTAATTGGTTAAAGATTACGGGTCGATGTTACTTGATTAGTACAGTCGGTTGATAAAAGAATAAAATAAAGAAAGATCAAAATGCAAAACCTGAAATCTACAAATGTAGTAATCATCTCCAAACACAGCCTTAAACCCTTGAACTGGCTTGACTTTAGGGTTTCTTGATCTATACGGCACACTCAAACACACAAAGCCCTTAATCTTCTCAGGTCGAAACAAACAGAGGAACCATCCAATAATGGCTCCCCAATCATGACCGACCAGAAACACCTTCTCTTGATCTCCAGCAACACTGTCCAGAAGAGCTACGAGGTCCCCAACGACGTTAAGACACGTGTACTCGGAGAAAGACTCCGGTGAATCAGAGTCTCCGTAACCTCGGAGGTCTGGAGCTACAGCGCGGTAACCTAGAGATGATAACCCACTAATCTGGTGACGCCACGTGTACCAGAGATCTGGGAATCCATGGAGGAGAAGCACCACAGGTCCTTCTTTGGGACCTTTCTCGGCAATGTGCATTGTTATGCCATTGACACTCACCATTCTGTGATCAATTCCTTCCATGTCTCTGTTTTTTTCTTTTTTGTTGGATATATGAATGTCTTTTTACTTTGTAAGATGTTTGATGGAGTCAATTTGGTAGTGATATAAATAGAGAATCCAAAGGGAAATTACTTCTGTTTGCCTGGACAGAGGAAATTCTGACCTATCTTTTTAGATGGCATGAATACTAGTTTTAAATGGTAACATAAGTTGGTGGAAAATTGACTGAAAACCAGCAAAAAAAAAAATTAATATCAAACACAGTATTTAAAAGACAATAATAACGCTGCTTTTATTTATTTTGCAAAACTAAATAAAAAGATGGATGTATATCTCTAATGTTGAGCTTCTCAAAAGAAGAGTCTTTCCCAATTGGTGAAGACGAGTAACCATTTGGAGGTGAAGGGAAGTAAATGCAGACTAGTGAGTAGTTGCTATTGTGTGCATGCATATATGCTTGGGAAGCTACCTTTCTTTTACTGCCTCAAATTTTATGATAACAAACAATGCACTACTATAGTATACATCTATATCTTTCAGATAATTAAATTTTATTAGAGTTAAAAAGAAAATAGGGAATCCAAATAAAATTTTGGCTCTTTCTTTGACTTCCTTCTGATCAACTTTTTCTAAGAAATTTAAAACTTCAAAGCAACGGATTTGGAAGTACATATGCAAAGGGTAAAAGAATCTCTTAACTTTTCCAATGGACATATAGAATAAGATGATTTGACTATAGCTTAAAAGATGAGAGGGTGGAGCTGAAGTGAATGATGCAGAGAAGTAAATGAGGTTAGTTGTAACTACTTTCATTTACTATCTTTCACTATTTCTGCTTCTTCTTCTTTTTTTCAGGTAAGCATGGCTTTATTTTCTATTAATGATTGAATGTGTGTATTATAACTTTCCAACTTTTTCTTTTCATAAGCTTGTCCCGATTCAAAAATATATTGAGGGTTGTGTGCTAACTGGATATACGAATATTAATTTCGTATAGGAAATTGTTAGTAGATGACACATGAAATTCATTGGAACAGCTCGGGTATAGTAATGAACTAATCTCTACATAATGAGTTTACAAGATGCACTAGTTAATTATATAATAGATTTATAAACAACATTTTTAATATACTGCAATATTAAACATGAGTTTACAAATCTAAACATTAATCCCAACAATTTGGAAGACCAATAATCCTGAAGTCTTCAAGGTTGTGCAATTTTTGTTTTCTTTCAGGTTTTCTTGAATTAGAGTAAGAAAAAACACATTATATGGCATCTTAATCAATTTTTTAGGTAGACATTGCAACCATCGAAACAGAGCCCTCCGTTGAGGCCACCATAATTGAACTTTCCGGGGAAGCCGTCTCCGTTGAAGCCACCTTAAGTGAACTTTCTGGGGAAGCCGTCTCCGTTGAAGCCACCTTAATCGAACTTTCTGGGGAAGCCGTATCCGATGAAGCTATCTTAATCGAACTTTCTGGGGAAGCCGCCGTTTCCGATGAAGATATCTTAATCGAACTTTCCGGAGCAATTGAACTTTCCGGGGAAGCTGCTGGAGCAATCGAGTCAGAGCCACTTGTATCCGTGAAGGTGGAGAAACCTGGAGCAGCTGAGCCGCTCGGGGTGGTGGTCGCAGCGGCCGGGTTCCCAGCCAAAAGGCCTGGAGTGTACGGAACACCTTTGCCTGGAACCCAAGTATCACCTTGGATGTACTGCGCCGGTGTGAACTTCAGGATATCTTCGTCGCTCAGTGTCTTGATTCCAGCCCATGTAACCCGGTTTGCAAGGGCGGATCCTGGTCCGGTGTTTTGGACCTCAGAGTAGAATAACGTCTTGAGGCCGAAATCCCCGAGCCATGGTTGCCATCCTTGTGGCTGAACAAAATCTGGGATGAAAGTGTTCATGATGATAGTCCTTGAATATTCCTTCCATGGCCTACCAAGATAGGCTTTGCTGGTTTCCTTGACAGCCAAGTAATCTGGTTCACCGGCAATGGTGCATCCTTGGAACACAAATCCGGTAACTTCCCTTGGGTCTTTACGACCGTGGGCTGTGATCGGGCATGCTTGGTTAGGAAGTGGCTTCCTCACCAACAAAGTACAGTTTTGGAATACAGCAGCTGCATCTCCAAAAAGGAAATCAATGGTGCCTGAAATGGTACAATCACGGAAGAACTGACGGTGGGAGTGAGTGTAGAGCGTGTCTTGGTAGCCATCGAATCTACAATTGAAAAATATCGACTCATCCGATTGAACTCTAACCGCAACCGCTTGATGTTTTATTGCCCCAGCGGTGTTTTCAAACCCGATGTTCTTGGCAATGAAGTAGTTTCCAACAATGGCTGCAATAAAACATTAGGGAACATTTTACATATCTGACTTCTAAAACTTTGTAAGCTAACGAGAAAAAAATCGTCAAAATATATATCGTACCGACAGTGGCGGTACGGTAGGTGGTGATACCATCCTTGTAATTCTTGTTTCCGGAAATGATGGTTTTGTCGGGACCATCACCAATGAACACGAGATGAGTCATGCTCTTGTTAACCTGAACATACTCCTTGTAGAGTCCAGCCTTAATGTGAATCACGAAAGTTGTGTTCTTCTTCTTGGGGACAAACTGCAACGCTTCATTGATCGTCTTGTATTGACCGCTCCCGTCCTGGGCAACCACGATATCAGGCTTCGCATCGGAATATACGGCAGCAGCTTGTAAGAGTTTACGCCCACGCTGGTCTACCCACGAAGGGAAACCTTCGGCCAAAAGCCGACGGCTGTGCAACTCCGGAATCTGCATTTGGCCCACGAAATTCGACAATTCGCTGATGATCGCTAGCCCGTTGTGGGTCAACTCGATTGCGGTCTTCAACGCTTTCTTCATTGTCTCTCCTGCATTCCCTTGTGTTCCTTGAAACCCTTCAAGACAAGTCTCCTCGTGGCTGATCGCCGCGCTGAGCCAAATCCTAAGATTGATCAAAGCTTCGTCGAGCAAGTGAAACTCAAATTTTCCAAGCTCCTCGAAAGAGTTACTTAGCTCGCCCAACGCGTAATCCATAAGCTCTTTGCACTGATCAAGCGCCATCCTTGTCCTCGGATCCTTCTGAAGCTCCATCATCGTCTGCGACTTCTTAGCTGCGTCCGTGATCTGCTTCATCGTAACAGTAAACGCAGTCTTAATCAACTCCATCGGGTCGGTTGTGTTCTTCCCGTTCTTAATCAGAGTGTCTTCACAAGTCTTTCTGTAATCAGTTGGTGCACAAACATCCTTGACAGCCTTGACGGAAGCCGTTATCTCTCCTTTACCTTCGGAGTCACCGTCATTCTTATTGAGGCTGACACCAACGGTAACCGCGACCACCATCGAGATCAGAAGAACAGAGGAGATGGTGATAACAACATACCTCCTCTTCCTCCTGGATTCATCGTCGTATCCGTACGACATAATTGTTTGTGTTTTTCGTTACTATGATTAATATTTGTTTTGTCTTCTCTAAATCAAATTGTTGTTGAACTTGAACAGCTCTGAAGAATTATTGTAAAAAATATTAGAGCTGTTCGTTGTTCTTTTGAGAAAAAGAAAATGTGAGTTTTATGGACTCCTCCGTCGAAGGTTACGTAGCCTCCTAGGAGTGTGTATTCTTTCATAATTGTCGAGATAGCTTATTTATAACGGTTATGACAAATTAAGAGTTCGTTATTTTGGTTGCTCTGTTTTCTAAGGCTTGGCGGGAAATCCGGCTAGTGAGAAACTGTTGAAAAGACAAAAAATAGGCTTGTGGTTTTATTGTCTTCTCTGTTTCCTTATGAGTTTCTAAATAGGGAAAATAATTAATCTTATTTTAGGAATTCAATAACTCATTTTTTGTTTGTTTGTTCTTTTCTCCACCGGATTAATCAGTGTCTTAATCGTGTTTTATAACTACTAATTGACATACCATACGGTACAGTTGTGAATATATATGTAGAGGTTTCCCCATTACTTATCAAAGCCATTTTCTCGATGTTAAAATTCTAGAATAAATCAATGTGCGAATTTATAAAAACAAAATTGGTAGATTATGATTGAAACAAAATATGGTCTTAAAATAAAAGAAAATACAAAAACAAAACATTTGTATACACTGGAAATATTGTCCGTTTTCACCGCATACTGAATAATTGTATTTGATTCTTGACGAATCTTGACAAATAGTCAATTTGGAAGAGGTATATTTAGTTTTATGCAATATGTACTATTAAATTTTAGATTTTTCTTTCTAATTTTGATCAGAAACACATTCATATAGATCACAGAGGTAGAGACATAAACACACAAAAAGTTTAATATAGTTTATCTTTTTGGAGATTACATCAAGCCACCGGCATATGGAACTCCCATGTTCGGCAACCAGCTATCTCCGACTATAAAGTTAGAAACGGTGAACCAAACAGCTTCAGTTTCATTGATCACATGATAACCTGGCCAGTTAACCCGATTAACTGTTTCTGAACCTGGTCCAGTGTTTTTGAACTCCGCATAATACAATGTCTTCAAAGCGAAATCACCCATCCATTCAATCCATCCTTTACTATCAATAAACCCATCCAAGAAATTTTGCAAATAAACCGTCCTTGAGTACTCCTTCCATGGCCGGCCTAAATACGTCTTAACAGAGAAACTACTTGAAACCAATTCAGCACTAGGTGTAATTCTACAATTCTGTATTGAAATCCCGGTATTCTGGTTTGGATCACTCCTGCCTTGGGCCGTTATGGCATTGAATTGTCCTTGAAGTGGTAACCTCGGAATGAGGTTGCAGTTCTGAAGAACCGTGGCAGCATTCCCAAATATGAAATCTACAGTGCCATATATATCGCATTCTCTGTAGAACTGTCTAAGTGAGTGGACATAAAGCGTATCTTGGTAACCCTCGAAGCTACATTTGTAAAACGCTGACATGTCTGCACTGTTGCGGACGGCAACAGCTTGGTGTTTGTTAGGCCCAGCTGTGTTTCTCACGGTTATGTTCGCCGCGATGAAGCCTTTTCCCATAACAGCTGGATCCAAATAAACCAAAATCAATCCATCTTTATATTGAATAGTTAGTATTTTGTCTATAAACGATCATAACCTATTCTTAAACAATGTATCGTGATGGATTTTTGTGACGTGACATCCAAGGTTTCAATTGTCTTATATATATAATGCAGACGATAGTTTAACAAAATGTAAACATAAATACAAACGCAAAACGGGAATACACTATCAAAGCCTAAATGACTTACCGAGTGTAGCAGATGCGAAAGTCGTGGAGCCATCAATGACGTTTCTATTTCCTGTAATGATTGTTTTCTCAATGCCGTCACCAACGATCATCACGTAAGGTTTGTTGCTTGGAACTGTGACGTACTCTTCGTAAACTCCTGCGACAACGTAAATCACGAAGTATCCGTTGCCAGATTCTACCTTTGTCGGCGCAGCAGCCACCGCGTCATTTATGGTTTTAAATGCATCAGCATTTCCACTATTAGGGTTAACGACCACCGTTTTGGTCACCTTAAAGCCACCATTGCCGACGGGAGAAGACTGTAAAATTTTAGAAAGGTTGAAAACACGAACTTTGTATAAGCCACATGTGAATCATAGAATTAACATTTTTTTATTGAAAGTGTAAAAAAAAAACACCATTGTCTTCGTCTAAAATATAGAATAAAATTCCAACAAAAAATATATATAGAAAAAATATTTTCTTGATATATTATCACTAATTCATCCAAATTAGTGCATATCTGTTTTTTTTACAGTAATTATATATGTTTTATTATTGGATCTAAGAAAATTGTAAGTATCATTTAAGATAAATTAATAGAAAATAACCTGAAGAAGCTTTCGTCCAACAACCATAACTCTCTCGTGGATCATTCTCTCTCGTTCCGTCAGCTTCACATACGAAACTTCCGATGAAGACAACTTTTTCCCCTCCGTCAGAATCCTCGGCGGTGGCTTTGTCGCCGAAGCATCAGATGTGATCGGCCAAGCTTCCTTGGACAATGCAAGAGAGACGCTAATCAGCTTTATACCCTCCGAAACCCTCCGAAGGATATCGTCGTGGCCGTTAACGACATTCTCTGACGATTTTCCGGCGACCTCATGAACCGAGTCTAGGCATGTCTCGTAGTTCGTAAGGGCGGCGCTAAGCAGCGTGAGCAGATCGTTGACCTCAGAGTTTCCGAAAATATTCTCCTTGATGGTGTTCACACGTGTTAGGTGGTCAACGGTCAGGCCGGCGAGTAATTGGCAATCGTTAAGAGGTCCTGAGGTGGGATGATGTTGGTCGAAGGAGGCGAGAAGATCTTTAGAAGCTTCTAGTGACTTTATGATGGCAATGCGGACAAACCCGGGAACCGTACCGGGTGATCCGACGGGTAAGACAGATTTACAGACGGATGGGTAAAGTGTGGAGTCACAAAGAGCTTCAGAGGAAGTTAGGGTTTGACAATGAGAAAGAGTAGAAAAAAGAAGGAAAGAGATTGCCGTGACGAGGATATTATTTTGAGTCATGGTTTTGTAATGATCTCTAATTACTAATCAGGGTTGATGTTTACAAGTTTTCTTAAAGATGTTTGTATGAGTATTTATACATGATCTAACTTAATTTCAAATTAAAATATATTTTTCTCGTAACAGTTTTCGATTTATTTCTGGAAAAGTGTACAAAACTGAAAATTTTACAAAATGCTTAAAATTCAAATAGAACCTACTCCTTGAGTGCTCCACAGTATTTTTAAACGTGCAAACAACAAATGATAATTCATGATATCCAAAGATATGGACAACATAGATTATACATATATAAAACCATGAAAACCAATAAAATAGGTTATATATACATATAACAGTCAATTTTCTAATTCTTTTTTCCAACTGTAAGACATGAGGTTTGAATTGATTTTGTGAGTATGACAAATACATTTATGTACGTGGATACTCGTGATTAAATATCTTGTTTGAGTTAGTGGCAGACCATATATCACTATTCTTCATCCGTCCGATTCAAATCAGCTCAAAATACTCAAACAAGATCTACAGATAAATTGATAAAATTGACAGGAAAGTTTTGGAAATACATCTCGACCACTGAGAAATTAATTAATGAAATTTAAATTAGATATGATTAAAATTAAATGCTTTACATGAATGTATAATCAGAAAGTCTATATTATAAATTCAAACACACGCACGCTATATTCAATTTTTGTTTTCTGCTCAAACCAGAGTATTATATGGATGACAAACGATACATGGAATTAATAACATAATTCTAAAATTAAGTAAAAATCAAATTTTGAATTAGTTAGCTAGACCAGAGGTGAACGTGACACCTGTTGCTGGAAGCCATCTCCGACCGTCAATGAACGATCCAACGGTGAATGATAATGCAGTCCGTTTGTCCATGATATGATAACCAGGCCATTTAACCCGACCCGATGATCGCCAACCCGGCCCAATATTATTGTATTCGCCATACCATAAAGTGTCCAAAGCAAAGTTACCAAACCACTCAAGCCATCCTCTGGGTTGGACCAGCTGGCTCATGTAAGTGTTCATGTAAACCGTTCTTGAGTAAAGTTTCCATGGCCGGCCAAGATAAGTAGGTTGTGTAGCCAACACGTAACTGTTCTGGATTACGAACCCTGTATTTTTACGGCTTTTTCTTCCTTGCGCGGTTATCGTTACCTTCTGGAGCGGTAAGGGAACCCGTGTGTAGATTTTACAATTCTGTAAAACCGCAGCGCCATTTCCGAATATGAAATCAATGGTACCATAAATTTCACAATCTCTATAGAACTGACGGAGGGAATGGGCGTAAAGAGTGTCTTGGTAACCTTCCACGCTACATCGATAGAAGGCGGATTGGTCGGAATCAACCCTCAATGCAACAGCTTGACGGTTAAGCGGCCCAGCCGTGTTTCTGAATGTGATGTCCTTTGCTATGAATCCTCTTCCCGAAACAGCTGATCAAACCAAAATTAAGGGTTAATCATGTTATTTAGATATACGTAAGTAACAAAAATATATTGAATAAGTAGTTACGTGTAACATAAGAAAGGGATTATTTTGAAAGAAAAGGCTTCAAAGTTTGTAGATTCCAGAAAACAAAAGCATATATGTTATTTTTTCCCCTGTTTTTCAGACACAATAAACAAAATTTGACCAAGAGCAATATGAGGGAAAAGAACAAAAAGGTAATGAAAAGATTAATCAGTTAAGTAATTGATTAGATATTGAATTAGTTGATAATTGTAGCACAAGAAAGGAATGAATTATAAAAGGAAAAAAAAACTTGAAAGCCTGCGGATTGCAGAAAGCATATATGCTTTTCTATTTTTCAGGCACACTAATATAAAAAAAAAATTGACAAAAACCAAAAAGGGAGAAAAGTACAAAAAGGTTAATCTATCAATTAATTATGTATTAACTATTGATTTAATTAACTAAAATATCAATACTAACCGACGGTTGCAGTTCGGAATGTGGTAAGACCCTGCATGAAATTCCGGTCACCGGTAATAATAGTCTGTCCGATACCGTCACCAACAAGCATAATATTCGTCTTCTTCTTCTTCAAATCAATATTTTCTTTATACACACCTTTCTTCACATATATAACATATCGCTTTGTGCTATGATTAGGAGCCCCGTTGATGGCCTCATTAATAGTCCGATACTTCCCTTTTCCATCTATCGCCACAACCGTGTTTGGGTGCATCGCACTGGGGTCATGATGCATCATGAGGCTCTCATCGGTCTCCGTGAGCCAGTCAGGGCTTGCGGTGAAGCTCTCGTTCCTAGATGCCTTGAAAGGCAAGGCATTAAGCTGCGTGTACATGTCTAAGACGTTGCTCACAAGCTGAGTGACTTGTCTTAAGCTACCTTTGATCAATTCCTCGTACTTTCTCTCTGTTCCTTCAAACCCTTCTAGACACGTGTCTTGGTTACTCATAGCCGCGCTGAGCCAGGTTTTAAGATTGCCTCCTGCAGCAGCAGCGTCGTGAGAGCCACCATCTATTCCTCCTCCTCCGTGGAGTTTGTTCATCTCCAGCATCGACCATGCTAGCTCCGTTACCGAGAAGCCTACAAGCTCTTTGCAATCCTCTATGGCAACTTGCTCACGCGAACGGATAGATAACATCGTTACCGTTGGGATTCCTTCCATTGCTAACTTCGCTTTGTCATGTGCTTCCTTTACCGCAGCGCTTAAAACCGAATGCGGAGTTAATCCGTGACCCGATTCCTTGATGTGCGTCCGGATGTTAGAGACGCACAACTCGTGAGCATCAATAAATTGGCACGCCTTGGTGACAAGAGACCGAAACTTTTCTTCTTTGTATGGTTTGAAAACTGTGGTTTCATACGAGTAAGTGTGAACAAACATAAGCATAGCTAAGAGAAGAGCGGTGAGAAATCCTGTGATGCCCATTTTTGTTTCGAGTTTTGGGTTTAGGTTAACAAAAGAAAAAGAACCGAGAAAAGAGTGTATGAAGCCATATATAGAAAAAAACCTAGGGAGGTTTAGGTATTGATTGTTAGTGAAGAAATGTTCTTTGCCTCTTTGGGAACTGTAGGAACAAATTCATAGTTTACTTTTTTACCTTCTTTTGTTACTCTCTTCTCAAGCCAAAGTTATTCTTTCTTCATTACCCAAAACCAAAAGCTCTCTTTTATTTGCTCTCTAGACTTTAGATTCTGCTTCATTAACCTCCAACGAGACTTTACACACGCTCCTAGCCTCCAACTAGCTTTCACCGGTACGGTTATTATCTGATTACACCCGGTTCATATGAAAACCGATGCAACCTCAAGTAAACCGATAGAATGACGGGAAACAACCGGTACAGCTTTTGGAGTAAACATCGGTTTATTACGTTCTAGTTAACCACCGTATTTTGTTAACCCATTGGTTTATCAAGTGAATAAATAAACCGGGATTTTCCGGTTTGCACAGGTTCGTTTCTTCCCTCCCATTTGTCATCTTATCTTCTGCAATTACTGGTAAAGTGAGCAATCCGTTAATCCCTAGAGAAACTGTAATCGTCTCGTTGATTCGGAGAAATTTGTCTGGTTCCGCGGAAAATGTCACTAACCCAGATCGTGAATCCAATCATATATCCATCTCGCACAATTTCACGGCGTTTCACGGCGGTTTCCCCTTTTAAAACCCTAAACCCCCAATTTTCCCGCCACCCACCTCACGCACTGTCTCGGCGACTCTTCCTTCCTTCTGTTTCCTCGATATGGGATGCCATTACAGGAGGTGGAGACTCGAACCCCCGTGAGGCCATTGCAGCGGTTCGACGCGGAATGCAGCTCTTCAGACAGGTAAAATTGGAAAATTCCGACAAACAGAACTGTTCTAACAAAAGAGACTCTTTGCTATTTTGGATCTTTAAAAGCTGACCATCATATTCGAGATGCTTTTTGTTAAAGGGTGATGTTGCTGGATCGGTGGCAGAGTTCGACAGAGCAATCGTTTTGGATCCCAGGCAAAAGGCATGTACGTTTTATCTCCTTTTCTCAAAACACGATTTCTCTGTAACGCTTTGAAATTTGAATCAAATCTTTAGGCTTTTAATTTTTGTTTGATGGGAACACTAACAATTGCTTTGATGACAGATCTTTGGCAACGCGGGCTTTCTCTTTACTATCTAGATAGGTACTAGCTCCAACTCACTGTCTCTTGTTAGGATTTGAGTTTCTTCTTACAGTACGGTGAATCGCTCACTGTCAAAAAGTGTAAAAATTGCTTCTCTCTATTGTGGATTTTGGTCTCCTTATACCGTATTAAGTAATGAAATATCCAACAGGTTTGAAGAAGGTGCAGAGCAGTTCCGGATAGATGTTGCTCTGAACCCAAATGACACAGAGGAGTCCATTTGGTGCTTTATCTGCGAGGCGAGGCTCCATGGTGTTGATGTTGCACGAAAAAAGTTTCTCGAGGTTTGTTTTTCCTTATGTTAAAGCTTACCATTCCATGATCAGTGATAAAGGCAGGATATGAGATCTTAGAAACAATTCTTTGTAGGTTGGTAGAGATTCTCGGCCTGTGATGCGGGAAGCTTATAACCTATTCAAGAATGGTGGTGATCCTGAAAAGGTTTTGAGACGTGTTTCTTGTTCATTGATATCATGATTTTCTTCCATCAAACTATCTTAATATTCTGATATTGAAAAACCAGTTAGTTAATGACTTCTTGAGCGGTCAAGCAAGCGAATACTTCTACGCTTCGCTGTACGCAGGGCTCTACTATGAAGCTGAGGTAAGCTCTTGATCTTGAACTTCTCCAACACAATCTTCATTGTTCTTCAAGAACAAATAATCCTGAGTTATCTTGTTTAAGTTTCTTCTTTGATTCTCGTTGTAGGGTAAATCAGAAAACGCTAAGTTTCATATAACCGCGGCCAGTGGATCTCCATATGGGCAGAGGTTTGAACCCTTATAGCATAATGTTAGCAATTATAAAGTGATTCGATGGTCTAGTCACTAGTGTTTTTGATACTTTTTCATCCCAAATTTATTTCAGGTCTGACGATTATATGGCTTCACTTGCTAAAGTTCACTGCCTTAGTAGAAACTGGAGCTCCGGTATTGTTTGAACCTGTTCATGGTTTTGTCACAAAACTTTTGTGGAGCCAAACATTCTTAGTTTTTAAGGCCCACCAATTTGTGATATATCAGCCCAATTAAAATTTGGACCTCGGTTTGTGAATTCTGACCTTTATTTATGGGACCTGAAAAAAGAAGGAATTTTTACTCAATTAGTAAGCTCTTAAAGAATGTTTGGTCTTTTACTATTATTATCCCTCCTTGTAAAGTACATAGATGATAGAACTATAGATGTTTGGAATGTATTTTAATTTAGCGGTTTACTTTTCTGGTATAGTACACATAAAAATCTAGTTGCACTTAAAATTCTAGTTTAGATTAGTTCGAAATAAAATCCTTTTTTATCGTTTTGTATTACCGCATCTCAAATAAAAGTCAAAATAATTGAAGTTTCAGTCCCGGATTTGGTTGTGTAGTTTTTACTTTTAACTTTTTAAGTAACTGAGAACGAAACTATTACTTGCAGTGGCATATAGGTAACATTGTGCCGTTTTGGATACTAATATCTAGGCCTGGGCATTCGGGTACCCGTTCGGGTTCGGTTCTTTTTTTTCGGGTATCGGGTCTATTCGGGTAGGGGGTCAAGACCCATTCGGGTATTCTAAAAATTCGGGTTCGGTTCGGGTTCGGGTTCGGGTCGGTTCGGGTATTTTAATAAAAAAGCAAAATACCCGAAAATAACCAAAAATACCCGAAATATTTTTGGGTTCGGGTCGGGTTCGGGTTTTTAACTCATATATACCCAAATCTAACCGAAATACCCGATTTCTCGAAAATACATTGGTTACTCTTTACCCAAATATAACCAAAAATATCTAAAATACCTAATATATTCGGATTTATGATTGTAATTTTAGGTATTTCGGGTATTATAAATATAAATATAACTAATATTTTTAGGTGTATATTTGTATTCGGGTACATTCGGGTACATTCGGGTATTGGATTCGGTTCGGGTTCGGTTCGGGTTTTTTTCGGGTAGGAGGTTAGGACCCATTCGGGTATTTTTAAAAATCGGGTTCGGGTTCGGTTCGGGTATTGTTCGGGTTTTTCGGTTCGGGTATTCGGTTCCGGGTATTTTGCCCAGGCCTACTAATATCTATGAAATTTAGTTTAATTAATTCTGTTTGCGTAGATGACTTTTACGAGATCCAAAATTTGTTATTCCGAGTTTTGTGGAAAGGTAGTATATAAGTTGTATAGAGGGATTAGTTTAGTAACTACAGTATGTTGATGCGTATACGCTATAATTTAGTTGGCGAAAAAAAAAACGCTATAATTTAGTTGCCTGGACTATACTTTATATGAAGATTAAAATACTAATCTGTAAATTGCCTGGACTATCTCTGAAAAAAAAATAAAAAAAAAATAATAATAATAATCTGTAAATCGTCATATACTAGTATTTTTTTTGTTATGATTAGCTTAAGGGATGAACAAAAGTGGAGACGGAGACACAAATCAGTTTTGTCTAATCACACATGTTATATGAATTAAATAAGTGTGTTTTGGGAATATTCTGATCTGGCAAAGCACCAAAAAATTGGGATATTCTTGTCGTCTGATGCTTGCATGGCATATACTTCGCACATCAGCAATTCTTGCATAGGCAAAAGACCAAATTGTCCCTCCATACTAAATCAACGGAACCGGAAATTGCCAGCGAATTTATGTCTTGTTATTTATTAATTAATGAAAGATATCCATTTTTTGTTTCTGTCATTCGATATTAATTAAAAAATTAAAAGAGGAAAGATATCCATTTTTTAAATCTATTTTTTTGTAAACCCATATAATTTCGGATGACAAAAAAAAAAAGTTAATGAAAAATATCCATTTTAATCACTTTTTTTGTAAACCGATAAACGGAAAAGGACATCAAGAGTTATTTTTAACAAGTCAAAGTCTAAGGGTAATATCGTCATTTGGCTACTTAGTCTGAGACCGTGAAATAAAACCAGAGCTCTTGTCCAACTTGGAGACGATTTAACCAAGTTGCATATACACGGTAAGGGACGGGGAGTTAACATATACTCTCAATCTCAAACCTACACGTGGAAATATTTATACGTGTCATCATCTCGCAACTCAAGTCGGTCATTCGTTAAAACCTAACGTGACGAAACCACTCCCCTTGCCGTTGAATATACTATTTGCCAGACTGATTTAAACCTTAAATAGTTAAATTCCAAATAAAATCCAAAACCTATATACACGCACATATATATATACATATATAACGTCGATCTATTGATTAGTGGAATCTCGAGTATTTCTGACATGCAATCGTGAACGGCGAGTTTCGACGACGGTTAGGGGAATATTAATCGATGTCGACGGATAAATTGCTACTTCCTAACGGCGTTAAGTCAGACGGAGTCATCAGAAGGACCAGAGCTGATGCTGCGGCGGCGGCGGCCGCTTCTTGTTCTCTCGGCGGTGGAAGTCAAATATTTGACGAGCTCCCCAAGGCTGCGATCGTCTCGGTCTCGAGACCCGACACCACCGATTTTAGTCCCTTGCTTCTTTCTTACACCTTGGAGCTTCAGTATAAACAGGTATGAACAGGCTTATTATAGTTTACAATATCTGACTTATAGTTTTTGAAGAACTTAATTTCCTCTGTTACATTGTGATTAGGGTTCTGATTTTATGCCCCAAATTGACCATCGTCTCTCTTTGATTTTTTTTCCCCCTTCTGTCTAGAAAGATTTGATATTTTTTTTTTTTGTTAAAAAGATTTGATATTAATGACAGAGAAATCGCATAGAGAGATTCAATTTCTTGCTAAAGAAGTTTATTCATGGATATATGCAATTTCATGGTTTTTGATCTGTTCTGTATTAATTAGTAACAACAAAGACCTTTTTTAATTGGCATCCTCTGTTTTTGGTGTATGTATAGTTCAAGTGGACATTACAGAAGAAGGCTTCTCAAGTTCTTTACTTACATTTTGCGTTGAAGAAACGTTTGATCATTGAAGACCTTCACGACAAGCAAGAACAGGTCAGAATTTTCAGGGTTTTCAGATTTGCTAACACACGCCAAACAAATCATTATTGAACTCGAGAAATGCGGTTTTCGACAGGTTAGAGAGTGGCTACACAGCTTGGGGATTTTTGATATGCAAGGATCAGTTGTGCAAGATGATGAAGAACCTGACGATGGCGCTCTTCCTCTGCACTATACTGAAGATAGTATCAAGAACAGGTGCTTGCTTTTCAAAGCCATAAACCTTTTCCGTTTTGTGGATTCGAGTAAAGTGTTTTGTTTAAATTTCTGAACAGTAGCTTTTTATGTTGTGCAGGAATGTTCCTTCGTGTGCAGCGTTTCCAATCATTCGTCCAACTATAGGCCGGTCAGAGACAGTTGTAGACCGTGGGAGAACCGCAATGCAAGGCTACTTGAGTCTCTTTCTAGGGAACTTGGACATTGTAAACTCTAAAGAGGTTTGAGATTTTTCGCTGGCGATGACTGACTTTTCTAGTTGTGATTTTTATGTTGCTTGCGTCAGACTTAAAACGTATCCACAGGTCTGCAAGTTCCTTGAAGTTTCTAGACTCTCGTTTGCTAGAGAGTACGGTTCCAAGATGAAAGAAGGATTTGTCACAGTGAAGCACCTGAGGGAAGTCCCAGGTTCTGATAGTGTCCGATGCTGTCTTCCTTCACATTGTCTCGGTTTCTTCGGAACTAGCTGGACAAAGGTTTGGACAAAATCAACTCGGGGTTTTTGTAAAGTTTCTGAATTTTTCTTGCTCAGATGAATGATTTTCTGCATTTTTGAGTGTTTTCAGGTTTGGGCCGTTCTGAAACCGGGATTCTTGGCGTTACTAGAAGATCCATTCAGCGGAAAGCTTCTAGATATAATGGTGTTTGACACATTGGGGTTACAGAGTACGAAAGAGTCTTCTGAACAACCGTGTTTGGCTGAACAGGTGAAGGAACACAACCCATTGCGTTTTGGCTTTAAAGTTACTAGTGGGGACCGAACCGTGAGGCTGAGAACGACTAGCAGCAGGAAAGTTAAAGAGTGGATTAAGGCCGTGGACGAAGCTGGTTGTTACAGTCCACATCGGTTTGGTTCGTTTGCACCACCTAGAGGCTTGACATCGGACGGAAGCCAGGCACAGTGGTTCGTAGACGGTCACACTGCGTTTGAAGCCATCGCGTTTGCAATCCAAAACGCCACATCAGAGGTTCCATTACCCCAACTTGCATTTGAGAATCGTACTTAATATCTTAGTTTGGAATCTAAAATTTCATCTACAGATATTTATGACTGGTTGGTGGTTATGTCCGGAGCTATATCTCAAACGCCCCTTTGAAGATCATCCGTCATTGCGGCTCGATGCATTGCTGGAGACAAAAGCAAAACAGGGCGTTAAGGTATGCCTAATAAGCTTACATTTAAGGATTCGATTTGTTTTGTTATATAAGCAAGACTAAAATATTTAAACTTGTTGCAGATTTATATTCTTCTGTATAAGGAAGTCCAAATCGCGCTGAAAATCAACAGTATGTACAGCAAGAAACGGCTTCAAAACATTCACAAGAACGTCAAAGTTCTTCGTTATCCAGACCATCTCTCCTCTGGCATATACCTCTGGTACAGTATTAATCGAAATGCAGGGATTTACTTAACTACTTAACTAGAACTAAAGTACTAGAACTAAAGTTGGATTCTGTGGTTTTTTCAGGTCGCACCACGATAAGATAGTGATTGTAGATTACCAAGTTTGCTTCATTGGAGGGTTAGATCTCTGTTTTGGCCGCTACGATACAGCTGAACACAAGATCGGAGATTGCCCTCCTTATATATGGCCAGGAAAGGATTATTACAATCCTAGGTAAGATCCTGAACTTGTTTATTATATTTTCTAACAAAAGAAATCATCTTTCTCACGAATTGCTTCTATTGGCAGAGAATCTGAACCAAACTCATGGGAAGAAACGATGAAAGATGAGCTAGACAGGAGAAAGTACCCGAGAATGCCGTGGCACGAAGTACATTGTGCTCTATGGGGACCGCCTTGTCGCGATGTGGCTAGACATTTTGTCCAGAGGTGGAACCACTCTAAGGTATGGAAATGTAGAGAGATTTCAGTTTCTAGCGTTTGCGTTTGGAATATCATGGTTCTGATATATTTTAGTCTTTGTTAAATTAGAGAAACAAGGCACCTAATGAACAGACGATTCCATTGTTGATGCCTCACCACCATATGGTTCTTCCTCACTACTTGGGAACTAGAGAGATCGATATCATCGCAGCTGCTAAACCAGAGGAAGACCCTGACAAACCTGTTGTTCTTGCCAGACAAGACTCTTTCTCTTCTGCCTCACCGCCCCAAGACATCCCTTTACTTCTCCCGCAAGAAACCGATGCAGATTTCGCCAGCAGAGGAGATCTGAAGTTAGACAGCGGTTCAAGACAAGATCTTGATCGATCTGGCAGTCAAGTTGAGTTTCCTGGGGAAACTTCAGAGGAAAGCGACCGGGACGAGGCTGTGAACGACTGGTGGTGGCAGATTGGGAAGCAAAGTGATTGCCGGTGTCAAATAATCAGAAGTGTTAGCCAATGGTCTGCTGGGACGAGCCAGTCTGAAGATAGCATTCATAAAGCTTATTGTTCGCTTATCCAGAACGCTGAACATTTTATCTACATAGAGGTATAAATTAATCATTCAAACATTTTCATACAAAATCTATTGACCTCAGACTGATTCTTTATCCTAATCACTTAATCTTGTTGTTTACCAGAACCAATTCTTCATCTCCGGGCTAGAAAAAGATGACACGATTCTTAACCGCGTTCTTGAAACGTTATACAGACGCATTCTGAAGGCCCATGAACAGAACAAGTGCTTCCGCGTTGTGATCGTTATTCCGCTTCTCCCTGGATTTCAGGTACTGTTTGGTCCTTTCAATCGCAATAAAGAATTGTTAACAGAGTAATATCACGAAGCCAACCATTTTTTTCTGTTGTCATAAAACAGGGAGGTATTGATGACTTCGGAGCAGCCACGGTTCGAGCACTGATGCATTGGCAATACCGTACGATCTCTAGAGAACGAACTTCGATTCTTGACAACCTTAACGCTTTGCTCGGTCCCAAGACGCAAGATTATATCTCTTTCTATGGTTTGAGATCGTACGGACGGCTGTTTGAGGACGGTCCAATTGCTACTAGCCAGATTTACGTGCACAGCAAGCTAATGATTGTTGATGACCGGATCGCGGTGATCGGATCTTCTAATATAAACGATCGGAGCTTACTAGGCTCGCGAGACTCTGAGGTACTTTCACAAATCCAGTTCATTTTCTTTATGGCATGCATGTATTCATTTGAATCAATTGTGTTTCAGATCGGGGTTGTGATCGAAGACAAAGAATTCGTGGAATCCTCGATGAACGGAGTGAAGTGGATGGCCGGGAAATTCTCTAACAGTCTTAGATGTTCCTTGTGGTCAGAGCATCTCGGCCTTCATCCCAAAGAGGTAATTTTACAAATTTCTGAAAAACGCCTATACTTAAAATTCTTGACTTAAAGAGACCTTTATTTTCATTTGAATCTATGTAACCGAAGCCTTGTTTTTGGTCTATTCTCTGATAGTGATGGTATCCTATTTCTGTAGTATAAGATTCCGTGAGCTGAAAGCTTCTTTTGACCATCGTTAACTTCATAGCAAATTTGAAAATGTTAATTTTATTTTTGTGTTTAGATGCAAAAGATCGAAGATCCAATCAAAGATGCAACATACAAGGACTTGTGGATGGCAACGGCTAAGAAGAACACCGATATCTATGACCAAGTCTTCTCGTGCATCCCGAATGAACATATACGCTCAAGGTTCATACTTCATCCCTTTTTAACTTAATCTCCATAACTTTAGTGATTAAAAGATACTAAATTAACTTAATCCTCGATATTTAACTAAGTTGGGTTTTTAAACGCAACTGAGAGATGATCAAATCTGCTTCTGACTTTGTCTTCCTAAACACAGAGCTGCATTGAGACACAATATGTCTATTTGTAAAGACAAGTTGGGTCATACTACGATCGACCTTGGCATTGCACCGGAGAGGCTAGATTCATGCGGCAGCGACTCGTGGGAGATGATGAAGGAGACAAGAGGGCACCTTGTGTGTTTCCCATTACAGTTTATGTGTGATCAAGAAGATCTCAGACCGGTTTTCAACGAATCCGAGTTCTACACTGCTCCTCAAGTCTTCCACTGACCACTATTTATGTACGCCCAGTTCTCTTTAAACAGTTAATAGAGTACCTAAGCTGGTTATCGAAAACTATATTAGATGGTTGAAGGAGCTCACACGTTACTTTTGTATAGAGATGTTAGTTATATAGAAAGAGGAAATTCATTTGATTGCTTCCTACGTTTGCAGAGGTATGTGTGTGTATAGTATACACTTGTAAATAATAATGTTTATGTACCTCAAGCTGTACAATACATCTTCAATTGCGGATAGGTTGCATACGGGTGATATTCTGGTTCTTGCGGCTTTGGAGTTGATTTATGTTTGATTCTTGTTCCAAAAAGCCTGTTTTCTCATCATATGTTTCATACTAACTTACGAAGCTTCCCACTTTTTAAAAGCTTGTTAAAATTTCAAGTAGATTGTGATAGGACTGGTTTGGCAAGAAAGTAATATTCAATGCGAGTTTACGCAAGTCTATTTACATTGCAGCATTTTTCCTTTTCTTCACCGGTCCAAAACTAGTACCTACTTACAAGTTACAAGTCGTGGCATGGTGAAGATGTTGCTATAGAGATGGCGACAGCGATGAGGAATGGAAAAAGAGGCACACGGCAGAGATATCATCCATGGCGATTCCGCGTCTCTTTCTATTCCAAGCTCTAACCGCTTGCTGTACCAGTCGTTTGGCAGCCTTTGGCCGCTCTGCGGTCGACGAAACAATAGCTATGGCCTCTTGGTTTGATATCACATCCCATACCTAGAATGTTTCAAGTACATGACTTCGCTGCCAACAATAAACAAACAAAATAAAAAAGCTTATAGAAATGTTCTTACCCCATCAGTGGCTAAGATTATAAACTGGTCTCTAATGGATATATGCCTCTGAGTGACTTCAGGCACTGAGACCAATCCGTAATCTTTGATACAATAGTCTCCGAATGCTCTTGACATTGCAAGTCCTGGAGATTCCTCTTCTGGTTGCCAAACTCGGTGGACGCCTGGCTCGTCCTGGAGGCAAAATACTCTCCCGTTGCATCCGATTATCCGCTCTTCCTCCTCTGTTTTAACAAGAAGCAAAATTTGAAAGATAAAGATTCAGAACTACTTAGCTAAATGCACTGAGATTTACATGATTTATTTATGCTTATGGAACTAACGGGGCAGGTTTGGCTTAAAATCTACTGTGAGCTGAACCGCAACCAAGCTTCCTTCGTCTGAAACCGTGGCCAATACCGCACGTGAATCCCCAACGTTTGCTATATAAATAACATCACCCTGTAGCAAGAAAAAAATTAAGAATATTGATCAATGAACAGAGCAGCCTTTGTTTTAGATTTTATTCATGAGGTAAGGATCTTGAGATTTCCTTTACCTGTCTCACAACGGTTAGAGCAGTTGTACCGCTGTTAAAAGAATCGATCTTTCGGTGATGCTCAAGCTCCCGATCGACAGCTTCACACGTTTTGAGGTATGAGTATTTCCAGATGGCGAACCGCTGCAGCTTTTTATCGGATTCGTCGAGGTCTATTTCCGGTTCTGCTAATGTGGTCTGAGAAAGAGTCTCTTTCCAGTTGCAGAGCAAAGATAGAGGCATTGAGTTCCTGACTTGTTTAGAAACAAAGTGTCCCCAGGGACCGTGTCCATCAAATATTCCACAGAAGATCATGTCTTCTTGACATCCAAATCCCTGTTTACGTTTCAGAAATTGTCAAAACATGATGAACAAATATTCGCAAATAAGTGTTTAAAGACCGCACTATCGTCTATGGGATAACTTAGAAACAACGGTTACGCAGATAATGCGTTAAACTTGATCTTTGGACTGGTGATAATAACCCTAGATACAGAGGGGCATTCAAAACAAGCTAGACGCAAACACACATGAAGAGAATTGCGTGAAGTTAACATCTTTGGACTTCAATATACTTAAAGTAAGCAAAAAGTGATCTAGAAATTGCTCTAAGTAAACACCAAAAATCGCATAAAACTTCTAAATAAATTAGCTCTAAGATAGCTTTTTGTAGAAGTAATGTACCTCCCAGACGATGGCACAGTCCTGATTAACGCCTTTCTCACCGCGTCTAGAGAAAACAGAAGCCAAGTTATTGGATCCATCTGCATTAATGCAACCAGAGGATCTCAGAATCAATTCCTTTTTCTTCGCCTCTCTCGCCATTTCATCTGTGGCTTCCTTCGCGTAGCTTTTGCTGTTGTTGTTCTTGGCTTTCTTGATCGAGAAGGATCTAGCTATACCGTTGAACATGGAAGAGAAATGTCCCATTTTGTCCAGAAGGTGAAAATATCATATGATCTTGAACTCTGTAAATTATAAATCCATAGAGTTTCATATAGTTGCATTAAATCAAAGAACAAGAGGGAGGGAGATAAAATAATGTCAAAGTAGGAAATCTGTTTTTTGAGATTCGTTTTCCCGGGAAAAAAACAGGGGATAAAATATAAATTTAGGAATTTAAAACAGTTATAAGGACAAATGATTGAGAGAGAATATTCATGTCTGACTTGGAATTCCAATAACACAAGCTCTAACATTCCTCTAGAGTTATATAAATTATAACTTGTACGAAATAGAGAGAAGAATAATGGATATGATCTGAACTTGAAGTCAAATCGAGTTCTCTCTTTTAAGAAAACATCTATGGAGATAACTTATCATTATAGAAATCAAGTTGCAAGATTCGGAGATTTTCTCTTTTTTTACTTTTCCGGGAAAAATAAGCAATAAAAAACCTTCATATCTTAAACAATCTGGAAATTGGAAAAACCCTTTGAAGTTTAAGCTTTCTAATCTACAAAAATAAAAGAAGAACTGTGAAACAAAACTACAAAAGGGTAAAAAAGCTTTAAAATCTTCAAAAATATTGTTGAACTGCACCAAATGTTTTCAAAAAGTAAATTAACACAACAAGAACGTACACAGAGAGAGATTAGGAGGAAGTGACGTAATACACACCAGATAGATTACGCAATGCTGCTAAGGAAAAAGATGTGACGACGGGATATAGATGACGTACGCACGGAGAAAGTGACGTAACACCCAACGGAGAGGAAGCTAATGGAGTAGAGAAAGAGAGACTCAGAAATCAGAAATCACAATCCATTTAATGATCCCAGTAGACACAGGGAAGAAACAAAATTAGATCATATTTCTCTACTTTTATATATTTATGGGGTTCTCTGTTCCTCTCTTATATTCTCGTGGTATGATAATAAAGGCAGAGACGTAGCAAGACATCGTCTTTTGTCGTCAGTGGGTTATATATAGTATTTAACTATTTATTATAAATCCTCAATTCCTAACGCAATTTAAAACTTATTGGTTAGGAAAAAAATACTTGTATGTGAAAACAAAGAAATTGAGAGCAAATTTACAGCTCGGGTGGTCTATAAGTTTGGTACTAGTAAACAGAGATGCAATATGACAAAGTGATATCCAACCTAGGCTAAAATGTAGAGACGAGAAAACAATAAAATATTATAAAATGAAAAGTTAGGTAATTTGTATAAATAGCACATAAATAAAAGTCCAAAATGGCTACAGTGACAAAACCAAAAGTCAACAACGAATCTGTAAGGACAATTTCGTGCAAAGGATGTATTATAACTATCTTTTGGTTAAGAAAATGAAATTCTATCTTCGAGTTACTGTAATTAGAAGTTTTGTAGATAACAATGTAGTTCAATAAACTTTGGTAAGTTCAATAATGCAAAAAGATTGTTTCCGTAATGGGAAAAAAAGCAGCTTGGAAAAGAAATGGCGTTGGCCTTTGAGCATGCAAACTCAATAAAGTTCCGAATATCGTAGCCATACACGTTCCATGCTTGTATACCTACCTCGAAACTATAAAAAACCATAAGTCTATATTATCTCATGAAAACCGAAAATAACAAAAATTTAGGTAGATTTGGTATTACCATCCAACCCCCTAAGGTAACATACTCTAGGCTCTAGCTAGTATCAAAAGATTTCCATTAAAATAGTAACCCGAATCGAAAACCGTAACGTCACAGCTTTGCAATAATAAGACGCCGTGACGAAACTGTACTAGAAGAAGTCTTTTCCCACAAGTGTTAAGCGGTGAGTGGACCCAGAGCGATGACCTGTTTGATGTGGTCGGTAACGATGGTGCAAAACAAAATCTTTGCATTGTCTCAATTATTTTCGAACTAATGACCACAAATGACATTCAATTTTGCGAGAGACCATATTTAATCTGATATTCCCACGTGTTAGACCATATTGCACGCGGGACAGACAGAGCCACAAAGGATTCAGAGGAGAGGACTTTCGGTTTGAGGGCCAGACTCCGGTCATATCACACAACTGAATGTGGAGGTTTCACAGTAATTTTTTTTTTTTGGTTAGAAAAGTTAAAATTGACAAAAAGCCATGTGAGAACCACATTGATTAGTTCGGTCCTTGTAGGGTCCATATTAGCGAGCACAATCTAAAAAGGATCATGCCATTTTTCTGATTGACGCGTGGTGACCAGCAATCGCATGTGGGACGGTGCACCGGATAATGACACTTTTTGTGACTTTGTGTGCCGTGGCCTCTCGTTCCACTCCCACCCAGTCCCAACATGACCATTTTTCTTGTTATTTTTATTGCTAGTGTTGTTTTAATTTTTTTTAATCCATAGAGAAAATCATCTCATCTAATCATAATAATCAATAATCATTGGAATAAGGAAAATTCAAAAAAGTAGAAGAAACCTTAGTGTTGAGTGGCTTTTAATTGGTTGCTAGTTGTAAGAAAATGATAAATAGTTTATTATCCAGTTGATACTTGATATCATCTAGAAGCATCATAATTACAATCATTACAAGGAGATAATCTTTTTGTCCATTTTTTTGGTTGAAAAATTCAATTAATTGCGCATTATCTTCCTAAAATTTGGATTAAGATAAACTCAAGCAATGATTGGTCGTGCCACCCCAAAATGATTATGTATGAAGAAAAACAAGTGAGATCTATATTCATTAGGATGAAAAACCAGAAATATAATGAAATAAAATTGGAGGATAAAAAAAAGGCTTTAACTTTTCAAGTCGGAAAATTTTCAATTTTTTCGTGATTCTGAGTCACCTCCACAAAAACTTGATTGCGGATGACGAGAAACTCCATTAGTCCAATAATGTTTCGAGCATATTGGGCCATAATGGAGGCCCATTATATTATAAATATGAAAGTTGCCAACTAACCGGATGTGATGGAGAGTGGGCGAGATGGCACGGTTCTGTCTTGATTGTACCGGAGTATTCCAGACCGGTTGACCGAGCTATGTTATTGGTTAAACGGATCCAGATCCGGGTCGGGTTTGCCCATTTTATTCTTCTTCTTCCAAAACCCTTCTTCTCCCCTGTATCACCGATTCAGAAGAAGTCTGCAATTTTTTCGTAAAGTAGAGCAAAGCTCCATTGCAGAATATCCAATCCTAAGGAACGGACTATCAGTTACGATCTTCATAGTCGGGATATGCAGTATGTTTGATCAGAGGCTTATTGGTTCAACTAATCAGCCAAAGCCAGGTCAGTGGCATAGAGCTGTAGTGCACAACGAAGTGTTTGGCTCTTACTCTGTTCACAAACTCGCAGAAAAGTAAGCATTTATGTTAAACCATCCATTGCAGCTATTTAGGTAATTATTATTACCAAACGAAAAAAGAGAGACTATCTTCTACAATATTTGTTTTTGTCTTGAATATTTGCTCTTCATTTGGTAGAATAAGGATTGATTAAATTTGTTGGAGCAATAATCAAAAGAATAATTATATGAGAGAATAATTTGGTCATCTTTCTGGTTTTGTATACAGTTGATGATTACATGACGGTGCAGAGGAAAAAGAAACAAATCTTTGAGTTCCAATACTTCTGCCAATTCGTGTCAATGTATTTGAGGTACGAGACAGACTTGCTCAATAACATAAAAGTTGACTGAACAGACTTGTTCAACTAATTGTAAACAAAAAAAGTTGACTACAAACAGAGTAAATGAGGAACACACCAAACTAAACAATAAACAACAGAAATCTAAACCAATCCATAGTTGGACATTGTTTGATTGCTGTCTCCTCAAAATTTATTTCATGTGCAGAGGTTGTAAGTTGACTTTCTTGGAGTTCTTCTGGTTGCTTTGATTTTCTTCTTCGAGATTCTTCAGGTAGGTTCTAAAAGCCTACACAAACAAAAACTTATTTTTTTTATTTTTTTGTCAACAACAAAGATAATTGAATGCTCAAGTTTCATTGCTAAATGTTTATTCTAATATTTTTGTCTTTCAATGTTTTGCTAACAAATTTGTTGAAAAGTCAGAACACTACCTCTCTAACGAGTTCAGGTGCTTTTACTTAGTTGTTTGTTTCGGCTAAAGGTATGCATGAACCAATCTGGTTTGTAGCAAACCAATATATATCCAATCGTCAATCCAAAGGCAATACCAGGTCCGAATCCTATTGCAGCTGCTATCCAACTGAACACCTCTCTGTCTTCTTCCTCTTGCTCTGGCGGTTCATGTTGTTGTGGTGCTGGTGCATGAATATCTACACAAACTTCTTCAAGTGAAGAGCCATAAAGTCCAGGGTTGTCCTTGAAAGAAGAGCAGTTTTGCCTACGAAACTGAGTTCCCCCTGGTACTAGACCTCCAAGCTGGTTGTGAGAGAAGTTCATGTAGGCAAGGAAAGAGAGGTTCCCTAGTTCTTGTGGAATTTCTCCTGAAAGCTTGTTTTGAGAAACGTCCAGTGACTCGAGCTCGCTTAGATTCCCCATAGATGATGGGATGTGGCCGGTGAAAGCATTGCTTGACATGTTAAGAACATGAAGCTCTTTCAATAGACCGATGGATCTTGGAATCTCTCCTTCAAATTTGTTTTCAGAAAAGTCGAGAGCTGTGTAGATTTTTAGGATACGTACCAGCTCCATCTCTAAGCCTTTATTCATCAAAACCACTGAATCATGGTAATATCGAAAAGAGTCTCCCATGTATTTTTCTTGAGACCGATCCTCGTTTGCCTTAAGTGATGACATAGCATTCCAGTTCACAAAATAGTTTGATGGCAAAGTTCCATTGAATTGATTATGCGATAAGTCGATGATTCGCAGTGTATGGAACGAGGCATGATGTATTGGTCCGTGAAATGCATTGGAGCGTAAGACAAGAACTTGCAGCTTCTTAAGAGTAGATAACCAGAACGGAAGCGTGTCGTTGATTCTGTTGTTTTCCACATTCAGAACTTCAAGAGCAGAGAGACGGATCAAAGATCTAGGAAGTTTGCCCACCAGTTGGTTATGACCGACATCAAGTGACCTTAGACTTTTAAATATACTCCTTGGAAGACCTCCACCAAGACGATTCTGGCGAAGGTTTAGAAATGAAAGAGTAGTCTTAAGATTTCCCATACAGTGAGGGATGGAACCACTGAGGTTATTGTCAGATAAATCAAGAGTGATTAGAGAGCGCAAAGCGCATATGATAGAGGGAATCTTTCCCGTGAAATTGTTTTTGGAGCCAACCAAGTACTGCATAGATGGTCTGGTGATAGATGGTAGTCCAAGTTCCATTGATCTTTCGAAACCGCTAAAAGTGTTGCTGGAAAGATCAACGAATATCAACTTTGGTAGAGTCCATAGCCAGCCAGGCACTTGACCTTTGATTTTGTTGTTGGAAATGTCTAGATTCGCCAATTTGTGCTGGCTTCTTAAGAGCTCCGGGAACTCAGTGATGCCGCATCCTGACAAGAACAACTGACTTATCAATTGCGAATGATGATGATCTGCAACTGAACTTTTGGTTGTGGCTGAAACATGGTTGCCTGAGAGATCCAGTGAATAGATTGAGTTGAGATGCGAGGAAAAGAGTGCATTCAAGTCAATCGTGGTGGTGGTGTTCAAATGAGATAGGTTAAGAAGGTAGAGCAACTTGAGATTCATGAAGATACTAAAGTCAACTGGGCCTTGGGTGTTGAGATGAGAGAGGTCAAGGTCCTGAAGGTTTATAAATTTGGAAATGGAGTTCGGGATTGGCCCTATGAAGTTGTGATTGCTAATGTCTAACACTGTTAGTGTAGATGGTGAAGATATATTCCCAAACTCAAGAGTGCCGTTGAGTTGGTTATTTCTCAAATCAATAGACG